TTAAAGATACATTATGGGAGAAATAAGCGATTGAAATTTCCACCTAGCCTCGAGCATCATTACTAAAGTCAGTACGATAAACAGTATAGTCTCGATTATCCATTTAATCGTTAAATCGTGAAGTAAAGTTATTCAGTAAATCAGCCCATAATCCACTAAAGATAGCAGGCTAGCGATGCCATCTAGAGTTGATTATGGTCTGGATAGGTTATAATTAAAGTCTAATTAATAATTAAGATAACATTTCAGGCCTAACGAAAGACCTGCAATAGGCAGATTTAGCTCTTGCATAATGTATGTTTAAACAACAGCAACAATCTAAATGTTTCTATGAAATCTACTCAACCTGCTAGTCCTTCGCGCTAAGGTATGTGTTTACTCGGTTGAACCCCGTCACAGTGTTATCGAAATAGACCAATGATGGGTGCAGACTAATTGACGTCAATCACCGAACTTATTTCCAGGACACCCTGGATTACGGGAAAAAGTCCGTTCGCCAGGAAAGCACTCATGGCAGTTGAAAATTTGTATCACTCAATGGGTCAGAGATTTTATATTTTGTATTGAGCTCTTGGTGGTATTGCTGGGTCAAAAGGAGGAATCCTATCAAAATTCGAAGTCGTGTATCCATTACCTGTAGATATCCCCTATCAGATTTAGGAGTTGTGCATCAATCATTTACATAAATTTTGCTCATCAAAATCATTCACGTTTAGTGAGTTTAAATACGGGTTTCAAAAATCCCTAGGATTCTATAAATCCCGGGATTCAGAGAGATAATTGGGGTGCCATTCCGGAATTCCCGAAAAGGGATTTGCTGAGATTTCGTATCATAATGGAGCTATTTGGTGTCCACTGGCTGAAGATAACAGCTGCGTACTTTTTACTAACCTACTGGCCAATGCGTGAATAGTGTACAAAAACCGTCTGAATTAATTTGCACACTTATTACATATACACCTATATATATAGAATTATTATATCAACAAGTCAACAGTGAGGCTGATGCTCCCCGCCAAAATCCCGAAATAAATGAACAAAACAAATTAATTAATTGAACGTTTTTGAAAAAGTATTGAGCAATCAAATTGACTAACAATAGATAGTCTAAGCCGAAAGTGTTGACGATCAAACTCGGTCAAGGTTTTGAAGTGAAACTATACACTAAGTTTCACCACTCACCACAGGTTAGAATCAAATTGATATTGTCACAAAGCATCGACCACTGAAATTCCTTAGCTATGCTTAGCTTTAGCAAAAAATGTTAATCATTGAGCTTGGTCTAGACATTCACCTAATGAACATCTACAACAAGTTTAAACATTCTATCGCAATTAAAAGCAGAGTTGTTCTGTTCCAAAGTATTAACCGACCAATTTGTCGGAAAATGTGCATCACCTAATAGACACCTGCGCCAAGTTCCAACATTCTAACTCGCCTATTTTAATAGTGCCCTGCTTTATTTGAAAGCCTGGGACAATGTGTGTGGGGTTTTTATTAATAAGGCTTCAAACATGTTATTAGATGAAATCGAGACCTTCCGGACAGAAATGATATGATTATGTCCTACTTCTGAAAATAATCATTTTTTCGTCTTTCATGCGTCCAGCTTTAAATTCACATATTTTATCTATACCTTTGGTTTAACATATTTTATCTATACCTTTGGTTTTAATCATTCAATATTTTATAGATATATATCGTAATGACCATTATTACGGAACAAGTTTTATATAAGCATTTTTGCTTTTTACTTACTGCATCCTCTTTACTTATATTTTCAAAGGATAATTGTAAATACTAATCATGCTTTGATTAGCCAATGCGCAAAAATGCGTGGGGTTACGTTTCTCTCCGAATTAGTTCATGACAAAACGTATTAAAAACCGAGCATTGCGCTTTATAGATTTGTCTGTTCGAATTGTATAGGTGTGCGTGGATTCGACAATATGCCCAACACATCTATCATGCTACGCGAGGCGCACTTGTATGAATTGGAAAATGAGACGAATCTGAAATCTCACCATCCCGGCCCCTTATCCCGGGATCCCGATTGGTGAAAATTGGTCAGGGATTATTTATTGCATTGTACAAATCATTGATAAATTATTGTCTTAGTAAGATAATAGTTTGTATTATATACTGACACGTTGTTAATGTCGTAGCCATTAAAGAGGGGAGAGAGAGAAATGGGGTTTAACGTCCACTCGACACAAACTAGGTCATTTCGGGACTAACATATAGTTTAATTTTATTTCAATAATTCGCTTGCGCATAGGGGTCTTTAGCAGTGGGAGGAAACCGGAGGACCCGGAGAAAACCCACGAGGTTGGACAAGCGACCCTACTCCTTGTCACGTACAACCGGGAATTCGATCAATCAAGAGGGAGAATCAGATTTTTTCATAATTATGTAATAATAAGATTGCTTTTAGAACAAAGCATAACGCATATCGGATCTCATATGTATACAAACGTCTAATCCCGGCTGATTGTGATTGGACGGAATATAGCTTAGCAGACCTTTAGGATTATTTTGTCGTTCGCCAACGTTTAACGTGATCTTTGCTTTAAAGATACATCGATATCTCGAACCACATAAGGATTTGTTTAGAATTTAAATTAAATGTTTGTTATGAGGGGAATTTATTCCCAAATGTCGATTAAAGCTATGTACTAAATTCAAATCTTGGAATTTTAACAATAATACATAGGATTTTCACAATATCGGTTTACGGGATTGTTTCAGTTTTCATATATTTCACATTATTTACCCAACATATTATATCAACACTGTAAATAAAAATAACGATAAACGTCTCGAAAAGCACCTTCACTTTATTTACACAATATTTATCAACATTATAAATATAACTACTGTTACACATCTACCTCTTATAATTCACTTTATATACCGGAGGGATGGTATTTTAATGGGTTATATGCTACATTATGTTTTCAAGTCGGCTGTGTGAATTTTTACTCTCGATTACCGGTTGTTGTCAATAAACTAAATACAAGTCCAGCAATTAACATCAATAAATAAGATTTCAAATTAACAGCATCTGAGCTAGGTTTACAATTGGTTTTCTCTTGTTTTAAATCTGAATATCTTGTTATTAACCCCTGTAGATAGTTAGTCCAAAACTCAGCTCGACGTCCATTTAAGTTACTTCTCACCTCTATCTCGCCTGATTTAAGGTAAATATACTTTCTAGCTTCACGGTCATACGTTTCCCAAATAACATCTGGTGTTTCAGGTGTATTTGGATTTCTGAAATATACAAATGCGTCCAAATTGGTGGAAATTAGAAAATTATATAGCATCCTTTGTTTGAGGTGGTACCTCAACAATTTTTTGTCGCCCAGTAGCGCAAAAACATGAAATTAAACCATCATTATTCTTTAATATTAAGTGGACATTAGTAAACGGGATTAACGCTACTATAATGCTTTATTGAATAATAATTAGAATTGAACGAGCAAAATGAAGTTAAAAGTACTTCGGCTCCACGAAGGTTGTCGATAAGGGTATAGCTAGTTTATTTTGATACAAAGTTCTAAGAAGTTTAATAAAACTTATTAATCAAAGCAATCGGTCGTCATTTGATTTGTCATTGGCGAACCATTCATAGTGAGCGCTAACGGATCACTCTGAATGAAGTGTTAACCAAAACACCCAGCTGACATCACAGTCTTTCAATAAAAGACAAAGAGAGCGAACCCATTGATCAAATAAGTGCGCAGACTTGACCAGAAAGCATTTTATAATGATGAAATGGCTAAAAGTTATACTTAATGACCTACACAAAATTACAGATCACTTGAAGAGCCACATGTAGATAATATTGTACCTCTCGAAAGTTTGGAATCAAATACATTCTTTTTAATGTTCAAATTTCAGTTTTATTAAGTAACATTAAACGGATACCCCCCAAAAAAGTTCTAAACTCCGCCATATATTACGTTAGTCAAACGGCCCTACTCAATGACAGACCTTCTGAACCACGGCGCACGCGTTAAACCATTCGGCCATCCAACCACCCATTCTAATTAAATCGTCATGTTAAACTAAAAACAAAAACATGGTCTAACCATTAATCAATGTCGTGTACACACTTTCGCCATTTCTAATAAAATCCCTATTAAAAACGAACTGAAAGATATAGACGAAAATATAAATATAAAGATCAAACCTAAATATTTTACTCACCCTGACTTGACAAAGTTTGTCCAGTATTCCATTAATCGTTCTGCCAGTGACCATTCTGTGTTTCTCACGGTCTCGTTCTTAATCTTCTCATAGATAGATCCAAATACATAATCCAGTTCATCGGTATGGACGGCCCCTGTCATCCATGGATGATGTGGTCGCGATGGATAAAGCTGATTGAATTCGTACTGATATGTTTTAGTTGCTTTGTTATTGTAAGCATGATTCTCTAGTGCTGTGTAGGTAGACACAAAAAAGGTCGAATCGGTAAAGAAATGGACTAATTGTTGAATATACAAATTTTTATCTAAAGGATCTTTAAAATTATCATACTGGAAAAGTACTTCTGCAAGCATAAATTGAAATAATTCAGAGTCATATTCCATAGATAAAGCACGGGAAATGGCATTCCGAATCGCCACTTTTACGTCTGTAACAGAGGCTGATGCATTTATGAGAGTAGATGCATACTCCGGCGCAACCCACAAAAATGAGTCACTTTCAAATCGGTTTGTTCCCATAATAAGATCTAATTGGTTAAAATTTGTCAGGCCTGTTTCCCGTGCTGGGTTATTCAATGTTGCAATCCTATCCTTTGTTATAAAATCATTATCTATTGTTGGACACCAATCCAGCATGCCTGTACTAAATGTTAGATCTGACTTCAATGTCATCGATGTTGCGTTTTCGATACTTCTTAAGCACTCTACGATCTCTTCAAGCGATGTACGCGTACAACTCAATCTTGCCGCATATTGCTTCAATTTGGAAGCTGGATCCTTAGTGATAGCCCAATTAGCGTTAGCGGAACCACTTTCAGCTATTACTCTCTGGAACAAATTTTCATTGCCCGGATAAATAGCCTGGAACATAACAGAGGCTGAACCAGCAGACTCACCAGCGATCGTAATCTTTGATGCATCACCCCCAAAACCTTCAATATTATTCTTAACCCACTTTATAGCAAGATGTTGATCCCAAAGTCCATAATTCCCACCTGCAGCACTATTTCCAGAACTTAAGAAACCGAAAACCCCAAGACGATAATTCACAGAAACAACAATAATCTGGCCATTGGCTGCTAAAATGCTACTTGTTGATGCTTTACCTTCACCGAACATAAACGATCCACCATGAATCCATATAAAGACTGCAAACTTTGTCGTACCACTTTGATCAATATTCGGACTAAAGACGTTAAGATACAGACAATCTTCATCTTCTGCCCCTACATCCCAGTATTGGTTAATTTGATGACAAGAGGCGCTATAGTTTTTAGCCAGAAACGTTCTGTCGAATTTTTTCTTCGGTTGTGGTTTAGCAAACCTGAGATTGCCGAGAGGTGGCTCAGCAAACGGTATTCCCAGATATGCTGATATTTTTACTGTCTTTGGACCAACATTTACATCTTCAATAGAACCAGTTATATTTCCCACATTCGTCAAAGCGGTTATATCAACAGCTGAACTCCAACATACACAAACCGACGCCATTAAAATATAATGATGGTTAAACTTTTTTATAAGTCCTAACGCCATGGCTGTATTGAACGTTATGATATGATCTTTAAGAATACTGTTCAAATGTGCCCCTGACCTCAATACAAGACCTACTAAACAGTGGGTCTCTACAACAAATGTATATTAAGGTTACTGTTCAAATATTACAACAAGATTTTGAAAGGCACCCTTCACCGAGAAAAACTGTTTAGAAATATAGTAAAATAATATCAAGAATATCAATAATAACAGAAGATATAATGTAAAACCTTGACGGAGGGAGGATCGGGCACCAAAATGTCATGGCCACACTGTTATATTATACATGTGTAAAAAATAATTAACTCTTTTTAACATTCAGTCATTGTCGTTTGTATATACCCTCATTTCATCCTTCAAATCTCCGTTTTATATTTATGTCTCTCCAAGGCATCATCTTGTATGCCCGCCCTCTTCGGCTGAATAATGCTGTGTATAAAAGTCTAGGCTTCGGCCAACATCACAACGTTAATGTTTATATACCAACTTAACATACTTGGTAAAAAAAATATCATTTTTATGAACGTAATTAAACAATAAGTTTTCCTTTGTGGCATTTCTAATTACAGTTCTTTCTAAATCGCATCCTCTCTTGTTATCTTCCTAGATGGTTGCTAGTTATAAGGAGAAGAAATGCCGACCACTTTTAAACCCTGTTGTTTACATTACTACTAATCAGGGTTAAACGAGTTAGATTGTTACAATTCCCACTGTGATTAATCAAAATTGGAAATAAAACTTTTGGTGACCCGCTTCGATCGGCATCAAAACTTCTTCTTTAAATAATTTTCATATTACACCCACAGAAATTTGACTAGTCATAAACAACACCTTTTATAGAAAATGACGTACTGAAATATGCCTATTCTGCATTTAAACTCTTATAGTTCACCCCTCTGTTTTCCCATGGCTTTTTTAGAAGGGGGTGGGGGTAATTTGTTATACTGTAATTTAAGGCGGGTGGATATATCTTTACTAGTATGTCATTCCCAGTTTGTGTATATCAATATTTACTTGGTCAATCTTATACATGATTTGGGTAGAAAACATTCAACCTTACGACATTTTGGCGAAAGATCTTATCGGCGAAGAGTTAAAAATGAACATTGGGGAAATTGGGAAAATCTATATTGATCACGGGTGATATATAGTGTGGTTATATTATGTTTGTACAAGGTGTATACTATATGTACTATTGTACGTTATTCTATTTAGGCTACACAGCCATACCGAATATTTGTCTCATACCTTACACATTTATTTTCAAGTGAGAAAATGTAGTTTGTGACCAAATAGGTCACATGAAAAGTGCAGTTATATTATGTTTCATACAATGACATACTTAAAGGGGCATCAGGTAAGATTAGATAAAGAGCTGCCAGTTCTCGCTACAATATTTAAAAAAATAGACAATGAAAAGGAAATTACACCACTCTAAGCCGAGATATCCTCGTTTCAATAACACCGTAGGTTCGATTGTTGTTGCTACCGCTGTTACCATAATAAACAAAGTCTCGATTATCCAGTTTTACGGTAACCACATCAAGCACAATACGTAATTATATCTGCTTAATATCGGAGCAATCCGATTGCATCGAGAGTTAATTATGGTCTTGAGAAGTTCATTAATCGTCCATTATGCAAGAGATAAATCTGCCTATTGCAGGTATTTCTTTAGGCCCGACATGTTATATAAACTATTAATTAGACATGAAAGACTATAATCAACTCTCGGTGCCATCTTATGTGTCCAATTAGAGTGAAGCAATTTGACGGACATTTTCAGCATATTCCCTTTACATCATCTTGTTTTAACTATTAGAGTGACAACTGTCAGTTCTTTAAGTAATCTTCCATAATGTATCTTTGATGTCTAATTAGTAATTCATATAACATTTTATGCCAATAGAGAGACCTGCAATAGGCAGATTTAGCTCTTACATAATGCCTGTTTAATATTTGTAATTCTATTAAGGCGACAAGTAACAGCTATATACATGTACGCAATATGTGTGTTATAACTTCGATATTCGATGTAATCTTTATACTCTAAATCGAGTGAAAAATTGTTAGAAGTTAGAAGGGGGGAGGGGATAATGCTAATTGAAGTAGAATATTTAATTCAGCAGGTGAATATCTTGACGAATCCTATTCATTTGCATGGACTGTCCCAAGTTATATCTTTGTTTAAAGTATATGTCCGTTGAACACATTTTTTTTTATTTGGGGGGGGGGGGGGGTATTGGGGTCTGGGCGGTTATTATTCATTATTGAAAATTCATCTATCTCTAATTTAGGTTTAGGTTGGAACGAAAAGGTTCACGATCAAGCAATGTCAAATTCGATAAGGGGTCATACAAAATAAAACTGAATGTAGACGGGGTGAATAGTGAATGTCTTCTTTGTATTGTCTTTTTCCTACGTATTTAAATGACTTCACCAAAATGAGATAAGCATTGACGTTTTTTTTTTTTAAAAAAAAAAGAGTTTTATTTCAATGTACATAGGCGCTTCCTAACGCTTTATAACCATTTCATGATGTTATATATTAATGTATATATAAATACATCCTACAATATCATATATATATATATGATATTGTAAAATTTGGTGAATAAACATTTTACAAAAAACAAAACAGAACGGTGGCACAGCCACACAGGGACGCAGCAGACTGGGTCTGGGTTTTTTTTAATATTTATAGATAAATTTTATTTGGTTCCAGTAAACCAGAATGAACATTTCTGAATTTAACTAAGCCTTCAATCTCGATAAAAACTACACATTTTTGGCATTTGGCACCTTATTTCCAGGGTTTTATAATTATGATCTGATATATTTGAAATAAGTGTCTTAGAAAGTTTCGTTAAGTTGTAATCTATGGAATTTAGGAAACTGAAAACTAATATTTCACAGACAACACAATAACCGAGTAGTAAGCTACTAAAATCTTACTTGTTCACACCTCGTGGGAAATATCTTGGAACTGTTTTCAAGTAAAGGCCTTGTCTGGTGTATTGTCTTCTTTTGGATGTCTAAATGTTGGGATTGGAGAAAGAAGTCATTTGCGGAGACCACACCCGTGAAGTGTAATCAGAAACACCTTTATCTGGATATATTTTACCTCCCAACAATTTCATAGACCGGAGGGAAGGGGGCGGGCATTGAAACGCAATGGCCTTAGGCCGAAAAGCAGGACACGTCTACACTGTCACCCTATAGGAAGAAACTGGAACAAGTAGAAGTTGGCGAAACATATCCATGTGCACCACCTTTCATGATTTCATTGTTTTGGGACTTAACCTGACTTACCGACAGATCCATAGATTCAAGACTGGACCGCGTTAAGCAGAGATCAACAGTTCGAGTTGTCAATGCTTATGACACGATGAATTTGATTCCAATTGAATCAGAGTGATTAAAGAGAGGGATAAGCAATTTTATTGTTCCGTGCTTTATAAAAGATAAATGGCCAATTAATCTATTTATTTTGGGAATCACGCGGGACATTAGTCTCACTGTGTGCCTGTTATTTCAAACTTGGCTTCATAATTCCACGGTTCACTAACCCATTGCTATACATACTACTATAATTACAGGTAGGAAAAGAACCAGCAGGATCTATTTAAGCAATTGAGCAAATGTCAAGAGATGGCTGCACCGAACACTGGTCATTACCGTAAACCGGGTACTAGTTAGCATTACCCACCCCAGTTGATACCATTACCCGCTCGTGTTATTCTAGTCATTAGGTTGAAACTTATCAAAAGTCTTAGCATCCATCATCAAGATTAGTGTTTTATCAATAACTTGCAATTAATTTTTGTATGTGAGTTCTTGAAATATTGCTAATGTCTTATGATTGATTGCTTGACGAGGTTATTACGTTTAAAGTTCAATATCAATAAATGTTAGAGTTATTTCCCTTTTTAACGATCGCTTGCAAAATTATAGATTAATTTCAACCAAATATCAGACCATGCTTCTGTTGGTTGTATACTTTGTTGTGTGGCAAGCTATCGTAATTATTAACACTATAACGTTGATATCGTTGACTAAGCAACAAATAACTGTTACACACCTGCTAATTAATGACAACTGTATAATTATAACCACTTTCTATAGATTATAGATACTATACATTAGTTTAGAATACTGACTATTAATCAACGGTGTCAGCTTAACAAGGATATCAACCAAGGATATCTTGCAAAAATAGCCTTTTATGCCCTGTAATATTTATTCATTGTATGCAAATCATGAACTGTTCCCGGCATTTCTTTTTAGATGCTATGCAGGACAACATTTCAGTAACATGACATTACGAGAATATAAAATAGATATACCCTGTATAGTTTTATCATCAAATAATTTTCAATTTTCATATAATATATATGGTACTGGTTTTTGGCGACTGGGTGATACTATGGGTGGGTTTGTGGGTGGCGCGTATAAACACGCCTCGGTAATATCATTTTGGTGGAAGCTGACGTAAAATAATCTAGGATATTTAATGTAAAGTGCGCTCGTTCTAATATAAGTATGGTGTTTCTTATTCTTTGTGCAAACACGTAGTGTGAAAAACCTTGTCGGTAACAAGGGTAATTTAAGACCCCAGGCTTAAAGATACATTATGGGAGATTACTACATACTGTAAAAGCAATTTGCTGAAAATTTCTGTCAAATTGATCCACTATGAACCGAGAACTAAGCGAGTCAAAGTTCCGCTTAACCTCGATCATCATTACTAAAGTCGGTAAGATAATACTAATAGTCTCGATTATCCATTTAAGGGAAAGTTTTGCAGCAATTCGAACTATAATCCAACAAACATCACAGGCTAGCCTTACCATCGAGAGTTGATTATGGTTTGTATAAGCTAATTAATGTCTAATTAATAGTTTTTATAACATTTTGGGTCTAAAGAACGACCTACAATAGGCCGATTTTGCTCTTGCATAATGTATGTTTAAATAGGTTTCTGGATACATAATTTTATTCAAATACTATTACACTAGAGCTTCATATAAACACTGAATAATATTCAATAAAAATAAAAAAGACAATTGAGGTAATAACAGTGAAGATATGAATTATAAGGCCTAAAGAAAGACCTGCAATAGGCAAATTTAGCCCTTGCATAATGTATGTTTAAAGATCTGATGTGAATGACATTTATTTAGATTACTGTTAAGAAATTAAATCCAAGACCAGCAATTAATATCAACACATACGATTTCAAAATGACAGCATCTGAGGTAGGCTTACAAATGGGTTTATCTTGTTTTAAGTCTGAGTATCTTTTTATTAACCCCTGTAGATAGTTAGTCCAAAACTCAGCTCGACGTCTATTTAAGTTACTTCTCACCTCTACCTCGCCGGATTTAAGATAAATATGCTTTCTAGCTTGACGGTCATACGTTTCCCAAATAACATCTGGTGTTACAGGTGTATTTGGATTTCTGAAATAGACAAATAAAAATAGATATACTACAGCACGAGAGAAATCTAATGATGATAGCAATTAGAATAATTTATAGCATGCATGGTTACAAAACTATTTAAAAAAATTCCTTGTAGGTATTTCAACAATTTATTTTCGCCCTTAGTGAAAAACATGAACATAAAATTTTCTTTTGTAAAAAGTTCAGACCACTAAACTGGAATCAAATTGAGGACTTTAAAAACTCAAAATATTATATTTTTTTTAACAAAGTATATGCTATAGTAGATCAAAAGTGGATAATGAACATATTGAAAATTTCATTCAAATTGCTTTATTCTGAGCTAAGTTAAAGGTATTTGAAGATGTAGCATAGAGTGTTTTTTGTCGCAGCAACGGTACTTGAAAATCGAGATCTAGAGAGTTTGTTATTTATAGGCCTGTCCATGTGAATAAATAGCTAAATAACATTTGAAGCCAGAATAAAGACCTGCAATAGGCAGGTGTACCTCTTATTCTTCTTTTTCAAGCGAATGTTTGACAGCATTGCCATGAATGTGAACGGGTTGCTGATATTATCTCTGAAAGAGGTGTATCTACAGAAGAGGTGGCCGACGGTCTTAATCAGTTGAGAAAAGCTGTCCGAGAAAACAGATCAAGTTCCTTTTAAAACTTTAAGCACAGTTTTGTCTTTTCAATAATCATTGTGTCGTACATTCGCTTTCCATTTCTATCAAAATCCCGCCTATATTAGCCCAGTCGGAGCAGAACCGTAGGACGTTAAACTTAAACCCCATTTCATTTTATTTCTATTAAAATTCCTACGGAAACGGAAACGGGTAATAAACATATTCCGATCTTACTCACCCCGACTTGGCAAAATTTGACCAGTATGTCATAATTGTTCTAGCCAAGGACCATTCTGTGTTTCTCACGGTCTCATTCTGGGACATCATATAGACAGATCCAAATACATATTTCAGTTGATCAGCATGAACAGCCCCAGTCATCCAAGGGTGATGGGGTCTAAATGGATTCAGTTGATTGAATTCATATTGGTATGTTTTAGATGAAATTTTATCATAAGCATGATTTTCTAGAGCTTTATAAGTAGGCACAAAAAATTCCACGTCGGTAACGAAATTTTCTAATTGTTGCATATGCAAATTTTTATCGAATGGATCTTTAAAATTATTATATTGGAAAAGTACCTCTGCGAGCATAAATGAAACCAAATCAGGATGATAAATCCTTGATAAAGAGCGAAAGATAACTGCCCGAATTGCCACCTCGACTTCTGTAATTGAGGCTGATCCATTTATAAAAGTAGATTCATATTCAGGTTCATTCAACAGAAATTGATCACTTTCAAATCTTGTTGTTCCCATAATAAGATCTAATTGATTGAAATATGTCAGTTGTGTTTCCTGTGTTGGGTTATTCAGTGCTTCAATCCTTTCCTTTGTTATAAAATCGTTATCTATCGTTGGACACCAGTCCAACAGCCCAGCGCTAAATGTAAGATCGGACTTCGTTGTCATCTCTGTTGGATTTTTAATACTTTTTAAACATGCTACCGTCTCTTCGAGTGATGAACGTGTACAATTTAATCTAGCAGCATATTTCTTTAATTTGTAAGCTGGGTCTTTCGTAACAGCCCAATCAGCGTTAACTGAACCACTTTCTGCTATGACTCTTTGGAACAAATTTTCGTTACCAGGATAGATAGCCTGGAACATAACAGCTGCCGAACCAGCCGATTCTCCAAAAACCGTAATTTTTGTAGTATCGCCTCCAAAACCCGCAATATTATTTTTAACCCATTTCAGAGCAAGATGTTGATCCCAAAGTCCATAATTCCCACCCGCGGCACTGTTTTCAGAACTTAAGAAGCCGAAAACCCCAAGACGATAATTGATAGAAACTACAATAACCTGACCATAGGCTGCTAGAATGTTACATGGTCTCATCCTACCGGCACCAAAAAGGAAGGATCCACCATGAATCCATACAAGTACAGCGTACCTTTTACCGCTTTGATCAATATCAGGACTAAAAACGTTTAGGTACAGACAATCTTCATTTTGATAATCGTTATCTGTGCTGGTATCCCAGAATGGCTTGAATTGGTGACAGGAGGCGCTATAGTTTCTAGCTAAAAAAAATTCGTTGAATTGTGGCTTTGGTCGTGGCTTAGAAAACCGGAGACTGCCGATTGGTGGTTCAGCAAACGGTATACCCAGATATGTTGATATTTTTACTGTGTTTGGACCAACATTTACATCTTCAATAGAACCAGTTATATTTCCAACATTTGTCAGAACAGTTATATCAACGGCTGTACTCCAACATACACAAACCGACACAATTAAAATATTATAATGATTAAACTTTCTTATGAGTCCTAACGCCATGGCTGTATTGAACGTTATGACACCTTTTCGAATACTGTTTAAATGTGCCCCTGACATCAATACAAGGATTAATAAACATTGGGTCTCCACACCAAATGAATATTAAGGTTACTGTTCAAATATTTACAACAAGAAAAATTGTTTATAAATGTATTAAAATAATATCAACAATATCCATATTAACATGAGATATAAAGTAAAATCTTGACGGAGGGAGGTTCATAGGATCAAAATCTCATAGGCACACTATATATGTGTAGAAAATAATTAACCTCTAATTAACGCCTTCTATAACATCCAGTTATACCTTAAAGTTAAAGTCAAAACATAATTATTTCTATGTCTTTTGCTCAATAGGTTGTCAACTCACTATTATACGATCATAGGTTATCTTTCTCACACTTAAAAATCTTCAAACCGGAAATAAAAACACAATAACCTCCCAATTACATCCCTTGTTTTCCTATTCCCCACCATGGAAAAGAATTCTTCAAACGTTTGAATTTGAAGTTGAAAATGATATTTTTGCCAATTTTTCAACTGGCAATAGTGAATTATAGGATTAATAGGATTATTCTTTTAGATACCATCTTTTTTAGGGCTTTATTTTAATACATTTTAAAAATATAACTTAAAAATATGAAATTATGGCCAAATAGGTCATACGAAAAGTGCAGTTATACACTCTTGAGAAAAAGAAACGCACAGCCCATTTTTTTATTAAACGGGATCGTTGTTTCCATATATACTTGTTTTAAGTATCATTTATGTAAGGATAAAAGAAATTCATTACTAACTTTAAATGTAGGGTCACTAATTGTGACTGGTCATACTTTTTGCCGAAATTTGTTTTCGCTTGATTGCACTAAGAAACACGAGTTTTCGCAAGGGGTTCTTGGTTTCAAAATCAGTTGCACATGTAAACACTCATGATGCCACATCTGAACGAAGGCCAATGTAACAACGCTACCGGTCGGTTACAATCAGATGAATCCCAGACAGATGTAGCCAGGCTGCTGAATCTTTCCTAGAGTACCATTTCTCGCTTTTGGGATACCGGCAGCGAAATTCAACACGTGGCCGCCAAGACTTGGGCCAACAAGGGTGACCCCACCTGCCCTGGATCGTCACATCCGGTTACGTCATTTGCGGAAACTGTTCAGAACAGCGACTTCTACTACAGCAGCAATTCATGGACGGTGTAACTCAGACTAGACAGTCCATAGATACCTACGTGAAACGGAATTACGAAGTTCAGACACGCGGGGTATGGCCACAGCAACACAGGAGAACAGTTTGGTTCAACGACGAGTCGCGGTTACTCTTACAACAAGGCGATGGTAGAGTGAGGGCATACCGATGACGAAATGTTACTGTGCGTTTCTTTTTTTGAAGAGTATATTAGGTTTCATACAATGTTATACTTTAATGGGCATTAGGTAAGATTGGATAAAGAGTTGGTAGTTCTCGCTATAAAATAGTTAAAAAGATAGATAATGAAAAGGAAGTAACCGTGTTGATAATTTCAATCAAATTACATGTGACTCTGAGCCGAGTTATCCTCTTTTCAATAACACTGTAAAAAACAACATCTCGATTATCCACTTTACGGTAATCGCATGAACAGTGAAACGTATTTATATCTACTTAGTATCGGAGCGATCCGATGGCACCAAGAGTTGTTTATGGTCTTGGAAAGGTAAGTTCATTAGAGGTAACTCTGTCTATGGCGGGTCTTTCTTTAGGCCTGAAATGTCATTTAAAGTATTAATTAGACATTTATTAACGTGAAAAGACCGCATTCAACTCTCAGTGTCATGTTATGTGTCCGATTTCCATTGGGTTTGAATCCGATCTGCTGTTCAACGCCCGTTGATGATTAAACGGAAAAATGGATACTCGAGACTTATTTAATGATCGTGACTGCGGTAATAATGACAATCGAGACTTATAGAGAAGCTTAACTATTACAGTGAGAACTGCCAGCTTTTTGTCTAATCTACCATAATGTATGTTTAATGTTTAACTAGTATGTGAAATAGCTTTAGCAGTAATTTATATAAAAATTTAGGCCTAAAGAGAGACCTGCAATAGGCAGATTTAGCTCTGACATAATGCCCGTTTAATGTTTGTAATTCTATTCTATTTAGGCGACAAGTAATCGTTATATTTCGACCGAAAATTCGTTAGAAGGGGAGGAATAAATCTAACTGAAGTAGAATGTTTAAATTTAGCATAGATTTTCAGCAAGTGAATATTTTGACTAATCCTCTACATTTTCATGGGTTGTCCCTAGTTATGTCTCTAATTTGACATGGGGGGGGGGGGTAATCTATCTCTAATTTAGGATTAGATTTACCTACCCTTAGCCTCTCTTTGCCTAACAGTTGGGGTGTCTAACTCGGTCTTTGGAGATTACCGACGGTGGTTTCTTTTTGCCAAATGCGAAAATTTGTCTTTCTGATCGAGGTTCAAAGCTTCGATAAACATCTGAATTGTACGCCCTGATTTACTGGAACGAAAAGGTACACGATCAATAAGGGGTCCTACAAAAAAAACAACCTGATAATATTCCAGGAATAAATGTAGCCATGGTGAAAGTCACTTTCGGTGCCATAGCGCAGCAAAAAAAAAATTCGACCGACGTCAAAATCGATAGGTATCTTCTTTGTATTGCTTCTGTCCTACATAAGAATCCACGAATACCGTAGAGTGAGGACAAACGAATTTCGAAAATCGGCCGTTTATTTATGAAAAAAGTATCGAGTCATCATCAAAATCACCAGGGATCCTCCTCGCATTACTACGGACCCATATAATAAATTTGAAATAAATATAATGAATCCGAACAGACTTTTATGGTGTGAACTAACGGTCGTACAAGCTCGATCGCAAAATACGTCCCCAAAACGTCATGGCCTTACACAAAAAGATTCAATCAAAGACAAATTCCGTGAATGATCTTTCTATTAAGAAGGGGAAATTTGAGAAAGGTGGCACAGCCTCGTATGTACGCATCAGACTGGGCTGATTTTTTAAAAAAATTATAGATAAATTTTATTTCGCTCCTGTAAACAAGAACGTACATTTCTGAATTTAACCAAGCCTTCAATCTCGATCAGAACTACACATTTTTGGCATTTGGTACCTTCCTTCCAGGGTTTTATAATTATGTTCTGATATATTTGAATTAAGTGTCCTAGAAAGTTTTGTTAAGTTGTAATCTATGGAATTTAGGAAACTGAAAACTAATACTTCACAGACAACACAATAACCTGGCAGTAAGCAACTAAAATCTTACTTGTTCAAACCTCGTGGTTTTCAAGTAAAGGCCAAGTAGTTTATTGTTAACACGTATCTAGTGTATTGTCTTCTGTTGGATGTCGAAACGTTGGGATTGGAAAAAGAAGTCCTTTGCCGAGACCGGGGGTAAGGGGGCGGGCAATGAAGCGCCACGGCTCTGGACCGAAAAGCAGGACAATTCTACACTGTCACCCCATAGGAAGAAACTGGAACAGGTAGAAGTTGGCGAAACATATCCATGTGCACCACCTTTCGTGATTTCATTGTTTTGGGACTTACCTGGCTTACCGACAGATCCACAGATTTAAGACTAGACTGCGTTAAGCAGAGATCAACAGTTCGAGTTGTCAATGCTTATGACACGATGAATTTGATTCCAATTGAATCAAGAGTGACTAAGGGATAAACAATTTCATTGTTCAATGTTTTATAAAAGATAAATGGCCAAGTAATCTATTTATTTTGGGATTCACGCGGGACATTAGTCTCACTGTGTGCCTGTTATTTCAAACTTGGGTTCATAATTCCACGGTTCACTAACCCATTGTTATACATACTACTATAATTACAGGTAGGGAAAGAACCGGCAGGATCTATTTAACGTTAAGACGTTGAGTGAAATGTCAAGAGATGGCTGCACCAAACACTGATCTTGACCGTAAACCGGGTACTAGTTAGCGTTACCTAGCCCTGTTACCATTACCTGCTAATCATTAGGATTAAACTTATCAACAGTCTTAGTATCCCTCAACAAATTTAAGATTTGTGTTTCATCAAAACTTTGCAATTACTCTCTGGATGAGAGTTCTTGAAATATTGCGAACGTCTTATGATTGTCTGACTAGTTTATTACGATTAACCGTATTAAAGTTCGGTATCAATAACATTTGGAGTTATTTCCCTTGTTAAAGAAACCTTGTAATCAAAGTTACGAATATTTTAGGTTTTTTCCACCAAATTTCAGAATGTTGATTTAGTGACGGACGATCATGCTGCTGTTGGTTGTATGCTTTGTTAAAATACAGCTAATAATATACTTTCAAAGAATAGCACTATCACATTTAGACATGAATATATTTGAAAAATAGCCGTTATTCCCTGTTAGTATCCATTCAGTCTAGACCAATTATAAATTGTTCCAGCATTTCCTTTTCGATGATATGCAGGACAACATTTCAGTAAAATAACATTACCAGAATATAAAATAGATATACAGATGTTCAATGTTCATATAATATTACTGTACTGGTTATTGGCGACAGGGTGATACGGTGGTCGGGTTCGTGGACCACACAGGAAAAACACCTATTTAACAACTAGGCCTCTATTCACGCTAACAAACTAACAATAATGGAATAGAAACTCAAGAGAAAGGAAACTAACAAGATTGATTCGGTTGTGTTCAATAGACGATGTAGCAGCGGTGTCTCGGTCTGTGTGCCATGTGCATCATCATCATGGTGTGGCCTATCCTGGAGAAGAATTGCTTAGAGTCTAGTGATGGTTGCCTTACATGTCATACAGATTAGCCCACCTGCTTAGTGTCTGGTGATGATTGTCTTACATGGCATATATAATTCTTCCAAATGTAATAACAGTTTTCATTTGAAGACTTTATAGCGACAATGTTCGTTTTATGCTACTTAAAGTAAGGCTATTAACACCAACATCTAGGAAGAAACAACCAACCAAACACCCAACCATCAAAATAGGAAAGTTTTCACATATCAAGTGTTATTTTTGTACAGTGCTTGCTTTTAAAAAGCAAACAAACAAAAGAAATCTCACCACTCAATACTAACAACAACACAGCATTTACATCACGCGATAAAGCGGAGGCGTTGAATATATCTTTTTGAAAACCAGAATGAATTGAACGACACTAATCACCCTTTGCTTTGTCCTAGTCACAAAGAGAACTTAATTAATGAACGAACATTACACCCCCCGGAATATAAAGATATGCTTAGTTGTATTGATATATCAAAGTCTTCTGGTCCTGATAAAATTAGTGGTAAATTACTTTAAGTCAGTTGCTGAAGATATTTCTATTCCGCTATGTTCTCTTTTTAATCTTTCACTCAATACCCGATCTTTTCCCCAAACTTGGAAACATGCAAACGTTTTAGCTCTCCACAAAAAGACAGTAAATCAGATTGTTCTAACTTTCGACCGATCGTTAAAAGTTTTTGAAAAATGCATACATAAGCATATATTTAAGTTCCTCCGCGACAACTCACTACTAACAAAGTTCCAAAGTGGTTTCATGAAAGGAGACTCCACTATAAATTAACTTACAGACATAAACCATTTATAGATGACCGGCACTATGTGAGAATTGTGTTCTGGCATGCCGGTCTCTGACGACAGCTGGACGCTGCCGCTATTAGAGGAGGCTTATTGGAGTGGCTTCAAAGCTATTTAACTGACAGAACACGGTGTGTTGTCGTCGAAAATGCCTCCTCTGGTAACTCAGTTGTCATGGCTGGTGTTCCGCAGGGCTCGGTTCTCGGTCCTTTACTTTTTCTGATCTACATAAATGATATTGCCGAAAAATTACAGTCAAATATAAAATTATTTGCGGATAATACACCTTTATATATGTTGATTAAAGATCCTACAGAAGGTGCCCAAATTTTAAATTCAGATATTGAGAGAATATACAGATAGGCTAAGGGCTAAAACATGGCTAGTTTCCTTTAATCTTGATAAAACTGAAACATTAACAATATCAACCACATCTAAGCAAGATTCGATTCCTCTTTGCATGAACGCGTTAAAATAAATGAAGTATCTCGCCACAAACATGTGGGGCCTATTTTTCAAAACACTCTTAAATGGAACATACATATAGAAAATCTTTGTAATAAAGTGTCAAAATTTATCAACTGCTTAAGATCACTGCAGTACCGACTAGAAAGGAAGAAAATCACTCAAAACAATATATGCTTCCTATATTTTACCACACTTTGACTATGCTGACATTATTTGAGATGGGTGCACGGATTACTTAGCTAACCAGTTAGAACAATTACGCACAATATGTGGCGCTGTGAAGGGAACTAGCCATGATTTACTATATAAAGAAGTCGGTATTTTGCCTCTAAAACAACGTCATGAAAGACGTAAGTTGATATTTTTTATATAAAATAATAAACAACTTAACCCCTGATAACTTGGTACCTTCTTATTACAATATTGGTAAAAGAAAAGTTCATATCATCTATTCAAGACTTCGTTTATCAAACAGTGATCTAAATGGACATGCATTTTTAAGACTGGTGGCCGACTCTCCAACCTGTCGATGTGGACACAATTTTGAAGATCCTTATCACTTTCTGCTGATATGTCCCTTATATTCAGATACAACCATAAAAACATTACCAACAGAATACATCAACACAAAATTTCTATTGCCTCTACGGATATTTCACTTGAACAAAATAAATTAACATTTTCCTAGGTGCAAAACTTTTTAGAATTAAGTAACAGACTTTAAGTATTGAAATTGTCATTTATCATTACCATCACTAGATTCTGTTTACATATTTGTACACTTTCATGCCTTAAACCAAAATTAGTCATTATGTATATCAAATAACCTTTTTATTTGAAAAAAAAATGATTGTATACTTTTAGAATTTTATTAATTAATAACACAATATTAATAGTTTCGACTATATACATGTATTTAAGTAAACTAATTGTAATTATATTGTTTTGTTGAAGGGAGAGGGGGGATATAGGCCTAGCCTGTTCCCCAATCCTATTCTTATTGAATAAAATATAGTTTGTTTTGTTTATTTAAAAAGAACAGAAAAAGACATTTATTATATCTTAAAATCGTATGAATGGTACATAACTGTAAATTTATCAATATGTTAATAATTAATTTAAGATGATTACCTCTTATTGAACAGAATTAATTGAAGTACGCGGTGACAACGTCATAGAACAACCGATGAGTTCGATAAATCGTTAAATATAAACGTCCAGGGCTTAACTGATTGACTGAAATGTTTGCGTAGTTTAGAAGATTGCGGTATCCCGACAAACTATGTATTTTACCGCGTTATTTAATAACTTAAAGATCTGATGTCAATGAGATTTATTTAGATTAATGTTAATAAATTAAATCCAAGACCAGCAATTAATATCAACACATACGATGTCACAATAACAGCATCTGAGGTAGGCTTACAAATGGGTTTCTCTTGTTTTAAATCCGAATATTTTTTTATTAACCCTTGTAGATAGCTAGTCCAAAACTCAGCTCGACGTCCATTTAAGTTATTTCTCACCTCTATCTCGTCTGATTTAAGGTAAATATACTTTCTAGCTTGACGGTCATACGTTTCCCAAACAACATCTGGTGTTACAGGAGTATTTGGATTTCTGAAATATATAAATACAAATAGATATACAACAGCACTAGAGAAATCTAATGATAATAACAATTAGAATAATTTAGATGATGCATGGTTTCAAAACTTTTTTCAAAAATTCCTTGTGGGTATTTCAACAATTTGTTTTCGTCCTTAGTGAAAGACATGAACATAAACTTTTCTTTAATAAAAAGTTCAGATCACTAAACTGGAAGCAAATTAAGGACTTTAAATACTCATTATCTTAGATGTTTTTGAACAAAGTATATGTCCGCGAATCTTTTATATATTAAAAGAAAATATGTGTAAAATTGCATACGAATCATACTCAAAATTGAAAAAAAAAAAATAATATTTAACACCTCAAAAATAACTATATCATTAGTATGCAAACAAAAAATTAATATTTAACACCACAAACATAACTATACCGGTATTGCAAACAAAAATTAATATTTAACACCTAAAAAAGAACTATATTATTAGTATGCAAACAAAAAAATGCAAATTCACTGTATCTGTTGGTTAGACTTGTCATGTGAATAAATATCTAATTAATAGCTAAATAACATTTAAAGCCAAAAAAAGACCCACAATAATGCATCTTTAATAGACGAGGCGAAGGTTTGACAGCATCGCCATGAATGTGAACGGGTTGCTGATATTATATCTGAAAGAGGTGTATCTACAGAAGAGGTGGCCGACGGTCTTAATCAGTTGAGAAAAGCTGTCTTATCAATAATCATTTTGTCGTGCATGCTCTTTCCATTTCTGTTAAAACTTCTATGGAAACAAGTGTTAAACATATTTCGAACTTACTCACCCCGACTTGGCAAAATTTGTCCAGTACGTCATTAATGTTTTAGCCAAGGACCATTCTGTGTTTCTCACGGGTTGAGTCTCATTTTGTGACATCTTATAGACAGATCCAAATACATATTTCAGTTCATCACCATGAACAGCCCCAGTCATCCAAGGGTGGTGTGGTCTAAATGGATTCAGTTGATTGAATTCATATTGGTATGTTTTAGATGAAATGTTATCATAAGCATGACTTTCTAGAGCTTTATAAGTAGGCACAAAAAACTCCACATCGGTAACAAAATTTTCTAATTGTTGCATATACATGTTTTTATCGAATGAATTTTTAAAATTATTATACTGGAAAAGTACTTCTGCAAGCATAAATTGAACCAAATCAGGATGATAGCGCCTTGATAAAGAGCGAAAGATAACTGCCCGAATTGCCACCTCGGTGTCTGTGATTGAGGCTGATCCATTTATAAAAGTAGATTCATATTCAGGTGCATTCAACAGAAATTGATCACTTTCAAATCTGTTTGTTCCCATAATAAGATCTAATTGATTAAAATAGGTCAGTTGTGTTTCCCGTGCTGGGTTATTCAATGCTTCAATCCTTTCCTTTGTTATAAAATCGTTATCTATCGTTGGACACCAATCTAACAGTCCTGCGCTAAATGTAAGATCGGACTTCATTGTCATCTCTGTTGGATTTTTAATACTTTTCAAACATGCTACCGTCTGTTCGAGTGATGAACGTGTACAATTTAATCTAGCAGAATATTGCTTTAATTTGGAAGCTGGGTCCTTAGTGATAGCCCAATTAGCGTTAGCGGAACCACTTTCTGCTATTACTCTCTGGAACAAATTTTCGTTACCAGGATAGATAGCCTGGAACATAACAGTTGCCGAACCAGCAGATTCTCCAAAAATCGTAATTTTTGTAGTATCGCCTCCAAAACCCACAATATTATTTTTAACCCATTCTATAGCAAGATGTTGATCCCAAAGTCCATAATTCCCACCCGCAGCACTGTTTCCAGAACTTAAGAAGCCGAAAACTCCAAGACGATAATTGATAGAAACTATAATAACCTGACCATAGGCTGCTAGAATGTTACTTGTTGCTCCTTTACCACTACCCATAAGAAACGATCCGCCATGAATCCATATTAGGACTGGGTACCTTTTACCGCTTTGATCAATATCAGGACTAAAAACGTTTAGGTACAGACAATCTTCATTTTGATAATCATTATCAGTCCTGGTATCCCAGAATGGCTTGAATTGGTGACAGGAGGCGCTATAGTTTCTCGCTAAAAAATTTTCGTTGAATTTTGGTTTTGGTTGTGGCTTAGCAAACCGGAGACTGCCAGTTGGTGGTTCAGCAAACGGTATACCCAGATATGTTGATATTTTTACGATGTTTGGACCAACATTTACATCTTCAATAGAACCAGTTATATTTCCTACATTTGTTAAAACCGTTATATCAACGGCTGTACTCCAACATACACAAACAGATACAATTACAATTAAAATACATTCATCAACCGCCATACCTGTACTGTACCGTATTTAATGATATCCCTAAATATTATTAAAATCTGCCAGTGACCCCGATACAACACTTAACCAACATGGGCCTCTATAATATATGTGTATAAAGATTACTGAATTATTATTATTAAAGGCACACTTCACTAAGAGAAAGTGTCTATAAATGTTTTCTGAGTACAGATAAAAGGCTTGACAAATAACTATTGTTTTACGTTCGCAAGGACAGCTGTCTAGTTGTTCGTATGGGAAGAAAAACCGAGGTCGAGTATACACATTTGCTTGCACGTAAAAGATCCCTTGGCAGTTGGAATTCGATATAAGGGTAGGCCGTAGCGCCGCTGTCTGGACAAACTTTCTCTCTTAGCACACTGCATGACTCATGCCCGTTTTCATTAACCCAGTCGAGGCAGAACAGTAGGACGTTAAATTCCATTTCATTTCTATTTATGTGTCATTTGTTTTGTTCATGGGATGATTTGAAAGTGCCTGTTTAAAACGCGCTTAGTTTACCTCTACATCTTGAATGTTCGACATCGGGAGAATGTTTCCAAACCAAATCCACATATTTATAATATTGTCCTTCAACATCTATTTCTTGTATCTAGTATTATGGTAATGACAGAAACACCAGTGCGTTGCTTTTACTAAAAGCGCCTCCCGTTAAATACCCGAAGCGTCTCTTTAATTCAAATAATATATCAGTAGTTTTTCTGATGGAGAGGTGTTTTTATTTTGTTTTGGCGTAGATAAACTGGCCCAGTTTATAACCTGGAGTTTTGTAATCTGTGATAGGTATGAAGTAATTGGACATATTATCACAAGGCTGCTCTTATATAAGGGGGGTTGGATGGCCGAATGGTTAGCACGCGCGCGCTGTATCATAAGGCCTGTCATTGAGTCAACTGGCGTGGTTTCAAATCCCCGGTTGACCCCTACGCGCAAGCGAATTATTGAAATAAAATTAAACCATATGTTAGTCCCGAAATGACATAGTTTGTGTCGAGTGGACATTAAACCCCATCTCTCTCTCTCTCTCTCTCTCTCTCTCTCGCTCTCTAGCTCTTATATAAACAAATTATTACTACATGCGTGTGGCTTAGAAAACCGGGGATTGTCGATGGTTGGTCGGCAAACGATATTTTCAAAGAGCGTATCGATATACATGTGACCTCATACCATACGGCGTCGATAACGCGAACACAACCTGGCCCGGGCAGAATTATTGCCTTTCACTCATTTTACGCCTGTAACTGTACAGAATATTTGCGGGTTTAGAAGATGCCCGAGTTATTTGATAGAAAGACGTTAAACAACAGACTGGGTGTCTTTAAGGGAATCCAGTATTCTTCTAGTAAGATTAGATATTTCTACTTTCCATATATATATATACACAAATTGCCATACTTTTATTGGAAATAACCACCCGATAAATACTTTTCTGGGAAAGTATCTTTAAGATGATCACCTCTGGTTGAAAATAATTAATTGAAGTACGAGGTTACAACGTCATAGAACAAAAGATGAGTTCGTTAAATCGTAAGCGTCCGATACATTAACTGATTTATGTTTTTCAAGCAAGTAATTATTGACTGAAATATTTGCGTAGTTTAGACCATTGCGGGTTCTTGGCAACCTGTTTATTTTACAGAGTTATTTAATAGGGCTATCGTCAGCTCATATGGTGTCTTATATATGTGTAAATATTAAATTAGAAATTTACTAGGACAGATTTTTATTGAGAACTAACACTACATACCGATTCGTTTAGGTTTTAACTAAAAAAGATCCGCTATGAATGACATTTATTTAGATTTATTTTATGAAATTAAATCCAAGACCAGCAATTAATTTTAATACATAAGATGTCACAATAACAGCACCAAGTTATTGAAACCATGTCATGCCTGCAAGATACTGGTAATAAATAACATTATCTTTGAAATAGTCTGGAATATATCTACTGTCTCTTCCAGTTCTGTGCCAAAACTTTGTGACATACCTGAAATTATCACCCCGTTGCTCTCTTCGTCAAGCCTTAACGCCTAGAAGTTTGATAAAATCCACTATCCTCTTGTAAATTTCACATATTCCGACATCGGTTTTTTTTTACAATATAAACATTACGGGTGCGTCTGTGTAAATTGGGAGACTTGCATTTCGCGTAAAGGGTAGACAGGGATCTCCAAATCGGGTACATTCGTTTAGAAATACATTTAGTGAAGGAAAATTCGCACGTTTGTTTTGCGGCAGTAATACTTATTAGGGTTCCCCACTGTGAAGCTTGTGTTAAACGCTATTGTTTTTTGGTTGGATTAATATTATGTTCTGTTTCTACTTGCTTATTTCGCAGAAACTGTTCATTAAGCCACTTTTCGTACCCCGTTTTCCGCAAAGGTTATTTAACATTTTCATTATTTAATATTTGTATTCGAAACGTTTATATACATGTAGGGTTGATATGTAAGATCAACCGAAAATTCATGAAACATTTTGTATTTTTGCTATTTCCGAGAAATAGGCAATTTTGTGGGGTTCACCTTTCAAAAGAATAAAATATTGTTCTGTTTTCATGACATTTTTATTTAATTCCACTCATCGAAAAGCACAAATCAAAGCAAACATATAGATATCAAAAGATAGTTTATAACTTGATGCAATTGTCCAAAAGCACCGTTATACGTTGTTTTGCCCAACACATCTATAGTGATTTTGAAAGATAAACTACATGTATACTTTCAACCCTTAAAGCAAACATTTTATTCTAAAGGGTGTTATTCGAAACCCTTTAATAATACTGTTTACTAATTTCCTTTACGTAATATTGTATTGATATACGACCAAGCACTTATCTTAAATATATTCTTACATTAACCATTGCTTTCATAAATGACAATTTTGCGTAAATTTAACAGGTGTATCATGCTCATATGGGATTTTGTTAAAGGTTCAATACCACTCTTGTTGTAACTGAATAATATGTCCCAATCTTTATTCTGGTCAACAAATTGTACTATTTTACAATATTCCAATTAATTGATGATACAAATTTCATCTTAACACACCTAATTTAAAAAAATTGGAAAAGTTCAACTAAATGATTTGAAAAGCCTGACGTGAAGCTTTTCAAATGTGATTTGGATTTTAAAATATTTTTGAACCCTCTGGACAAGTAAAATAGGATTTAATGGATAATTTACACAACAGGTAAGACACTAACACATCTAGTACTTAGAATAAAGCTATTTTTTATTTTCTGGAGCTGTCAAGCCAGCAAGAGTGTTATTGTCCCTTTAAAGTGGGGTCAGTTAAAGGATAACGGGCACCGGTAAAACCCGCCATGACTGCATCGCAGTTACAGTTTTCTATAATTTTCTAAGCTATTTCTAAACTCTTTTTTGCAAAAACAAATTGCCGATATTTTAATATCCCTCACAGTTCAATGCATCATAGATATTCATAGCATCGCATTTCTACCAAAATGTTTCCCACAGAACAGTTTTGCATAACGGTAATAACTAGTTTATTTTTGTGATTTAGGCACGTAAGATTTGTTTCAGATATTAAGTTAGAAAAGACAATAAAGGGAATCTTAGAAATATAACTCCTCCAATAATTGATTATTGTTAACTACAATTTATTTATTTCAAGATGAAAATTAGGAATGTACCAAACTATTATGTAGTTATTTCGAGAAACAGAAATATTTACGATGTTCAAGTTCAAAAAACGGGATTGTCTACGCATTAATTTTATCCGTAAATTCCGCCTTGAAAGAGGGCCCATTTACAAAACCGGAAAAGGACAAAATTATATAAGAGAGACCACAGATACATGTGCCGTGTTCTGCATTACATAGCCTTGATTGAAGATATGGAATTATGTAATTGATGTTTATTGACACGCCATCATCATCCTGGCGATAATTCGCCAGAATAATTATTATAGTCCTTGATTCAAGACGTTCCTATATGTAATAATATATAAAAATCGTTTTACTTTTGTTGAAGGCTTCATGAGAAATTAGGTTACATATACAATTACATGTAGTTTGATCATCACTCCAGTCTAAATTCAAGTTTAAAATTTCCGAGAGTTCTCAAGGCAAAGGCTTATGCAACGGAATAGCTAAGCAACTCACGATGACTTTTGCATATTATGGACCTAGTTATTAATGTGTACGCGTGTCAGTCGGGATAAAATTTGTATGTAGCATAAATCAATATTCAAGTCAGTTGGACAAACAACTGTGGTCTTGGACCCCTTAAAAATAAAATTTATATTCTACTTGTCCGAAACGACTCAAGCCAAACAAATGTCCCATCCCTCTTCGAATATTCCAGATAACTAGGTCAAACATGGCTGATGTTCTGTAGCGCGATGTAAACAAACCACGATTTGTAAAGAGAGGGACGTTATATAGCTTGATCTGAAATTAGTTCCCTCATGTAAGAAAGTAATGGGATGGCAATTCCAGGTGTGTCACTAAGTTTTAGCCTTTTTAATTAAAAATTGCAGAAATGGCAAACAAGTGTCTTGTCGTAGTGTCACCTGGAACAGTCAGTAAATGAAAACTTAAAACAACCTCTTATATACCAAGTTAAAAACATTATATCATATCTGCAAGATACTAATAATAAATATCCCTAAACCTCCGATGCAGTTTTGACTGGTTTCACCATTGCCCATTTAACCGACGCCACTTCCGGTACCAATGAAATGAAGATGAAATGAAATGGGGTTCAACGTCCTACTGTTATGCTTCGAACTGAGCTAATAAACACGGGCATACGCCATACAGTGTGCTATGAGGGAAATTTTGCTCGGACAGCGGGACTGTGGCCTACTCTTATGTCGAATTCCAGCTGTAAAGGGATCTTTGACGCGCACGCCAATGTGTATCACGCCGGAAAAACTTGATAAACTTTCTCGGCCAGTGCAAGGATCGAACACCCGACTTCCAGGCTAGCGAGCCAGCGTCTTACTCACTTTCAGATGTTTTGATACTACAATGACACCAAATGGATCATTGATCAAGACATAATAAATAATTATTTGTCGGCGATGACTCTGTTTAGAAACTATGTTCGCATTACTGTGGGCTATTCAGTAATTGGAATATAACCATTTAAGATTTAAATTTATAATGATATGAGCTCATTTGAATTATACGATTGTTCAAGAGGTATAAAATACAGTGTTTTTCCAAATGACGTCATTTCCCGTGTTGACAGAAATTTTTTTCGGTAATAACAAAATTGAAATGAATCGGATATAATATAGATAATGTAGCTAGGGCACCCAAACCTTTTTTATGGCAAGGGAGATGGTCGAGAAAATATATATTAATATTTCTTATAACAGGACATTCTATACAAACGTTTGTGAAATATCATACAAGACTGGCTATGCAAAACTAAGAAGAAACAATATTCGATATCGGACATTTTTCCCAATTACAGCAGTATTTCGGGCATGTCGTATTAAATGCAAAATGTTCCAGATTAGATTTAATGTCTTAGTCACATCCAGGTGCACAGGGATACCAAATTTTTTTGGGAGATATATCTATAGGGCGGGATACATTTATGCTACTTTGCCTGACAGAAACTTTATTTTAAACATACATGTATACAGATTTAACCAATTAAAAAACCTTATTTCGCCGCAAAGTAAGAGGTTAGAAACAATTTATTCATATATAGATGATCTTGAAGATTTATAATATATATATTGACTGGACTCAAATATCATAAATGTAAATTACAATGGTGGAACCGCGGCTCACAATATTAACAAAATAACAATATTAATATTAACAAAAAGAGTGCAAATACATGATAAAGCAAGGACATGTGTTGCATAGGATTTTTGGGAATTCCCGAGGTTGATTCTCAGGCGGGGCCTATAAATAACGGACTCGATGGCTTCGAGTATATACTTGTCTACGATATCACCCCCGGTGGAAGTGGACGTTAAACTCCAGAAACGAACGAACGAGCTTCGAGTATTGATGAGCGGGAAAAAGAACATATAACAGATGTTGATGGTACGAACTCTCATTCTCAAGTGCGTGTCACATTCTTTATTCAGGACTACATTATATAGTGCATGTTTGTATTCATACGCTCGTAGACTTTATTAACCAGTCACACTTCACAGTTGACTGGGGTTTGTTTTTAACAGCATGTGTAATGACACAGAACCCCTGAAGAACTATTATGTACATAGTGTTGTATAAGTCAAATGGGTGGGACAGAGAGTACACAATGAAACGATAAAGCACGGGTGTGTATAGTGATACAGACGACTTGAAGAACAATATTTACATAGCGTTTTATAGGTCAAAACGGATGAGAGCCGAAATGTGGGGCATAATATCAAATATACGTTGAATGTCCTGTTTTGTACACGATACCCATTACTATTATATATTTTTAAAAACAGACATCAGGGCCAAGATCTTTCTTATGCTAACTAAGAGCAAATATTAAAGCGGAAATTGCAAATTTTCTAAGAAAGTCAAAACGTAATTATTTCTATGTCTTTTGCTCAATAGGTTGTCAACTCACAATTATACGATCATAGGTGTCATTCTCACACTTAAAACTCTTTTACGCCGGAAATAATAACACAATTACCTCCCAATTACCTCCCTTGTTTTCTATTCTCCACCATGGAGTAGCGATATTCAAACGTTTGAAAATGAAGAGGAAAATGATATTTTTACGGTATACCAAGATAAGTTGATATATTTACGATGTTTGAACCAACATTTACATCCTCAATAGAACCAGTTATATTTCCTACATAATATGTCAGAATAGTTATATCAACGGCTGTACTCCAACATACACAAACCGACACAATTAAAATACAGTGATTTAACTTTTGTACGTGTCCTATCGCCATGCCTGTATTGAACGTTATGAAACCATATTCCTGAATACTATTGAAAAGCAACTACGATAATTAGAGCCCTTCTATAATAAATATCATCACCTCACTACATTTTATATCTTTTCGAGAAACAAACTATTCTCTATATAATTGTTGCCCTTTTATGTGTCTACTTGTATGTACGATCCATACCCTACCGTGCAAAATGCGACCGACGAAAAGGTAACTCTACCGCATCAAAATCTTGTAGTCATAAATCTGCTATTCTTTTTATGTCATTTGCTTTGATTATGACCTAATTTGAAAATGCCCATTTAAAACACTTTTAATTTGTATAACCGAAGCTAACATGACTATCAGTCCTATCTTTTATTCAAATAATGTATCAATGATTCGTATGTTAATAATGTGTTTGTTTGCGATGGAGGCGGTGACAAAATAGTGTATAGAATATGCGTGTTTCATTATAGTGTTTGGTCAAGCGTGGATCAACTACCCGAGTTTCTGACCTGTCACAGTTTTTAACCTGGAGATCTATATTATATAATATTATATAACCTGTGACTATAGGCATTTAGTAATAGGACATATTGTAACAAGGCACGGTTTTCTTTTCTCCACAATCTTCTGTTCATCCCCCATCCCCTCAATATTCTGGAAGCTTGTTGAGGCGGCAGAGACTATTGAACATATTGTTGTCCCCGCCTTTAGATGAAAGCAGGTGACTATTACAATGAGTCTGACCGTCTGTCTGTCCGTCCATCACACTTTTTGGGACACAATAACTCTTCTTCTAATTGAGCTAGAATGTTCAAACTTGGTGTAGGTGTTTATTAGGTGAATGCCTTGACGAAGTTACAAGATTGGAAATTTTCTGATTAGGCTAAAAAGCGATAAACAATTTGATTGGTTTAGACTTTGGAACACGATAACTTTGGTTCCAATTGAGTGAGAGCGATGACATTCCGAATATAGATCCATTATAGCAATACCTTGACGTAGTTCGATGGTGAGGCTAAAAAGCGATAAGCAATTTGATTGATTAAGACTATGGAACATGATAACCTTGGGGGAGAGCGATGAAACTTCGTGTGTAGATTAATTATATTAATACCTTGACTAAGTTCGGTTATGAGAATTTTAGCCATACGCAAATTGATTTGTCAAGACTTTGGAACATAACAACTCTGCTTTTAATTAGATGAATGTCTTGACTGAGTTCATTGATTAACGTTGCCCGCTAAAGCTAAGTAGGGCTAAGCAATTTCATTGGTCGATGCTTTAGGAGAGGATAACTGTAATTCTAACTGATAGAGAATGATGAAACTTATTTTATAGTTTCACTACCAGGTACTTCAAAACCATGAACTAATAGGTGTCATCTATGTTTTTTGGGATTTCAGCGGGGGACATCAGCCTTGCTGTTGGCTTGTTTTTAACGGATTATTTTGGCAAGCAAATAATTGACAGTAATATTATATACATTACCGAGTTACTTGATATAGGAACGTTATACAACATACACTATCATTTTCATTAATTTGAGGATTTATCCTTACATACAGATTCAAATTACTACTTGTTTACATTTGATATTAAAGGTATAAGAAGATGGATTTTTACTCCCGAATTCCGATAATTGAAACATAATTAAATCCAACCCCAACAACTAACATTAATACATAAGATTTAAAAATAACAGCATCTGAGGTAGGCTTACAAATGGGTTTCTCTTGTTTTAAGTCTGAGTATCTTTTTATTAACCCCTGTAGATAGTTAGTCCAAAACTCAGCTCGACGTCTGTTTAAGCTACTTCTCACCTCTATCTCGCCTGATTTAAGATAAATATACTCTCTAGCTTGACGGTCATACGTTTCCCAAATAACATCTGGTGTTACAGGTGTATTTGGATTTCTGAAATATACAAATGTAAATATAAATACATATAGATATGGGACAGCACAAAAACCTTTATCATGAATGCCATATTTAGAACATTTTAAAGCATACTATAAATTAAAAATCTCTAAACCAAAAGAAAATTATCGGCTTTTAACGTATTATATTAGGTTTATTTTAACCCAGTTACAATCTTGCGAACAGAATTCAGTTTGACGTATATCATGAAGCCTGTGAGATTAGCGGTTTCATTTTGCTGAAATAACGACTCTTATTAGAACCAATCGCGTATTTAAGGGTGTATTCAAAGTGGTGTGTATGTACCGGTCTCAGTGAGCTTTAACGAGTCGCGTTGAATATAGTGGGGTTGAAATAGGGTTTAAAACTTCCTACTGTTCTGCTCCGAACTGGGCTAATAAAGACGGCCCGGCATATGCCATACAGTGTGCTATGAGGGAAATTGTGCCCGGACAGCGGCAGTACGGCCTACTCTTCTATGGAATTCAAATTGTCAAGGGATCTTTTACGTGTACGCCAATATGTCCACGGGACCTCAGTTTTTTTGTCCAATCCGAACGGCTAGACAACTGTATTTGTCAGGCCCTCCGTCCTCCATCACTGACAAGGAGGAACCACGCCCGAAAATCTGAATGAACATTCTAGGCCAATACAGGGATCGAACATCCGACCTGCAGGCTAGCGAGTCAGCATCTTACCCACTTAGCCAACGTGACCCCCTTGAATGTTAAAGCAAGAGTGTGCATATTATGATACAGAACACACCCAGTGTTTGATAAGTCAAGTGGGTGGAAGAAGAACTTTTTGAATCCATTATACGAACATTTGCTAATTTTCAATCTCAGGTGTATCAAGTATCCCTACACGGATCTTTGAACTCCCGAATTTGGCCCTTTAAATATAATATGTTGAAATGCACACTGTACACTTTGTTTCGTGCACGATGCCAATCACTATTACACATGTTTAACATGCTCATCAGCGACAAAAAAGCAGGTTCTTTTTTATACTTACCAGAATAAAACGTAAACCCAGGTTTCCCAATACAAATCATTATGTGGTGCACACTGTCGCCAGTTCTATTAAAACTCTCACGAAAACGGAAACATAAGTATTAAATCTAATAAATATATTTTTTATATCTTACTCACCCCGACTTGGCAAAATTTGACCAGTATGTCATTAATGTTTTAGCCAAGGACCATTCTGTGTTTCTCACGGTTTGAGTCTCATTTTGTGACATCTCATAGACAGATCCAAATACATATTTCAGTTCATCAGCGTGAACAGCCCCAGTCATCCAAGGCTGATGTGGTCTAAATGGATTCAGTTGATTGAATTCATATTGGTATGTTTTAGATGAATTATTATCATAAGCATGACTTTCTAGAGCTTTATAAGTAGGCACAAAAAAGTCCATATCGGTAAAGAAATTTACTAATTGTTGCATGTACAAGTTTTTATCTAATGGATCATTAAAGTTTTCATATTGGAAAAGTACATCTTGAAGCATAAATTGAACCAATTCTGGATCATAACTCTTAGATAATGCGCGAAGGATAACATTCCGAATTGCGGCCTTGATGTCTGTAATTGAGGCTGATGCATTTATAAAAGTCGAAAAGTATTCAGGTTCAAATAGTAGAAAATAGTCACTTTCAAATCGGCTTGTTCCCATAATAAGATCTAACTCATTAAAATAAGCCAGTTTTGTTTCCCGTGCTGGGTAATTAAGTGCTTCAATCATTTCCTTTGTTATAAAATCGTTGTCTATTGTTGGCGACCAATCTAACATGTGTAGTCCAAAGCTATTTGGGAGATTGGCTTTCGATGTCATCTCCGATACATTTTTAATACTTTTCAAACATGCCACAGACTCTTCAAGTGATGAACGTGAACAATTCAATATTACAGAATATTTCTTTAATTTGGACACCGGATCTTTATTTATAACCCAATTAGCGTTAACTGAACCACTCTCTGCTATGACTCTTTGGAACATATTTTCATTGCCAGGATAAAGAGCCTGGAGCATAACAGATACCGAACCAGCAGATTCACCAAAGATCGTAATTCTTGTGGCATCACCTCCGAAACCTTCGATATTATTTTTAACCCATTTAATAGCAAGATGTTGATCCCAAAGTCCATAATTCCCACCCGCGGCACTGTTTCCCGAAGTTAAGAAACCGAAAACACCAAGACGATAATTAACAGAAACTACAATAACTTCTCCATATGCTGCAAGAATGCTACTTGTTGTTGCTCTACCGCTACCCACGGAAAACGACCCTCCGTGAATCCATATCAATACAGGGTACTTTGTACCGCTTTGATCAGTATCAGGACTAAAGACGTTTAGATACAGACAATCTTCATTTTGATAATCATTAACTGTGCTGGTATCATAGAATGGTTGGATTTGTTTACAAGAAGCGCTATAGTTTTTTGCCCAAAAAATTCCCTCGAATTTTGACTTTGGTTGTGGTTTCGTAAACCGGAGATTGCCGACGGGTGGTTCAGCAAACGGTATACCAAGATAAGTTGATACTTTTACTACGTTTGGACCAACATTTACATCCTCAACAGAACCAGTTATATTTCCTACATTTGTCAGAACAGTTATATCAACTGCCGCACTCCAACATACACAAACCGACACAATTAAAATACAGTGATTTAAGTTTCGTACGTGTCCTATAGCCATGGCTGTACGAACGTTATGAAACATATCCCTGAATACTATTGAAATGTGTTTGTGACCTCAATACAACGCACAACAAATAGTGGACATCTACAACCAATTTATATATGGATTACTGATCCTATACAATTTTAAAGGTACACTACGCCGATAAAAAACTGGTTTCACAAGTTTTCTGCCAAGAGACGATAGACAAACAGCTATAATAAGTAACACAATAAATACAACGATGTCTCATTCAGGGCATTTTTATAAAGAAACACTGGGGGTAAGGAGGTCAGGGTTGTTGCCTCCTGGGCATATCTTATAACGGATCTGGTGTATCAGCATTGAGACATTTCCCCAATAATTACAGTACTAGAAAGTGCCCTGTTCAAATAAATAACTGTTTCCAGCACCCCGAATTGCTAAACGACCTTTCAGCTATAATTATTATTTAAAAAATAAGTCATGAATTTAAAGTCATTGAAATAAGTGCTTTTAGACATTCTCTAATTAGCACTTTTCTAATATTTTTACCTCTGTATTGCATATTTTTCGAAAGAACAAACTATTCACTATATTTCTCTGCGTAATATATTACCTTGTATGTTTGTTCCCATCTTGTGAACTTTTTGTGATATATCTTATAGCCAATGTGTATACAAGATTCGATTCGAAATTAACAAAGCCTGATTAAAACATGCTTAGTTTGTATCTGCATCTTGAATTTTGGATGTGGAGAGAATGTTTTCGAACCAACATTAACTACATTGTGATTTAAAATTCGGATTTGTTCGAATTTCTTGTTTTTACAAAAGCACCGAAGCTAAGAGTGATATTGAGCCGTCACTTTAATTCAAATAATGTTTTAATTGTTCGTATGTTGGTAATGTTTTTGTTTGTAGTGGCGGCGTGGAGAATTATGTATAGAGTGGTTGTGTTTCATTGTGCTGTTTCTGGCCCGTGACAGTTATTAACCATTGAGGTATATATGCTATACTACTATATAATCGGTGATAGGCATCTCAGAATTGGACATACTATCATAAGGTACAGTTTATGGAAATGAAATGGGGTTTAAGGTCCTACTTTAATGCACTGACTTGGCTAGTGAAGACAACAAATTACAGAATTACATACGACGAGGATGCTCGTCTATCTATTAAGGAAAATAAGTAGATCTTAACAACATGGTTTACAGACATTTGACAATTTAGAGCTAATTTTTATTCAGCTGTGACAAAAACTATTGATGGGTATTTCTGTAATAACTTACATGACATCGTCTTAAGTTAAAATGGGGATTTCAAGAAATCATAAAGATAAGAAGATCTTTACAAAATGGCTTACGGGCATTTGAAAATTCAGAGCTAATTTATTCAGCTGTGACAAGATATAATTATGAGTTTTTCTATTAACACTCAATAAATACATAAACGCTCATCTTCTTAAAATATTCGTTTCAAGGATATCATTATGAACGGTCTTTATCGGTCCTCTTATGATCCCAATGTTTCTTAACATTAAGCAACAGATGAACTGTAGGTGCAGTAAGTTAAGATTACGCCGTATCTTTTGAACATCGCTCAATGCAGAGGCATGGACAACTCATATTTCACATTTACCTACAGAACGGTTCACAAAAGCAACAACCAATTCGTTTACTATTATGTCAGTTAACTTAAACAGTGGATATTTCTAGCTGCGACAGATGGGGAAACATGTGGCAACATCTAGCTCAAAAGTACATCCCGACGTAACTAACTATATATATGTATATATTTATAATTCCGCACCAATATTGCTATGCAACATGGTGAAAGAGGTGACAAGCTGATAATAGAAGGAACTACGTTCATGACCAAAAGTAATGGTAGTCTGTTTCATAATGTTAATGATTTGGAATTTATTTTTGGGTAATTGCCTATAAACCCTTTCAAAAAGCTAATAACGTTCTCATCCGATTGATGATTTGAAAATCTCGAACAGCTAAAGCTATTTTTTAATTACTGGTGAATAAGGAAGATGTAGTACTAGTTATTCTATAACGATATTTCTTCACTGGTTGTTAACGTTTAGGGACATCGGCCGTCCTTCACATAACGGACAATTTCATCAGTCGAAAGTGCTCAACTTTCTCCTTACCGGTTGTAATATACACCACTTCGCGATGTCAAGGATCGATATTACGTCCCCTGTTCTTCAATATTTTCATTAATGACTTACCATAAATCTCTCTTCTAAACCCGACCTCTTTGGCTTTTAAACTAATTTTTAATGTCCATCATAATGCTGAACTGTACCCAACAATAAATAATCTTAAAAATCTAACAATAGAAAACCGTCATGCTCATGCCTACAATTTATGTAACTTTATCTCCAAAATTTTGTCTAAGCAATGTCCTAATTATCTGTGCGATCATTTGTCTTTCTATTGAACTATCTAGACCAACATTAATAACAAACTAATTACTCTGCGACCAAAACTTAATACTGTAAATTATAACAGTATCCGTTTTAAAGGCTCAAACCTATGAAATTCTCTACCATCTTTGATAAAACTGCCCCCTAACTTCAATTCGTCATGAAACAACAATTTAAATATCTTAATGTCAAACAATAATATTGGTACCCTCTTTATAAATAATTTATAGCTAAGTTTACCTTGTTTTGCGTTTGCTTTTATGCCTTTGCAGTAATCGTACATTTTGTAAGTTGTATGTTTCAAACACACACCCACCCACTGGATTCTTCGACCCATTCTCATTATTATTGTAGCCCCCTCCTCTCTCTAGGCTTTATAGAGAATATCACAAAACGAACAATATAATTTATTAAATATTTAAATAACACCTTCTAAAAGCTACCCAGCAATTTAGCTCCATGTACATCAAAATGACTCTGTAAAATATTGGAACCAACTGATTTCTTCTGGTTTGGTTGTTGACCACCAACAAATACATTTATTCTTCCTGAAATGATATTGAGCAGTTTTATACACTTTATCTAATAATAAAATGCAATTCATTCGAGACATTGACTGTTTATCAGCTATCAAGTAATTTAAGATTGTATTGATTTAAGTCATGTCTCATGCTTAGGATATATAGTAATTGAGGTTAGAAGCCATGTCGATCTCCACGTTCATGGATAAACTAAGCTTTTCTTCAGTCGTCAACTCACCCTTGTAAGATCGAAAACTACGGCTGCGTGAAACTGATAGACTGTGAAGTATAGATGATAATAACTTACGTCAAGATTGCTCAATTTCCTTAGATTTAGATGAACATGCTATTGGTCCAAAAGTCTACATGGGGCTTTAAAGAGTGAACCTACCTATATTTGGAGTGTGAATCAAAGGTTTTATAAAATAAAAAGGGTAAAGCTGATTCATAGTAGAAAATGCATAAATTGGAAATGTTTTGTGTATCTAATTAACGGAGAAAAAATGGAAATATTTTTGTTTATCGAATTAACGGAGAAAAATGTTTTTGTTTTATCTAATTAACAGAGAAAAATGTTTTTACCCGCTTCGACTTTCCATCCATTGTTATCTATCCAAAGTGCCATCTGGTCAGCTTGTATTGTGAATTTTACTGTTTTGTGCCCATGAGCAGGAATTGTGATTCGTTCAAAGGATACAAGTTGTCTTTGTTGTGCTGGTATAGCTGTTTGAGCCCAGGAAATATAGACTTGAACAACCTAGATGCAAACATATATAGCCTATATTTATCTCAACTCGATCCCATTTGAAGCAAGTTTAATTTAAATCCATTAAATATCTCTAACTTAAATGTCATCATACTAAGAAGCTAATGTCGCCATTAGGGGGATCAGTTATAAGGATAAAATCTTCAGTATAAAATATAATTCGAACTCTAAAATCTGAAGACAACCTCTTCTCAAACGTATAACAATCATGATATTTAACTACTTAATAGCAAACCTCATCAGCCTGAACGTTTCCACTATTTGTAACGTCTACAGAACCATGTAATTGTTGACCAGCCGTTACACTTCCTGCCATTTTTAGATTACCATAGTGGAACGTAGTGTATGTTAGACCATAACCAAATGGATAGAGAGGTTCTCCTTGGAAATAACGATAGGTTCTCCCCTTCATAGAGTAGTCAACCATTGCTGGAACCTACATTGGTTCAGATTATATTAGTTAAATCTTAGGTATTCCCTTCATAGAGTAGTTAACCATTGCTAGAACCTGCATTGGTTCGCGTCATATTAACTTTTGAAATCTAATTTAAATAGTAAGTGCAAGTGAACCGCGCCACGCATAAACAGACAGTAATACCAAATACACACTCGGAGACAAGGAACATGAATGACACACCGACATTGCAAGCAGTGGTCATTAAAAGTGAATGGATTCGTATGCCCGTCGAACGCGTCCACTTCCCTGCACAGTCCCGGGTATGTGGTGGTACAGACTCCACTTACAATTTCAACAAACACATGATGCATTTCAGAAAGTGTATGCCATGATCCACCATGTGTTTACGAAATATCTCAATGCTGGTGCCTAGACGGAAACGGTTTAAATTTCTTTTCATTTCTTAATTTTGATTTAATCTGGATGAATTAAATATTTAATTAGTTTAGTAGTTTCAGAGAAAATTCTATTTTTCGGAATGGACACGCCGTTGTTGTTCACAGCTGCACTACTTGGCATTTGAATTTCCTGAATATAATTTTAGGTTTATTTAATGTCACATAATGTAGCATTGGTCCTATCATAGGGATAGAAATATGGTGGTCGTTAACACATACCTGATTAGAAGATACGAACCAAGTATAGGGCAATCGTCCAAACTGTGATTTATTCGTGGTGGTCATTACATTCTTCAGCGCTGTGCCTGTCCCTTGACCAGGATAAAACGCGGCGATGATAGCATTGACTCGGGGACTTTGATCCGCCCACTGGATATTAACAGGTCCACCATTAAAAGTTATCAAAACTATTTTAGCTGATCCACCTAGAATTGTTCGATGTAGGACGTCATTAAGTTATAATATATGGATACGATTACTTATTAGGTGTAATGGTACTATAGTTTATGCATATTATAAATAAGGTTAAAAATGGTGAACATCCTTCCAAGGTTATAAATGGCTAACTTACTTACTGTTAGCAACAGCATCCATAATCATTTGTTTTTGGTGTCCAGGTAGCTCTATGTCATGGCGATCTTTACTTTCACTTTCAATGGCAATCCCTAAGAAAGTAAAACAAAAATTATTAAGTAAATGCAGTTGATATCAGTGGTTGTGAATACTTGTTCCGAATAGACAGGTAGGGGCATATAGATCTCCTTATTCAACTCATAATACGCATGATTTATATGTACAAGGTACATGACGCACATGATTTGTGCACACAATAATATACACAGTATGAGACACAGAACTTAAGCACATCACAACGTACAAAGTACACGACACACATAATGTATGCACATGATAACGTACAAAGTACATGACGCACATAATTTATACTCACAATAACGTACAAAGTATATAACACACACGTAATTTTACACATCATAACGCACAAAGTACATGACGCACATGATTTATACACATCATAAAATACAAAGTACATGACGCGCATAATTTATACACATCATAACGTACAAAGTAAAATCTTAATTCATATTTATATATAAACCCTCTATAAAATATGAACTGACAATTAAATCATCTTTTGTGATCGACCACTTCATCCTTACGGAGAAAAATTTCTACAACTGACATGTCCAGGGCCTGGGCTGAACAGTGAGAGCAGTATTTCACGATTGAATTCCGGCGCTACAGTACAATAAAATTAACAACAATTAGTACAACTCCGTACTGTACATGTTAGTATACAAGCTGTAGATAAAGGAATTAAATGATGTAAACTTGACACTATGTTTAAGAATAAATATTCCTGGATAATGGAGGCTATTACACATTAACAACCCATAAAACGTTCCATATGCTCCTATTGAAAATGAAAATCAGTTGAGGGGTAAAACATCCAGATATTAGAACCCAACGTGCTATTATTGAGTCGTCTAAATTTGACAACGGCAGCTTTGTCTCCATATGATATATTTTTTTATTGCATGCACAATTTCCAGAGCTATACTACAACCATTTAATGTCAGACTTTCCTCAGTTTGGTCATTCGGCAATACTCCAGACACCATACACCATATTCTAATTATTTATTTTATTGTCAACTAAACACCAAATTGTGAAAATAAAAAAAATCGGAATAACTGAATACCTGTCTTCTTTAATAATATTATTATTGTCCTTTATAAATTCCGTTAATACTAAAAAGATTTTCTAAGGCGCCGTTGGTTATTATATTCACTGATTATTTACAGATCAGGATTTTGAAACAAGAATGTATTGAGTTGGGATTTAAACAGACCCACGGACGTTAATTGTTCCATTGACTTTAGTAGTTTATTTAATGCACATATAATTGAAAACATTTCCCTGATACCATGAGGTAAAATCTTTGGAAATACGTGCACGTATAAATCATAAGATATTTCTATAAAGTATATTATAGACACTTACCCAACCCTACGCAGATGAAGACCACGTCAGTTCCCTGTACTGCGTTTTTAACAGAATTAGAATCATAGGAATTGCAGAGAGTATCTTTACAGCCTTGAACATAGTTGGCATGTCTTCCTAAAGATTCCAAACCTCTACGCGGCGTGGTGATAAATTTCCAGTCAGGATAAGTTTGATAATCTCCACTTAATGCAGTAGGAAGATCAGCCATTGGACCAATGATCTGTTAACAATAATAGACAGTGTAATAAACATTTGGGTAAATGCGGTAAAAATCGTACACATCATTTCCTACTTCAGTTTGTAGATTATAAGCAAATAGGGAAACTGGCCAATGTATTAATTGGATGTGAATATAAACCCAATTGACCAATGAACAATGTAAAGAAACATATCAGCGTCCATAAGCTTACATATATGTGATAGTCTCCAAATATTATTTTAAAATAAAAATACGGTATGGTTAATCCAGCTAGTGTATTTTTATATGGATTTAGTCTGGAAAATAGTAGTTTTAATATAGATTGAATAGTGAGTAGTTCTTGAAAAGTCTGCTATGATATATTACAGTCAAACAGTATACAGTGACGTTTCTTTGTCGTTTTTGAAAAATAAATCAAGACTTACAGCTATTTTATTATAAATTGTTTGTCGTAAAGGTAACAGACCATCGTTTTTCAGTAGAACAAATGTCTTCATGGCTGATGATACGGCATAATCTCTATGTTCCTGTCCTTCTATTACTGACATAGTAATGTAGGAATATGGGCTATACTTTTGAGGATCAAATTCCCCTAATCTCATTCTGGTGTAGAATAGAGGTTTAACCCTTTCTCTTAGTAAATTTTCACTTAATCTACCACTTCTCACAGCACTGGCTAAAAAGATCACAAAACTAAGCCGTTATTTTTCAAACTAGCGTACAATATTGACTTAATTCAAAAGCACAGGAAATGTTATCTGTGTGAACTGAAATCAAAATTGCTATCGGGTTTTCTAAGGTAGAAATTGCCTCGTATACTTTAGACAAGCACTGAGCAATTAGAATTACAATGTCCGTATTTTGATTCTGTGCATTAAATAACTTACAATACATGCTTATATTCATTATTCAATAAAGTATGGTTTGATTGATGAAAGGAATATGGCGTATACATATTTTATGTTAGTCAGTTTACGAACCTATAGTATCAAAAGCAACGTTGTGATTAGGGCCCCAAGTCAGTTCAAGGTTGACACCAGCATCAACTGCTGCTACAGCAGCATCAATATTACTGTGTACATATTTATGAGCCCAAACCATGTTCTCTATGGCAACCTGGTCACTGATTACATACCCAGTAAACCCCCATTCCTTGCGTAATATATCGGTTAATAATTTCTTGTTGGCACAAGCTGGAACACCATTGATGCTGAAGAAAAAAATGACACAAATAAAGGTTTAAATTCAAGATATATATATCACATTTTAAAGCAAACCGGCCGCATTGCAGATATTAGTTTGTTTTTATTTTGGACCTGTTTATGTAGGGGTGAATGAGCGAAGACCCGTTTTCACCTAGTGAGAAATATCCAGAAAGAGTAGGTTGATTATATGATTGCCCGGCTTGTAATAATTGACTATAGTTTAATAAAGAGTCGGGTTGTATTCATTAGGGATAATCCGGTTTCACATTTCCTTTACTCCTTCAGAGTTAAAAATCTATGAATCCATTGGGATTGAAATATAAACAGGTCTAAATAATTGATTGATACCCAAGGTTTTAGTAACAATCCCAGGGTATCGATATAGCTATGTTTGGATAGACCTAGTGTGGATAGATCCAAGTCTGCCATTATAATTGCTAGAAAGTCGTGTACATCAGTAACACCATTTACATTAACCCCAATTTCTCCTGATCGATAATAATCTAAATCGCTACTAATTTTGAGATAAGAAATCAATCTACTTACGAATGGACAGCAGATATTGAAAGGTAGAAGTTAATAAATTAAGTTAAGGAATGAGGCCTAGAGAACAAGGAAATCTGCCAACCTAGGTTTATATTGAACTACTTACCTATTATAGCTACACATCATGCTATACACTCCGGCTTTGGCACAATATCTAAAAGCTGGGAGAAAGGTTGTTCTCCAATCTCGTTCTGACACCTGTAAAAAGTGATAATAGATAAGCTACAGTCGTTAGATGTGACAAAGTGCTCCATAACTTGTATCATATGGAGACTATATTTTATACCTGTAAAATGTTTATTTGGATGCATTGAACCAATTTGAGCCCCAACTGTGCGAAGCGTAAAAGTCACATTTTTGATCTACGCTATAAGCTATACTGTCCACTACATATATACACATCGACTACATACATGCACGTATTTAGTTACGGACTTAATAATTTCCTCATGTAGTGACAATGTCCGTGATTTCATAGAATGCACAGTAAGCTATACGAAAGTATATAAGACCCTGAGGCGAGAATCTTGGTTAGAGGAGTGGAGACGGGCGTATGGACTCACCTGAATTCAACCGCTGCATTGGCAGAGGCGCGGAATGGTTGTCCTTAAGTAGCAATGTACCGTGTTTATATTCATATTTATGTTCCTGATGTATTTATGTAGCTGTTTCATATTCTGCCCCCGATGTAAAGAAATCCTATATTTAAGAAACTGATTTCTTTTATCTCTATAGTGTTACATAGCTTGATTAACCATACATTATGCAAGAGCTAAATCTGCATATTGCAGGTCTTAATTTAGGCCTTAAATGTTATATAAACTCTTAACTAGAAATTTATTAACATGACAAGCCCATAATCAACAGATTTTCAACAGATTTGAATCCGATATGTTGATGATTAACCGTAAAAATGGATAATAGAGCCTTTGTTTACTATCGTAACAACGGTAACACTGACAATCGAGGCTACTGTGTTATTAAAATGAGTATAATATCTTGGCTTAGAATGAGGTAATTTGACTGAGATTTTCAGCATATTTCCTTTACATTATATATCTTTTAACAATTATAGTGAGAAATGTCGGCTTTTTATTCAATCTTCCATAACGTCGCTTTAAATAAGGTACATTGACAGATTGTACCGCGTAAATAGGATCGAGGTGGGTATTACTAGAAACATGCCAACCAATGGAAACATATAATTTAATATACAACGATTAAATGAGTGTGTTATTTTTTATATTATACATCTATGCTAATGGGCAATAAGGTGAACATGTGATCTTATCAATATTACGATCGTATTTTCCGACAACCCAGAAGACATTATCTACTACAAGAAGTCTGCGGTGCTTTTCTTTTGTTGCAAAAATACATAAATGGAACACACTTATAGTTCATACCTTTGAATCAAATGAATTTCTGTTTACGGGGACATTTTCCGGACCACCATGTACATCTAAATGTTTACATCCAGCAGTTGCTCTCACATACCGAGAATGGTTACCTTGAAGACCATGGACAAAGGCTGTAGCTAACATACCACTAAGATATGGATCTTCGCCATATGTTTCCTGTGAATATAGATGGGTGCGAACAATAAAATATTTTAAAAACCTTTAACTGGCTCCTGATTATTTTATCATATTATTAAGAACACGTTGTAATGTTGCTCATTTATTAAGAAATTTGTAAAGCTCACATGACTACTAATCAGTGTTGTAATTTAATATCCAAGTTCCACTATGCTTCGGGGTTGGCCGAATGTTTTGACGTTAGATCACAAGGACTGTCATTGACTCAAGTGGCGTGGCTTCGGCTCTCCGCATGAACGTGAAAAGGAGTAAGGACACCTGTCCAGCCTTGTGGGTGTTCTCCGGGTCCTCCGGTTTCCTCCCACTGCTAAAAGACCCCTACTAACCATGTGTTAGTCCCGATATGACCTTTTCTGTGTCGAGTGGACGTTAAAACCCATCTTCTCTCTCTCTCTCTCTCTCTCTCTCTCTCGGCTAAATAAAGTACCCGGTGATTTGAATGGTTAAATGACAAAACGGAAACATACAGTTCTTTAGCGGACGGATTCAGCACAACCGAGTAACGATAGTGTAAAATGATAAAACATATGATAGATCAAATTCTTTGCGCGAACTTTTCTTAATTACAAAAACTCTTATGTACTGAGACGCAATAAAACCGCGCCACTTTTAAAAAGGATGACTGTATATCTCGAATGAGGGACACACTTTAATGTTGCAAGACTGAATGCCACAAAAAATGATCACGGCGATAACACGTCACAGTGGTGATCATGGTTGGGCGGAAACACAAAAGAATGAATGGGAATGTTAAAAATTACGATTTTATGGCGAAGAATTCGTGTATAAAATGGTGTCTTCTAATACTAGGGCGAGTAGAACGCATACAGTTCTGTGAAGACGCAAGGATATGCCAATGTTGCCAGCTCGCGTTGAGTTAATTCAAGGGAAGGGGCGGTCGCTGAAGGGTTTGGCTGCTATTTCACACGACCATCCTGAGATTGACTGATGGTTTCCAGCAGACAGGAGTCCATTAAAGATCGACAACACCACAACAACATATGTAGAATCGCCCACTGCCAGTGTCGCTATGGATGCCTTTGGCAAGCCCTCTTTTCCAGTCTTTAAAAATGGACCATGTTGGACAATATTGGTGATATCGGATGTAGTCTTTCAGAGTTCCCGTCTGCATAATCTCAGTCAACTAGACGCAGACTGGAGAATGATCGCACCCACAGTCAAAGGCATCTCTTCTTCTGGCGCTGATGTTGCTAGATTTGTAAACACACGCTATTGCCCACTAGAAGTACGGATGTAATCTAATTAAATGTCTATCCTACAATTATGCCAAAACTCATATTTCAGAAGCATTATGTCTCGCAGGCATTTTCATACAAGTTATTAGCGCGTTTTCATTGTGTCGCAGTATATCTATCAATAGTACAGTTAGAAGGATACGAACTGCACGTTAACCGTAGTGACTATACCTGGTTTCTTCCCCATCGAGGATCTCTCATTATATTAATAACCGGTGCGTAACAGCTAGCTCCAGTAATCGAATCGTACTTATTGTGTTTGACAGCGTCGTTGTGAAAAGCTCGTACTTCTTCTCCACTTACTTCAGCCAATCTGTATACTTCGTCATGACTGTAAAATAGTATTTTTTAAATAGACAATACAGGATTACCTTAATGTAAATTCATCTAGACCACACACCCGGAATAAATTCAATATCACGTCAGGCAATGTTTTGGCGGAATGGAGCTGGGTTCAGGTTTTTCGTTTTAGAATAATTAGGGATATTTAACATAAAGTTGATAAGGGCCAATTCCAGGATGGGATTATCTATTGGTATGAAGATCATTTGTAAAATACCACTATTATGTCAATACCTCCATGTGGCGGCTATTCCAATTGCTTGTGGAAATGCTGTAGCTTTATGCCACACTGCTCCGTGTAAACATTCTGTATCCCATTGGTAAGGTCCTATGCCTAATCTTGTTATAGCTGGAGCTGGACCATTTTCACCTTGACCACCTCTTGCCATCTGCATGGCCATTTCATCCACAGTTAGTCGTCCTACCAAATCATTCACACGAACGTCCCATGATAAACTAGTATCTTTAAAAGGATAATCCTGCAGAGAAAACTCTACTAGTAAAAGTAAGACGAACGTGTGCATTAAAGCCATTGTACTAATAATAAAATACGTCGAAGGTTCACAGTATTTATTACTAGCATTTCTTATCATCATATCTTTGAGCAGTTTATAATATGGTCTACATCTTAACAGATGTTAATTTGTACACTTCTTTCGGTGCCACGATAAGAATCTAACATTAGTTATACAAGTACACGCATACTGTGTGCGTCATGGTTTGGTTCAATAAGACCCGAATCCGTCGACGTTCATAACTCAAACGTTCTACAAAGACCCACAATTTTCTGCCCATTTCAACTTGTAAAACATTTAATTCAAGGATGTATTTTGTGTCACTACTTAAGATATGGCTTAGAACCAACCACCTGTTTCCTCTTTTAGTGTATGTTAGTGTCCTACTAAACGACATAGCATAATATGCCTATCCTTGATATGTCGTGCTCTGATATAATACGGTGTGACACTGCAAGTCTTGGTGCATTGTTCGAAATGATTTCACTAAAGAGCTTTGTTGCTATATTTCTTCTGGTGGAGAGTTCATTGCAGGATTTTCCATTTCGAAATCCTAACCTGTCTTGGAATACTCGGGTGGATGATTTAGTAGGGAGATTGACTCTAGATGAAATCACCTTACAGATGGCCAAGGGTGGTGCTGGTATAAATGGTCCAGCTCCTGCTATATCACGATTGGGTATTGGACCGTATCAATGGAACAGTGAATGTTTACATGGGGAAGTGGGGCAAATGGCCACGGCTTATCCCCAATCTATAGGACTTGCAGCGTCGTGGAGGTAAATTGATTTGCAATTATGAATTCATTATTTATAAACAATGTAACATGGGACATTTTTACATATTTTACAGTGGTTCGTCATTTGACAACATTTATATGCGATACGGAACTGTTTTGTTATTTGTGGTTTCCTGCACCTGTAATATGTTCGGTGTAACAAACCATAGCCTAAACTTCGGTAATATGCATATCGATAATAAGGCTGGTCGTCCGTGATTGTCGTGTAATAAACAACCATCAATACGGTATCGTGTGGTCTAGAAAGCTTACCCAAAAGGGTGCACGAAACCAGTCACGTTAAAACCAATGCAGATACAACTGTTCGCCTTACTTGCCGAACTAGGTGTTTTTTCTATGAATGTAAATTTATCCAAAAGAGATGCATTTCAAGAGTGTTATGGTCGTCATCGCGATCTTGTGGAAACGCATTCGTTCTAAATCTCGTGTTCATGTATCACTCGTTTTAATGAAGCTCACTTTGTTCGCGGTTGGAGAACCTTGCCGGTTAAACCTATTTTTCACAGGACATCTGATAGTCAACTATAAGACATTATCTTATTTGGATAGTCCAATGGAATGTTATCTCTCACGCTTAGCATCGCCTTGCAAATCACTTTTGCAGCTATGACGTAGTCCATCGAATGGCAGAGGCCACCTCAGAAGCTGTACGAGCGAACCACAATAAAGCAGTAAATAACCATAACTATGCTGATCGAACAGGGTTGAGTTGTTTTTCTCCGGTTTTGAATATAATGAGGGATCCTAGATGGGGCAGAAACCAGGCGAGTATTGCAAATGGTTTATTTCTAAACTCAGCAAAGATATATTAGCAAGATTAAACATAAGATTAAATGATAGACAGATTGACTCTTTCGTGTTGATATTCATTTGGAGAGTCAGTATTCGTCCGACCGTTGAATGGCTCTAGAAATATTTCACGTGGGTTACGTCCCTAGAATACGTTATGTGTGTGATGGGGGAGGGGCATCAGTTGATTCTAAAAAAAAACATACGTAAGTTAAGTGTTGGTTGTACATGTGAAATAAGTTTGGCAGAATTTTGCTATTTAAAGTAATAGCATTATATTAATTATGGCTTTAACTAATTATTGATTTCAAGTCACATCTCACGCACTTAATTGAATGAGTGGTGGGTTGACACATGAAAAGATTTATAAAACCAAAACATAGCGGGTTCTGTGTGAAAACAAAATATCACCAGATCATGGTGGTAGGAAAATTACTATTGCATCATTTGGCTTAGTAACCAATCATTATTAATTACGCCACATTTGACCAATTAGATATTTAAAAGGCGAAACACAAGTGTATAAAAACATCAGAGCTCTAGTCGATCGGAAGACAGCCGCTAGATTCTTAGAAAGGAAGATATAGCAAGTTCTATCAGCAGACTCGCTTTGGCGAGTTTGGATGGAGGTGGGATTGAAAGGGCGACTTTATTGTAATCTATGCTTGTAACCTATGTATCCATTTAGCTACCAAATCCTGTAAATGTTGTAAAGTACTATAATATCAAACAACTAAATCCCGACTCGTGTGGAACCCATTATGCGCACGCCCGCTTTTATTTTCAATTAGCCGTATAACACTGGTATCAAACCTTTTCGCCGGTTGACAAATCTAAATAAATGCAATTAAAGTTCATTACTCACACTCAGAGTTTAATGTGATTCCTCTTTTAGTTGGTCGGGGAGGACCATTCCGCTCTCTATCTCCCCCTCTCTCTCTCTCTCTCTCTCCTTGCAAGCGGAAAACGGAATCCATTTTAAGTTTCGTTGTTCCCTACTTTTGTCTTTAATACCCAATGGTTCCGGCATCCGTATAGCTTAAGTGTGGTTTGTTTCATTTTCCAGGAAACCTACGGAGAAGATCCTTATCTAAGTGGTATGTTCGGTATAGCTTTCGTGAAAGGTTTACAGGGAAACCACTCGCGATATATTAGAGCTAATGGCGGATGTAAACACTTTAATGTTCATGGAGGCCCAGAAAATATTCCTTCATTTCGGTGGAATTTTAACTCTAAAGTAAGTATTCTTTTAAGATTGATTTTGTAAAAGGCGTAATGGGATCTTAATAAAGAGCTGTCTGTCTTCCACAAGACAAACCAGCAATCCTTGACGCCTGATATTTGGTTGGACACGAGGCCCACAACTTGATCATGACCTGGAGAAGAAACTGACTGAATTAAAATCCATTGGGTGAAGCAACGAACGGACATGCGTCATACAATGTGTTATCGAGGAATTTTGTCCGGACAGCGGCACAACGGCCTATTTTTATTTTGAATTCAAACTATCAATGGTTCTATTACGTCCTGTCTGAACGACTATGCGCTATCTCTTGCCAGGCCCTAAGCCCTGAACCTCTGACAAGGGGAACTCATCAAGACTTTCTCAGTCAACACCAGGATAGAACACGGGACCTCCAGGTTAGCGAGCCAACGTCTATGTCCCGTTTTCCACGTACTCATTGTCGCCGGTTACATGAAAAAGGCCCAATTAAATTTGAATTAAACCGACTATATCGCGTACGTGGAAAACTTACTGAGTCGCCGTGGCTCTCCAGAATCGTTGGAAATCTACACGATCAAGTTCACACCTTTTGTCATAATTTTGTTTACGACCAGACTCTATAATGTATAGACATCTTGATACAACATTGCTTAGCCAAGTAATTGTTGTTTTATCAACTATTGAGATTCATAACTACCTCACTACCCACGCGTTATTACTTCAAATTTACTGAACTGCCAATTTTCTCTCCAAACTCTGATTGCTATATGCCTAATCCTTATATTTTTTAGATTGTAAGTAGACATTTGCTTATGAATCCTTAGAATTAAGGGTAATTTAATCATTAATTTACAAACATAAACTAGGCTATCCTTGTTTCATTTTTATAGGTTTCTATGAGAGATTGGAGAACAACCTTCCTGCCAGCGTTTAGATATTGTGTAAAGGCAGGGGCTTACAGCTTGATGTGCAGCTACAATAGGTATTGTTAGTATACAACAAAGTACATACCCCTATCTGAGTAGCATATCAAATCAACCCGTGACACCAGTAGTTTCTCTACTGGTACTCATATTTAATTTCATATATACGATGGGTTGGGTTTGTCAAGTTATTAGTGAAATTGACGTTAAGTACGTGGCACAACCATTGGGTCCACTCGTGTACGTTAAAGAACCCTTGACATTTTGAATTCAATGGCGAGCGTGTGGGGTGGGTTAACAGGTGTAACCATAAGAATATTTCCATAGTATTTCACGGAGTGAACTTTCGATGCGAATGCCATACATGGTGACACAGTTCTTATTTGGATTTTTAAAAACTTTGCTCAAGTGGTATTTCGCCAGTGTGAGTGCATATATTGTTGGGAGGGTTGGCTGGATGGCCGAATGGATGGCACGTGCGCGCTGTATCATAAGCTCTGTCATTGAGTCAGCTGGCATGGTGTTCGATTCCCCGGTTTAACATGACAAGGATTAGGGTCGCCTGTCCAACCTTGTGGGTTTTCTCCGGGTAACTCGGTTTCCTCCCATTGCTAAAGACCCCTACGCGCAAGCGAATTATTGAAATAAAATTGAACCATGTGTTAGTCCCGAAATGACCTAGTTTGTGTCGAGTGGACGTTAAACTCCATTTCTCTCTCTCTCATAGCTAATTATTGTAAATCCTCGCACCATTTTTCTTTTATCAGTATTAACGGTGTACCAGCATGTGCCAATAAACAGTTACTTACAGACATACTACGTAAAGAATGGGGATTTCATGGTTATGTGGTTAGTGATATGGAAGCTGTAGAAAACATCAAAAACGCATTTCATTACCGTTCAAACGACGTTGATACTGCAGCTGTTGCGTTGGAAGCTGGATTAAATCTTGAGTTAGCTGCGCCTGATTACAAAAAAGAGACGCTTATGTCAATTTGTATGTTTTCATTCATTTTATATCTTCCCTGAGACAAAATTACACCATGACTTTGGTTATCACAGCCAATGGGTAGAAAATATAATTATCCATTCTTTACATATTGATTGCAATGTTTCTAGCTTTAAAAACCGTGCGGTAGTTTCCAAGGAGTTCACGGGGCACTTGTAAAACATGCATTGGCTGTTAGAAGGAGTATACATAAACTTGATATAATTTACTTTAATTTCTGGAATAAAGTCATAGACCGCCCATTAAATGCAAGTAAAGGTATCAGAAATTTATATATACTATTCAAAAAAAGTAGGGGATATTTGATTTTGGGGGCATAATACTAAAATATGCAAATGACTACGAAAAAAGTCACTATAGAACCTAACAGAAGAAACATTTCCAGTTACATGTGACGCCCAAACGCACCAATAGCTACCGCATGGAATGCATGTGATGCTTGGGATCATCATGGGGGTCCAACCCAAGATTTGCACGACTCTGACTTTGAATGTTACAGTCATTGTGGCATTGAATTCCAGGGTGGAAACATCAGTTTAATTGTTTTAGTGACCAGAAACCAAATTTTGATATGCGTCGGCTTACCCAAAATGAAAGGTTACGTGCCCTTGGCATGCTACAGATCGGCACAACACAGGCGGTTGTGGCGCGGACGATGAATGTTTCTCAGTCTGTCATAAGCAGGCTATGGTCCAGATACCGTGATACACAATCTGTACAGGACAGACCACGCTCAGGTCGACCAAGGGCGACAACTCAAGCCCAGGATCGATTTATCCGTACCTTGGCCTTGAGAAATCGTGTCATCACAGCAAATCAGATCAGCGCTCGTCTTCAAACAGACACTGGTGTGAGAGTGAGTGGCCAGACGATTCGGAATCGACTGCATAGGGGTCACCTTCGCGCCCGACGTCCTCGCGTGATCCCTTGTTTGAGAAATCATCACATTCAGGCAAGACGTCGTTGGTGTAGGGATCGTCAACACTGGGATAATCGACGCTGGAGCAATGTGATGTTTTCAGATGAGTCAAGGTTCACTGTTGATTTTTTGGACAGACGTAGGAGGGTGTGGCGTCGTCGAAACGAGCGCTTCCAAGACGTTAACGTCATCAGACATGATCGATTTGGGGGTGGTTCTGTTATGGTGTGGGGAGGCATCACTGTTGCTGGAAGAACGGCTTTACATGTTGTTGCAGGGCGTGTTACAGGCCAGTACTACCGGGACAACATCTTGGCAGTCCATGTTGTGCCGTTCGCACGCGTCATGGCCGCCGTTTCATCTTCCAGGATGACAACGCAAGATGTCACAGGGCCAGGATCGTTACAGGTTACCTCCAACAACAGAACATCACCACATTACCTTGGCCAGCACTGAGTCCCGACCTCTCCCCCATCGAGCATGTCTGGGACATGCTTGGACAGAGGTTACGTCAACGTCAACAACGTCCTGCCAATGTCCAAGAACTTGCTGCTGCGTTGCAACAGGAATGGGACAATCTGGACCAAAATGACCTTAGACGTCTCATTAGGAGTATGCCACGTCGGATCAATGCTTGTTTGGCAAACAGAGGAGTATTTACCCGTTACTGACTTGGTTGTGATGCTGTGGTAACTTTGCTGTTTGACCCCGGGTATCATTTTACCCATATAATGGTCAGTCTGTGCCTTACTTAGTCTAACGATCATTTGGAATAAATCGATGAATGTGAACTTCATTTCATTTTGTCATTTGTTTCTTCGTCAGTTTCATTAGGTGACTTTAATATCACTTAAAAATCAAATATCCCCTACTTTTTTTGAATAGTATATTAGACAATGTTGAAATTATCGTATTCCGTACTTGACCTGTTCGAAAAGTTCATTTGGTGAGATGTGACTTTAAAGCTCGTGTTCTCTTCCAGCCGAAGCTGTTCGTCAAGGACAGTTAGCTGAAAGTGTCGTTCGAGAAAGGGTTAAACCACTCTTCTATACCAGGATGAGACATGGCGAGTTTGATCCACCGAATATGAATCCATATTCATCCATCGGCATGTCCGTTATTGAAAATCAATCGCACAGAAACATGGCAATAGAGGCTGCTATGAAATCTTTTGTTTTATTGAAAAATGATGGGACTTTACCATTAAAAACACAGCCTTACAACAAAATAGCAGTAAGTGCTATTCCTCTTGACTTCAGTTTTATAATTAGAGATATACATTTCGAAAAATAAATATTTAAAATAACTTCGCTGAATTTAACAGTAGGAAATGACGACATAACATTATATAACTGCAGCATCTTCCACAAAAACGTTCATATCGAAGGATTATTTAAACACATTAGCTTACGAGTCTCTCATTTTACAGATTATTGGACCAACAGCCGATACAGCATATATATTGATGGGTAGCTACGCATCCAGTCCGAACGCTAAGTTTATTACAACGCCTCGAAGAGGTTTGGAATCTCTTGGTCGAAGCGTCAACTTTGCTGTTGGCTGTACGAACAGTACTTACTGTACAAACTATGATTCTAATTCCATCAGATCAGCGGTACATAATGTTGACGTGGTTTTCGTCTTTGTCGGATTGGGTAAATTGAATTCTTTAGTATTTCGATAGCAAGTAGCACCTTGTGGCATTTGGGATTAAAATACAAACTTTACTGTATATAAGATACTGGCATATTTAGTTGGGTAAATTCTTTTTCATGATTTTGAATTGCAACCAGGGACATATAGTTTTCATACAGTATTCATTGGCGATTATTCTTGATTTCCCATTTTGTAGGAATTTTAATAGAAGGCGAGGGTAAAGATCGACCTGACATTGAGCTACCAGGTCATCAAATGCAGCTTATTCAAGATGCAGTTTATAACAGTAAGTACTTTTGTCGGTTTAGGTCCTCAATGTCTTCATCGATACCAAGGTTTGGATGACTGGATCAGATACAATTCTGTAAACGGACAAAGTAAAAGATGGATGGTCAGTCAATATTCATTGTGCCGTTATGGTTAACAACCTTATTATGATATTTGGGAGATGCTGGGATTTGATCATATTCATCTTGCAATGGTTATGAGAACTAATAGTTCATTACATATTGCTATCGGATAACAAATTTGGCTGATTAATTTATAATCTATACCATAAGACATGGAAAGCACTGCAATATGTATATAGGCTTTGATGGGGATTGTCGATCTGTATTTCGTTAGTATACAAATAGGCTGGCAGGAAAATGATCCGAAACAAATAATTATTGCTTTTTTTGTAATAGTACTCCCAGAAAAACCGCCATCTACCTTGGGCAATTTTGTTTACGGATGATTAGTTTTGGCATCCGACCTCAATTTGAACAATGCTTATAAAACCGCCTTATTTATGTTATTTTCAACTTTACGGACTCTAAATGCATTATCAATGGTATTCCGACGCGGATGGGTAGTGGATCAGTTTTTGTTGACTTTCTGGTGTTGATTAGCAGTTGAGGTTAAATGTTTCAAAGACTTGTTTCAGATTCAATTATGGAGGAGATCACGGCAATAAATATTGTGGGAAAGGCTGGTGAGTGTCGTGATGATGGTGTTCTTGGTCTCATACAGGTGGTTGGTTTGTAATGGAGATACTGATTGGGACGACTTGTTGTTTCTTCGGGCAATGACATCTAGAAAGAGAAGACTGTTGTCTCGTTCTGTTCCCATGGTGAACTTATAATTTCATTATGCTGTGTGTTGAGGTGATCGTTACCAAGTGGGTGTCGTGACCAAACGAGCTTACATTGGTATTATTACAAAAGTCTTTGGGGTCAAGTGAGAATAACAATTTCGAAAGGTAATGGACTGTTTTGTAGTAGACAGAGACTCGGGAGAACACATGTAGCCTGACTTTGAGTGGGTTTTGATGGTGGCAGACGGGTTGTGGTGTTTCGGTGGTTTGTTTCATTGGTCTTGAAGAGTTTTGACAGTGCGGATGTAGTCAGATGTATCCATCATTACAGCTGCCTTCTCTTTGTCCACAGGCACTGTGGAGATGGCCATGTCTTCCTTAAGTTCTTTGAGAGCTTCATGTTCTCTTTTGGTGTGGTTGTTTTGGAGATGATATTGCAGATTTGGTGTCATAGATAATCGACTTTACCTCCTGGTGCTGACTCTTATAACCCCTTCTCAATACTGGTGATATAATCATCATGGTTCTTAGATTTGGTTTTGCGTACAAACTTGAGTTCGTGTGATATTAGAGAGATCGGTTAACATGTGAGGAGGGTAAGTTAGCTATGATTGAAAACGGTTTGGTGATAAATTCATTCTGAAATGCTTTTAGCGGGTGCTTGCTTGTTGAGTTTTAGTCGGTTGATCTTATATATATAATACTTTGGCATTGGCTTCAATCTGTTGCGAAAAGGGTTATATGTGTCACCAGACGTTAATGTGGAAGTGAGCTGGCGACGTTGATCTTCGGATAATTTGAAAACACGCTGTTTTCAGTCCTTAATAATGACGAGAGAATCCTCGTCGAAACATCTGTGATTTATATAATTGTGTCATGTGACATGCCTGAAATGTTCTGTATAGGTTCATTCAAGAGTTATGCAGTAACCAGTTACTGTCTAGGGTTCGTGATCAGAATCATTAAGGTCACAAAGAGATGCAGTGGCCTGGTCACATTCGTGCTTAAGGTAAAGTGTTCCAGTGAGCGCGGTGAGACAATTATCGTTGAGAACGGTTCGATTTACAGTTTGTACACTTCGCATGACATGGGTACTTTACCATTGAAAATGAATGGGAGTGCCCATTTATGATTCGTCGGGATATGTCGATGGTTTCAGATACATTTTATACATTCGTCATGTGGTAATGTACATTAGCTTTTGGGGTGAAGCAATTAGATTTCTGGCTGGGACACCTATTGACATTGCCATTCGTATGCTGAGCATTTTGTAACAAGTTTCGTGCCTTCAGTAAATGGGCTCATCTAGCTTAGTATTTTGTGTGGGGCTATTAGGAACGTCTGGATGGGATGACAAGTAGATTGACCCAATACTACCCAATATAATTGAAGTATTATGTTAATGAGGTAATATTTGGTTAGTATTGGGTAAATCGCCTGCCCGGCGGAGATACTCCACCACAGAACATCTCTGGCGATGTGTAGCACCATGGGTCTTCTGTCAGACGTGGAGAGCGGATTAAGGGGACCGGTCGCCACATCCTACGTACGACCCATGCATCTTTTCTTACTACATATTTCTGTAGCCTTGTGATCGTCTAGAATTTGTCTCTAGCTGTCTTTACTTCTGCTTCACAATGTGTATTTACTTCTTAATGGTTTTCTTAAGACGTTTGTCTTACCAGGAACAACAATGCGACAGTTTGCTTCTACATATTTTATATATATATATGGCTGAATACAGGTATACAAGCATAATAGATAACAATGCTAGCTAAAACCATTTCTCTACCCTAGCCAGCCTCGCGGCTGTCTAGGAACTCAGATGTAAGCTCTCTGGAACCTAATAGAAGCCTGTCTTACAGGATTCCACGGTTTCTTTTAAAGGTATATGAATATCATGCACAATAAAGCGTGATCATGACCCTGAACCTGTGCAATTAACGATATGATTGGTTACTTTAAGCTAAATGATGCAATTAGAATAATTCCACTCACGTGTAATCTCGGACTATTTTATAGACACCTGTTTTGGTTTAATAGCTCTTTTTTATATAACAATATGTCAATTACAGACTAACTAAGTTCTACATATGTGGGAACCTACCAACTTGCCAAAGATATTAATTAATGAAATATAAAGCCATCTTATTTCTCTATTCCTTGTCTATAAATTTTAAAACAATGTCGCAACGACGATAGTGCTACAGATGGTCATTCTTGATACATGTGAATATTTTGCAACACGTTTCGTATGGTTAGTACATGAGTTGGGTGGGGGGGGGGCAGTTAGAGATGCCTGACGAGTTGATGCATTGAAAGATTCTGAACATTATGCAACAAATTTCATGCAGTGAGTAAATGCACGTAAAAGAATCCTTGGTAGTTGGAATTCCATATAAGAGTAGGCCGTAGCGCCGCTGTCCGGGCAAACTTGCCCTCATAGTACACAGTATGGCATATGCCGTCTTCATTAGCTCAGTCGGAGCAGCACAGTAGGATGTTAAATCCCATTTAATTTTATTTCATTTTCATTTGTTTCGGGGTTTTTTTCACAGCTTACGTGAATCCGAAGTTCTCCCACCGGCCTAAAAGTGGACACTCCACACGGGAGAACGCGAATATGGTTCAAGGACGTACCTTGATGTTTTAGATCTTGATAGTTTACATTTTGGAATATATATCTTGTGTTCCATATTTGTTGCGCAATGCACAATATTTTTACTATTTCGGGGACACCTGATACCACTTTCTTTTTATCTGGCAGATAATGTTGCGATTACACATAAAAGCTCTATACTATCTCAATATAACTTTCCTTTCAGGTGGCTCAGCTAAAGTCATTTTAATAACCTTAAATGCTGGTCCCATAAACATACAGTGGGCGGATCAAAATCCACGAATCTCCGCAATCATAGCAGCTTTTTATCCAGGCCAAGAGGCTGGAGTTGCCCTCAAGACTGTTTTGACCAGTTCTTATCATCCACAGTTTGGTAGATTACCCTTTACTTGGTACCGCTCCGCCAACCAGGTAATTACGACACACCTTTAGCCGTAATCCAGCTACGTTGGTTTATTTTCTCATATTAGTCTTAAAATATTTTTAATAGCCCTATTTTATTCTGTCTAAACCAAACATATCAACATGTCTGACATATAATTTGTCTTCAGGTTCCACCGATGATTGATTATTCAATGACGGGAAGAACTTACAGATACTTCAAGCAGGATCCACTATATCCATTTGGCTATGGTCTAACATACACTAAATTCAACTTTGAGAATCTTATTGTGCCTGGCAGTGTGACGGCTGGACAAGATCTTCATATTTCTGTAACTCTAAGAAATACAGGAAATCTTCCTGGTGACGAGGTAACAGTTATATACTACTTTGATATTATGTTGAGCATTTTCTGGTTGGTCAGTACACATAATTATGTTACTCTCGGCATTCATTAGTTTTAGCATGATATTTTCAGTGTGTCCAAGTCTATATTTCCTGGGCTCAATCAACTACTCCAGCACCACAACTGCAACTCGTCTCGTTTGTTCGAGTTAGACTTGACACCAATGGGCAGACAACGGTGAAGTTTACAATAAGAGCCGATCAGATGGCACTGTGGGTAGATAATATCGGTTGGAAAGTCGAAGAAGGTACGTTAATTTTATGAAATGTGCTAAGACTATCGTATTCCCAGAGTCAAAAAGCTTACATTTAAGTAAGGCGATATTTTTTTATATCAAAATACCGAAGCATATTCCTTGTCCCTTTTTGCAGCACGATAGAACATTTATATACTTTAAACAAAGATATTATTTTTTCCGCAATATAGTGTGGCTACCATTTCTTATAAATCATGAAAATACCAGACCAAATCAGATTTAATATGATTTATGTTGCTATATTATTACAGGAAGAATAAATATTTACGTTGGTGGTCAACAACCAAACCAGAAGAAATCAGTTGGCTCTAATGTACTAAAAAGACACTTTGATATCCACGGGAATAAATTACTCGGGTATTTTTAATTTGATAATGGCTGTGTTGGAGAATGCAAAATAAAAATATTATATACTTGATTACATAATATTTCTTATTTTAATATCAATGTTATTATGATATAATAAGTTCGTTGATGTTGACACAGGGCGCTGGCATCGATTAAATCAAAATATAAAGTTGAAAATCTTCAAATATTATGCTATTTTTGATAATGTAGGATAATAGGTCATTACGTATAAAAAAAGCTATCTAGCCCTTTCCTATCAGTCACAATATGGTTCTCTCTATATATGGCACCAACTAAACCTTAGATTATGTGGGTCAGAATATATATATATATGAACAAAATGTATTTTATTCTGTCCCATTTAATTCAAGGTTACTTGCCCCTCCTCGTTTTATCTATGTTTAAATGTGGACATTGGCAGATAAATAAAATCATGCCTGTGATAAATAGTCAGTATAGTTCCTTAATGTATCCAAAATTATATAAGTTAGTATTGCAGTGTCTGTAATGGACAAAGTCATGCTTTTATTTCTTCTGGTGCACTTCTCCATCCCGGATTATACACATGACCCAGCCGTGGGATGCTCGTGTGGATGATCAGCTAGGAAGGCCGGCCCTCGATGAAACGACATTACACGTGGTATAATTGGTTCAGTTTCTGATAAACCACGAATGGGCCTGGGACACCGAATGCTTTCATGTGTCGGTTGATATAATGCTACAACTCATCCCCAATCTATTGTACTTGCTGCTGAGGCATTACGCTGTAATCGATTTTTTAACATGTAGACGACTAAGCGGCAATTAATAGGACAGTAGATTGGAAATTATAACCATTACTTTGGATGCTGGGCGTGAGGGGATACTCTTAGGAAGCAATTTGTAGATTTCGATAGAAAGAGATGTCTGAAGGGTCATCAACTTAAAGATGGGTTATGTAAGAGTTCAATCTGGCTAGTGCTGGTCTTTTAGTTTTTGGCTTCAGATGTTATATAAATTATGGATTATCATTTATCCGCATGACTAGCCCATAATAAACTCTCTAGGTTCTCTTATGGCCATAATATTAAATGGATTAGAACAATCGCGCCATTTAATAATTTAACGTTAAAATATATTATCGATGGTATAATCGAGATTATCTGGTCAACACTTAGAACAATCATAACTTCGCTCAGAATAAAGTAACTTGACTGAAATTTGTACTATATTCATTTTTCATTTTTGAGAAGTTATAGCAAGAACGAAACGCTCTTTATGCAAATCGTTAATTTCTAAAGCACCTGTGTGTCACTTCTTAATAGTTAATTCGATTTATAGATTAATCAGATAAACAACTTTCAATTAAAAGTTGATCTCTAGCCTGTATGCGACATGAGACAGGATTGCCTGCCTAACCTCGCGGTGGTTGTTCGAATACTTCGGATTCAAACCAATCAAAGGACCCCCACGCCCCTCAAAATACAGTGTCCATGTAGACATCTTCCACTGGTTGTTTCAACTGTGCTACATAGAAAACACCGGTGGATATTTAAGTTATGATTTATTAAATATGTAAATAACACCCGATAGAAACTACCCAGCAATTTAACTACATGAACATCAAATTGATATTGGGACAAATTGATTTCTTCTGGTTTGGTTGTTGACCACCAACAAATACATTTAGTCTTTTCGAAATGATATTAATCAGTTTGTACACTATAACTAATATAAAATAGGTTAGGTGTCATCTTGGCCTCGATGTTCACGGATGGAACTAAGTTATCCCTCAGTCAATACACCATTGTAAGATAAAAAAAATTATGGCCATCTGAAATTGATAGAATGAGAGGTTTAGGTGATATAACTTATGTCAGGATTGATCGATTTAAAATATTTTAATATTTCGACCAACATGATACATGTACCACGTGGACATTCCGACCAATAAACCATAAAAGTGTTATCGAATGAAGTGAATGGATGTGTGGTCAGACCATAAGCGTCCTAGATGTAAACAAGGACAACAACAACAACAAAAGTATATGATTCTACTGGCCTCGTTTGTTGATCATTTGATTTCGCTTTAATCTAGTTGAATTAAATATCGAATGTATTTCTTAATTTGAGCAAATGGTAGCTACAGAGAAAATTGCATTTTTAGAAATGGGCATCCCGTTGTTATTCACAGCAGAACTAATTGACATTTGAATTTGCAGTTTGATTTGCCATAAGAGCTGTGTTATTCAGTTTTCGGAGAAACGACTAATTTGAAATTTGAATATGATGTGTATTCGTGGTGGTCTAATTACTACATTCTGAGCTATCGTCGCTGGAAGAACAGTGTAGTCTCGGTTGTCAGTCATTGCTACCTTTGTTACAACAATAAACAAAGTCTCTATTATCCAATGTTTAATTAAATCATTAACCGCCAATCGTTTTTAAATATGTTGAAAATCAAAAAGAATATTGAAATTCGCATGTAAATATATGTCTAACGCGTTATATAACATTTCAGGCCAAACAAAAGATCTGCATTAGGCGCTGTCCGGGCAAAATTTTCCTCATAGCACACTGTATGGCGTTTCCCCGTCTTCATTAGCCCAGGTTAGGAGCAGAACAGTAGGACGTTAAACCCCATTTCATTTCATTTCATTTCATTTATCTGCATTAGGCAGATTTAGCTCTTGAATAATGCATCTTTAAAATAGTAGCCACACAGTCTTGCGTATCTTTTATTTAAATGTGTATTTATTTGATTGTTATCCTGTTGTTAAGAGTTAGTCCTTTTTTCGCCGCCGAGGTCGTTCAACTGATGTCAGACACGGCATTGTGTTATGTATTATTCGACTTTTTTTTAAAAAAAACAACAGGATAAGGTTATTATATTTGATATTTTATGTGTTACATTTCGTTTCACTGACCCGTTTTGTGATTTTCAAGGAGCTTTACAAAGGTCGTCAAAGTTACCGTCGAGCCATTAATGTAGATTGCTTTTCGATAACTGGGCTATTTTGAATATGATGTAATCGAAATTATGTCGGTTCATTTACCTGTTTATAACTGTAATAACCCCTTTAAAAAAAGTTCTAAATTTGCCCCACTTGAATGTTATCTCTTCGGAGATATCAGCATTGCGAGATAAGCCAACATGTACACGCTTACAATTCAGGGAAATGTTCAGTTGCATTCTAAACTATTGCAATGTATGTGGTCGGCAGTGCCTTTCTTTTAATTCTTCTTGTGCAGTTTTCCGCCCAGGATTATCCATTTAGAAATGTTTCCCTGTCCTGGGATGTTCGGGTAGATGATTTGGTGGGAAGATTGACCCTCGACGAGATGACTTTACAGATGGCCAAGGGTGGTGCAGGTCAAAACGGCCCAGCTCCTGCTATATCACGACTGGGAATCGGGCCGTATCAATGGAACACTGAATGTCTGCATGGTTCTGTTGGACATAATGCTACATCTTATCCACAATCTATTGGACTTGCTGCAACGTGGAGGTAAATGTTTAACTTGAACTTTAGATGAATTGGAAGCAAAATCTCCACCCAGTCTGTATTTATTGTTATTCTAAATAATTAACTTCAGTTATGACACTATCCATACAACGGCGAAGGCTATAGCAGAAGACGTTAGGGCCATCCACAATGAAGCAGTAAAGGCTGGAAATTATTCCCAATGGACAGGTCTTGGTTGTTTTTCACCCGTGATAAATATGATGCGTGATCCCAGATGGGGTAGAAATCAGGTCAATATCTTTCCTATTTTTATCACAAAAAAAGTTGAAATTAACCCTTTTATAAGCGCTGCTCGTCGATCTTATTGGTCTATAATTATCAGAAGTTGTTCAACGTTTGAAAAATTTATGCAATTTTAGATAAGTTATATATCCTGCTCAACGAAACCTAGTTAATATTTTAGTAGATACAACCATCGCCAGATCTTTAAAAACGGTGAAGTTGGTTCGGTGTATTGAAAGAAAAGCAGTTATTGATTCTGACTAATTTTCAACTCCTTTCGATTTACGAAACCATGTTAAGGTTCTAAGTGTCCCAATCGTCATTAGACCTTTATGGAATTTATATTTGTTGTTTGCTTATCAAGAGGAAGACACCATTACATTTTTTTAAAATGTTCCCCATTGAGTCACTTCTCCCATTAATTCCCTTCATATCGAGCTTTTTGGAACACGGGTACATTGGTTGTAAGTTTTATTTACATTTTGTCAACTTTATGACGATTTTGTCATAAACAGAACAGTATATTGAGCGTTGTTTACCATGTTGTGTTACATAATCAACTTGGAGTAAATTCAAGCCCAGTTTCTGTATAAATACGAAACACAAATAATAAATAAAGAGTGGTCAGAAAAACTACGGACACACTATAGGTACGCGTCTACTTTGACAGCATTTAACTATATATTGAGATATAGTCGAGTTAGAGGTTAGACCATGGATACTTCCTATGACAGTCTCGACGCTACTTGGTAGTAATAGCAAGGTACCGTAGCAAAACATCCTTAAATTAGAAGTGATGTGACAAATATGCATTTCATTCCTTTTGTACGCATGAGTTTATTTTAACGTTTGAAATTATTGGAATAGCCTTTAAATAAACAGTACTTTCTAGGAAACGTATGGTGAAGATCCATTTCTCAGTGGTATGTTAGCAAAAGCCTATGTCAAAGGTTTACAGGGTGATCATCCACGATATATCAGAGCAAATGCGGGATGTAAGCATTTTAACGTTCATGGAGGACCTGAAAATATACCATCATCTCGATGGAGTTTTGACTCGAAGGTAATATTTATTGAGGAAATTATAGTCCATGTTTAAAAACTAAATATTGTTTCTGTTTCTGTATAATGTGGGCAGTGTAAAATGGGAAAGCATAGCGAGAAGTAACTTCACCACTAACAATGTACTACCATAAATATTATATGTTGATCATTAATTCGGTTTGGAAGGATACTATTTCCATAATTGCATTTGCTTTGTTTGACTGTATTTTTGAAGATAAATCCCTTCCTTTAAACAATTTCTTTAGGGGTGGATAGTTACTACTTTTGCTACATACCATTCTTTACATGCTTTTTTAATTTTGAGATAGGTGTATTTGTGAATCAGGTTGGTGAATACGTTAGATTGCAACACTATCAAAAGGTACTGGTGATTTTAGTTGTACAAAACTTAAATAGCTTGGTATGGATTTTTGTTTTCATTTACTTCTTATTGCCATCTTATATTGATTATTTACAACCGTATTGCTTTATTGCCTTTAATTTATCATTGTTTGAAAATAAAGGTCTCCATGAGGGATTGGAGAACGACGTTTCTGCCAGCTTTTAGACACTGTGTTGAAGCAGGAACTTACAGTCTTATGTGCAGCTATAACAGGTAATGGTACTCAAATTTATTTAAATCGTCTGTGAATGAGGCTTTTTAATGATAAAGAGAGAGAGAGAGAGAGAGAGTGAGAGAGAGAGAGAGAGTGGAGGGGAGAGAAAGAAATGGGTTTAACGTAAACTCAACACAAACTAGGTCATTTCGGGACTAACACATGGTTCAATTTTATTTAAATAATTCGCTTGTGCGTAGGGGTCTTTAGCAGTGGGAGGACCTGGAGAAAACCCACGAGGTTGGACAGGCGACCCTAATCCTTGTCACAATGACAGACCTTATGATACAGCGCGCGCGTGCTAACCATTCGTCCCCCCCCCCTTTTTTTAATGATAACGAATACCAAGTGGTAAGGATTTTCTGACATTCCTAAATTACAGTATCAATGGTGTACCAGCTTGTGCCAACAAAGAGTTACTAACAGATATATTACGTACAGAATGGGGATTTAAAGGTTATGTGGTCAGTGATGAGGCGGCAGTTGAAGGAATAACATACGGTCATCATTACACTAACAATAGTATTGAGTGTGCTGCTGCTGCAATTACCGCGGGTTGTAATCTAGAGTTAGCTGATCCTAGGAATGATAAAGAAACATTTATGTCAATATGTAAGTATTCTTTGTTTGTGTGTGGACATTGGCGATTTATTTAAACTTCCTGCTCCCAGACAAAAAAGTCAAAGCCTTTGTAAAACATTTAATCCATCAGCAGTACATCGGAAGTCGTATGTTACTGCTGTGCACTAGAGGGAACAGAATGAAAGCGCCCATTGTTTTGTTGTACGGGTGGCCATAAAAGTGTCTGATGCTTTATATTTTTATCATGCAAAAATGCCCCAAAATGTCAAAACGCGATTCTTCTGTGATGAAATAGAGTTTTCAGTTTACACAACAAAACAATTATATCCCTTATTACTTTGCAGCCGATGCCGTACATCAAGGGTTCATAACGGAAGATTTGGTTCGAGATAGAGTTAAGCCTCTTTTTTATACCAGAATGAGGTTAGGCGAATTTGATCCACCGGAGTTAAATCCGTATACCTCCATCAATACGTCCGTTATACACGACCAAGCCCACACCGCCTTAGCCATCGAGGTTGCTATGAAGTCATTTGTTCTATTAAAGAATAGTGGTGTCTTACCTTTAAAGAAGTCTGTTTATAACAGCATAGCTGTAAGTTAAGACCGAATACGAAGTTGTTTGGTTAATATTATTACATATTAAATAAAGTCTTAATCTATATTATAAAGTCTTTCGAAAAGATCAACGGAGGGCAGTCGGAAATAAATAATCGCAAAGCTTAACTGCTAGTGCTGGGAATGGAAAGGTTTCCATTTTTCTGAATATGGTACTAGTCCTTGTTTTCTTCGAAATGAAATAAGTTAATAACTAAGACGACTATGGTCTAGAATAACAGTGGGGGGACAGAAAAAAATAATATGCATTGTCCTGTTACGTTTAAAATAGCACTATTTGTTACCTATCTTGAATAAGTCTTGTTTCATATCAATTGTATAATAATTATTCTGCTAATTTCAGATTGTTGGTCCTACGGCGGATGCTGAATACTTAATATCCGGTGACTATGCGGCACTACCAGACCCAAGATTTGTTACCACACCAAGAAAGGCTTTACAGACCTTGGCCAGTCACGTGAATTATGCTAACGGCTGTAATGATACCCGATGTTACGGCTATGATTCTAATTCTATCAAAATGGCTGTTAAAGGTGTCGACGTGGCTTTTATATTTATTGGTTTAGGTAAATATTCCATAATCGTTGGAATTCATGTTCGTTTCACACAACGATCTGTCGTCAATCTATCTCACGAACAATAACGTTGTCGGAAAACCAATATATAAACCAAAACTATTTGAATGGCGAATTTCTAGTCACCGGCAATATCAACGGGTATAAAATTGCCTTTGAGTGACTCCGAAACTGAATGTAAAGGTATAATAAAACTTAAAAGGGGCATGAACTTGGCGCGAAATGCCAATATGGTTCATCCTCGTGATTTATATACTAGTCCCAGACATTTCGAACATATTACATGTGGGCGTATAAAATCAGTTTTATCCAAACAACATTCTTCTTCAACAGACCTTCTTGTCACACCACCAATACAACTTGAACTCGGCAAAAGATCTTTTGCGTTTGCAGCAGCACCATATCTCTGGAATCAATTAGACAATCCAAATCTATCTAAACATTCAAGTCAGTATTGAAACCCATCTTTTTTAAAAAAAAGAATAATTTTATGTGACCAACTAAATGTTTAGTAATCATGCGCGATATAAATCCTGATATTATTATTAAGTTTATTCCCCAAATTAACATTAAGACTATTTGGTCAGGGTTTTTTTTACCCGTTTGAAGCAAGCAACCGTATTATATATACCTTTAATCGTTTGCATAATTTATATGAAATCTAACATTCGTCATTGTTGTAGGAGTACTAATCGAAGCCGAGGGAAATGATCGGGCTGATATTCAACTTCCTGGTTACCAGCAACAATTAATAGAGGACGTGGTTAACAATTGTAAGTTGGCTGCCTTCTGTATGCATTATGTTCATTTTGGGAGATACAAGATTGACCTGCACATCGCTGGATAGAGGTTAATTTCGATGAGACGTCTCCAGACCAGTCTCTTGTTATAGCGTTATTTGTTTTGTGTGTAAGGCATTGGATGGACATTTCACTACTTATTGAAATTCCAAACTTGCTTCTTTTTAGGTGGTGCAGCTGAAGTAATTTTAGTAAGTTTAAATGCTGGGCCTGTAAACATCACATGGGCAGATCAGAATCCAAAAGTATCCGCCATTCTAGCAGTATTCTATCCCGGACAAGCTATAGGGGTTGCTATCAAAAATGTTTTGACCAGTTCCAACCAACCACAGTTTGGTAGATTGCCTTATACATGGTACCACACAGAAAACCAGGTATATTAAATTTAAGGTTATAAAAAATTCTGAACAAATACTTGTTTTACACTGATAGTTAATTCCACAATTCTTCTCTTTTTGTTGTACGTAACGTCCTTCTTTTCTGCATAAGCGGACATTCAACCTATTGTAAGATTGTTCGTTTCACAGGAAATATATCTCCGTTTTCAATAATCTCACACAAAAAATCATACCTACCTAGGATTAATTATATTGCTTGAATTTGATACTTTGAAGGTTCCGGCCATGGTTAACTATACAATGGTAAGCAGAACGTATAGGTATTTTACTGGCGAACCACTTTATCCTTTTGGTTATGGCTTGACCTACACATCTTTCGGATATCGGGATTTAACACTTAATGACACAGTTGATGCTGGAGAAGAACTGCTGGGATCAGTAACAGTTGACAATACCGGAAATACACAAGGCGATGAGGTAATTTTGTTTGACGTTGTTTTACAGATCGTAAATGTGTTAGAATTGTGTTTGCCGCTTATGTAGAAATATAGATACACTTCGGTCCTACCAATACAATAAATTATCCACCACAAAGTACCGGCAATGGTGAGCCAACCTCGCCCATCTCCGGGTAGAACATTTGTCAGGATTTTAAAAACGAAAGTGTGATAAATATTCCACAAGAATCACGAAAAAACAAACAAAAAACGGTCACCATAAAGTATTGTAAAAGGAGAAAGAAAAGATACCCCACTTGGGATTGGCGACTAGATCACACAAGGTCGATGGATGAAATCATTAAATTAAATGTAACATGATTAATTTAAAGGAGGCAAGACTTTAACTCAATATCATCCACTGTCTTCGACAATGCAAACACGACGCATTGGTCAATTTAAATCAATATTGATGTTGTTATCTTGCCGTGAAAACATGTGCTTCTGATGTCCAGTATTTAAGACAAAATGAAAATTTAAATATTGGCACGCGAATCGCGTGCCAGAATGCTTTCGAGCGCCATTTGTAATGAAGCGACTTGATGAACGAAGCTAAACATATCCCACAGGAGAATGCTGCTGTTGTAGATTGGAATAACCAGGCGCTAAAGACTGCATTTCAATTTGTGTCCACTTCTAGGTGCCATAGAATAGAGATGTAGCTCCTTTAATACAAGAGATGATGGTCGAATCCAAGGCATCACATATCGGTATTCTGGGGCAACCCTTATTGAATAGAACAATGTGCACTATCAAAGGATACGCATTTCATAGGGTTTACATTTTTGAGCATTTAATGATAACATATATTTTGCAGGTAATACAAATTTATCTGGTTTTTCTATCTCCCAGTGTAACATCGCCTAAAATACAACTAGTAAATTTTACCAGAGTCACCATACCACAAGGTGGCACCACCAACGTCCATTTTTCTATCTCACCTCAAAATATGGCAGTTTATACTGAAGATAATGGATGGGTTGTAGAACCAGGTATATATATATATATATAATTGTAATTAAACATATAAATGTATACTAATATAGTGGCTTATTAAATAGGTACTTTGTTGCCCTGGGTAGGCCGTAGCGCCGCTGTCCGGGCAAAATTGCCCCATAGTATACTGTATGCCAAGTAGGAGCAGAACAGTAGGGCGTTAAACCCCATTTCATTTCTGTGTTGATCTCTACCAATCGAAACATACTTTTCGGATTGGTGTGATTTAACGGTATAGTAGCATCGAGCGAGTTCAAATTAAATTATTGCAAACTTTGTGATACATCCTCCAATTCATCGTTCAGATATCGAAGTGGCAATGGGTATAATGTGAAATATGATTAAAGAAAGGTTGCGCAAGCGACCAATACGAGAACGAATACGTCATCAGATTAGCCATTTGGATACGCGTACCACGCGAGATAATCGTAAGTGCAAAACGAATACGGTTTTCATCTTTTTTCTTGCACTTTCTGCCCTCAAATCACTTCTAAAATGCTTTATTTTGAATTGATAGTGTTTCTTCTATTTTGTGAATTTGTTTTTGTTGACAGAAAAGTCGAATTAGTGTGTTTAAATCTGAAAAGAAATTCACTAATTTGCTCTACAAAATAAAATGGTGCATTTTTCATACTTGAATTGTGGGATTTATTTGACATTGAAGAATTACTTGAATAAATAATTGTACATTATGTATTTTCAGATATTATAACAGTCTATGTTGGAGGTCAACAACCCGGTCAGAAGAAAACATCAGCCACCCAAGTTTTATCCAAAACAGTTCAAATTATCAATTATAAAATACTTGGCTTCTATTGAATAAATAAAATGTGATAAATCTTGATCTGCTCCTCTTCATATTATGTATAGCTTACGCACTAGCTTACGAACACGTTGTTCCCGGTGTGGCTGTATGGAAAATCAAGATCTCGGAATTGTTGATTTCCCACTGATACATTATGATGCTGACTAAATCAATTGTGTTGTTGATAGTCTATCTTGTAATTACAAGATACTATAAGTACAGAATGGGGATTTAAAGGTTATGTTGTCAGGGTTGAGGAGGCGATTGGAAATATAATATCTTACAATTATCGTAATAACAGTATTGAGGATGTCGATGCTGCACTAACCGTGGGCTGTAAACTGCAATTAGCTGCTCCGACATATATAAAAGAAACATTTATGCCAATACGTAAGGATGCCCTTTTTGTACAAATTCAGCTGTCACATTAATAGGGGAGCTTTAACTAACACACAATACATTGAACAATTAAAATTTTATGTCGCAATATAAGTAACAATATGTCTCATTTTTCCACAGCTGATGCCGTACAACAAGGGTTAGAGATAGAGCTAATCCCCTTTTCTACACCAGAATGAGATTAGGAGAATTTGATCCACCAGAGATGAATCCGTATGCCTTCATCAACACATCTGTTATACAAGATTATGCGCACACCGAATTAGCCCTGGGGCCGAAATCGTTTTTTTTATTAAAGAGCGACGGTGCCTTACCTCTAAATAAGCCACGTTATGACAGTATAGCAGTAAGTTAATAGACAATCTAGCACTAACTGTCCAACAAACAATTCAAAATGCCAGTGTGGATCAAGTCCTTCACAACGACATCAAAAATTGTTTTTACAAATCATAATAAACCAAATGGCAACTATCAGAGTGCGACTAGAAACGTGTTAGCTACATATATATTTTTATTTCTATCTGAGGTTCTGATTTAAAACGAATATTTTATTGACCATCGGCATTAATAGGGCATTCAATTTTACACTGTAAATTACAGTTCCGAATATTTCGCATAATAGTGTTAGAGATTTGCTGTTCACACTAAACCAAAACACGTATATGGATTATTCTTGTATAAACATTAAAGGGGGCGGGGGTTGGATGGTCGAATGGTTAGCATGTGCGCGCTGTATCGTAATTGGTCTGTCAATGCGTCAACTGGCATGGTTGTACGTGACAATTAAGGAGTAGGGTCGCCTGTCCAACCCCATGGGTTTTCTCCTGGTCCTCCGGTTTCCTCCCACTGCTAAATACCCCTACGCGCAAGCGAATTATTGAAATAAAAATGAACCATATGTTTGTCCCGAAATGACCTAGTTTGTGTCGAGTGGACGTTAAACCCCATTCTCCCGATAAACATAAACATTAAAGGGATATGTTCTGTGGATTTAGACTTGGCGATTCGATAATTTAGTGTTGTTTACTCTCCACTGACCCATCTTGCAAGTTGTATTGTTCCAATATGTCATCGAAACAATTTGTAAAATCTTACAGAGCAGAGTTTCTGATTGAATAGTTATATCACAAGATACTATGAGGCTTTGTGTCTGGTGTGAGTGTAGTCGTCGTCTGGTCGCTTGTGTTATATTATGTCGTTCGATCATACAATTACTCTGATTGTTTAAGGTTGTTGGTCCTACGGCAGATGCAGAATATTAAAATTTATTATATTGCCCAAGATGTGCAACCACAACACGAATAGATTTACAGACCTTGACCAGTGAAGTAAACTATGCAAAAGGATGTAATGATACACGATGTTATGGCTATGATTCAAATTCTGTTAAAACGCCAGTAGAAGGTGTCGAGATTGTGTTCGTATTCATAGATAAATATTTATAAACGTTTCATTTTTACACGTTTCTTATAATAACCGGACTGATAAAGACGGACATACGACACGCACATACGTCATGTACTGCTCTATGGGAGAAATTTAGTCTAATATCAATAATGGCTAATTACATTATATTCAGAACAAATTCAAACCCCTTCTAAGACGTAGACCTATACTCAAGATATTTATAACGCCCGTATTAAGTAAAAAGCAGACATATTTTGATTTGAAATAATTTCTAACCCCTAGACCGTTACTCAGGAATTTACAAGGCGAGTATATCGAGTAAGAACCGCATAGATTTCAATTAAGGGGAGATAACTAAACATCTACGAAGCATACCTCCCACATATTCTCCAACTGATTGTAACGTTAATGTCTCTTTGTCCGGTTCCAACTTTTCCCCAGATTTCCCCTGGACTGAACGTTCTCCAACATATGACAATATTTCCGTAAGCAAACCCTTAGCTCTGTAATGTGAATATTCACCCAAACCTGGCACAAATGCCATTTTAATACAAAACCAAAAGTCATCAAAAATGGGTATTTAAAAGGAGAATGGGTATAAATCGAAAGAACTTGGTACCGAGATAAGGATGAGTTAATTCATGGTCTGTCTCTATATTATAGAATGGGACTAGTAACTATTTCACGAATGACCTTCTAGCTATCAATAGATAAGCTGTCTGGAATTATGTAAGAGTATGCATAGATAGGCTAAACATTTACCTTGTACTACATACAATTCGAAGTCGTGTCAAGCATCAAAAATAGAAAGTCTAGATAAACTGATAAACAACTTCATTTCACATCTAACAGAATGTATTTAACAGTAAGGTTGGTTTGTCTGTGTCTTCTGATAGAATGGTCTGTCCAGGATTACCCATTCAGAAATGTGTCCTTATCCTGGGATGCTCGGGTAGATGATTTGGTGGATAGACTATCCATTGAAGAGATGACCTTTCAAATGGCCCGAGGAGGTGCAGGGGTGAATGGGCCATCGCCAAATATATCACGGCTAGGTATCGGACATTATCAATGGGACACAGAATGTCTGCATGGTTCAGTTGGACACAATGCAACAGCCTTTCCACAGTCCATTGGTCTTGCTGCTACTTGGAGGTATGCCATGATGTTTGAATAATTTAGCAGTGTCTGTTGATTATTAACATAAAATTATCGCGTACTGAATGTGGAAGGAGCTACAATCATAAAAGTACAACAAAAGAATGTTTAGATACAAATTACCCCAATTCAATTACATACTAGTACATCTGTTAGTACTTGTATAAATGTGCACTTCCACAATTGTTTTAGAACGATCATTAGAATGCCTATGTATAAATATCGAGGGGGCTCTGTTTCTGTCCGAGTAGGCCAGTTCTTCTGGGTCACCTGCGATGCCCTTACTTTAATTTAAGTCATACCGTATGCATTTGCACATTTTTTGAAATTAACACCTCATTATATGTAATTAAAAAAATATTAATTTAAAGTATCTGACACTCATTGTCTACAAGGTATTTCCGTTCAGTATGCATCTAAACTGTAAACTTTGCTTATGACTTAAATTCGAGAGGATCGTGTTTCTTGCAGCTATGACGTTGTTTATCGGATGGCTATGGCTACTGGTGAAGAAGTTCGGGCTATTCACAATACAAACGCAAAGAATAACAGTTACCCTGATTTGAGTGGTTTAGGATGCTTTGCTCCAGTTATAAACATAATGAGAGATCCAAGATGGGGGAGAAATCAGGTTGTTAATTACTTATTCGCTCGTAACTCTAACATATGGAGGCTATTAATATCGTTATTTTAGTATTGTTATTACCCTACATCATGGACAAAATGTATGTGAGAGTGATTTTTAGCATACACTGCGGGTGACTTGTTTATTGTGCATTATAGGAAGTCAAACGCTAATGAATCGCAATGGGTTTACCGTCCTACTTGGCTAATGAAGACTGGCTAATGACTAGGCACAGTTCCCCTACATCCCTGCACCACTGACGAGGGAGAAACTACGTGGGGAAATCCCGAGGAACCTTCTCGGCCAACAAGTCAACCCCAGGCTTGGTCAGCCAGTCAGCCCCCCCCCCCCCTTCGAACTAAAGTATAATGGTGCCATTTAGGTTAACTTCGTTTCAATATTAAATGATCACGCTTCATTTTGCAATATTGGTTCGTCAAAGTTATATCCAACTTGCGCCCTTGAGACGTAAAGAAAGTGGGTTTAATAAAAAAAAATACTCCATAATAATCAGGTTATTTTAACAAAATATGTAATGGTGCTATTTATGATGCATTTGGTACATGTTAGTCCCGAAATTATCTGGTTTGTGTCGAGTGGATGTTAAACACAACACACACACACTCTCTCTCTCTCTCTCTCTCTCTCGCTCACGACAAATGTACCCCTTGCACTCAACCATTAATATAGATACAACTTTAATTTAAGGAATCGTATGGTGAAGACCCCTTTCTTACCGGTATGATGGCAACTGCTTTTGTAAAAGGAATTCAGGGAGATCATCCACGGTATATAAGAGCCAACGCTGGATGTAAACATTTTGCTGCTTACGCGGGTCCAGAGGACATTCCAATTAGCAGAGTTAAATTTAGTGCTAACGTAAGGATGGCATATTTGTTTTGATGTCAATTATTAAAATTAGAAATGTCCTTATGGTGCAGCCCCCATTATTACTGGTATGATGGCAACTGTTTTTGTGAAAGGAGTTCAAGGAGATCATCAACGGTATATAAGAGTCAATGCTGGGGGTCGACATGTTGTTTACGCAGGTCCAGAGATCATTCCAATTAGCAGAGTTAAATTTAGTGCTACTCAGGTTTCCCAATTAAACTCCTATAAAATGCATGTAAATCAAAGGATTTGTTAATTCAGAGTCATTATATTTTGATAACCCCAGGTTACAGAGCGGGACCTGAGGACAACTTTTCTGCCAGCTTTCAGATATTGTGTTGAAGCAGGAACTTACGGCATCATGTGCAGTTACAATAGGTATTTAGCTAACATGTTATTTCTTCATTTTTACATTTATGAAGGGTGAATGGAAATATTTAATAATAAAGCGTGTGGTTCTCATATAAACATAACATATACCCTCGCTCTACCATCGCCTCATTGCAACAGGAACCGCGACTCGTCGCTGAATGAAACTGTTCTCCAGCGTTGTTGTGGCCATACCCTGTGTGTCTGAACCCATTGAAGTCGGATTTAACGGTGTTGGCGTATTTCAAACCAGCAGCTCTAACGGGACGTCTGGCTCGTAATCCGGTTAAACGTAGGCGTTTACGGACTGTCTAGTCTGTGATCCTACGCCGCCCGGGAATTGCTGCTGCAGTAGGAGTCGCTGCTGTGAACCGATTCCGCAAATGACGTAACCGGATATGACGATCCAGGGCAGGTGAGGGTCACTTTTGTTTGGCCTGAGCTTAGGCGGTCACTGCTGAACTTCGCTGCCAGGACCTATGCCAAAAGCGAGAAGTGGTACTCTGGGAAACATACAGGAGCCTGGCTACATCTGTCTGGGGTTCACCTGCTTGTAACCGACCGATTGGGTTTGTCTTCGTTCAGATGTGGCATCTCTTTGCTCTTTGAGTGGTCACATGTGCAACTGATTTTGAAACCGAGAACCCCCGACTTTTAAAGGCCTTAGATTTGGGTTTCATGCAAAAAGCTTGCGAAGTTGTTAAACTCATGTGTCTTGGTACTTCGGCAAAATGTATGACCAGTCAAGATTAGTAATTACATTTAAAACCAATAATTTCATCCTTACATAATGACATTAAAAACAAGTAAGATTTATGGAAACAACAAATCCCGTTCATATTAAAAAAAATGATGAAAAATGGGCTATGCGCTTTCTTTTTTGAAGAGTATATATGCTCACCTACGTCCTGCGTTAAAGACTGGGATATTGTATATCTATATCATGATGGTGCACCCTATTGAATATTTGTGTTAATTATTAGAGTTAATAAACTTGAATCATATATTTTATGAATAAGCCTGAATGCTTACCCTTTCCACAGTGTCAATGGTGTACCTGCGTGTGCCAATAAGAAGACTTTGAGTGATATTCTCCGAGACGAATGGGGCTTTAAAGGATATGTTGTCAGTGACATGGAGGCCATCGAAATGATAATATCGCAGCATAAATATTACAATAACAGTATCGATACGGCGACTGGGTCTGTTAATGCTGGTGTTAACTTAGAATTAGCTGGTAGAACAACTAAAACTGGTGTTTTCACCTATATCGGTAAGATTTATCTACAAACGTGTATTCTAATTATGTTATTAAATCAAATTTTTATTATATAGTGGAATAATTATATATTACTGTGTATTGTTCAAAATAAAACAGTAATGTTGCATTCATAATAACATAAGAACGTACTTAATGGTTTTAAAGGTGTAAAACCGACATAAGATCGTACTTAATGTTCTTTTTAAGTCTAAAACCGACTCCGGAATGTTGATGTTTTGATAAGGAGGGTAAAAAACGGACATATTAGACAAGTTTATCATCAAGTTGGTAGGGTACACTATAGCTATCTTTTAACTATATTTATTTGATGTTGAAAGTATAATTCAGGATCTGGACAGGAACATTGTACATCCATATTGTGTAGACTACATTCCCTTTTAAATATGCACTTAGAGGGAACGCTCAAGACTATAAATCTTTAATTTTGTTTTGTAGCGCAAGCGGTTAAAGAAGGAAAACTTAACGCAAGCTTAGTAAAAGAAAGGGTTAAACCACTATTCTATACAAGAATGAGGTTAGGAGAATTTGATCCACCAGAGATGAATCCCTATTCCGCCATCAATACATCTGTTATAGAAGAACAAGCTCATAGAGACTTGGCTGTAGAAGCTGCTATGAAGTCCTTTGTTTTATTAAAGAATGACGGCTTGTTGCCGCTGACGCAAGCTACTTACAATAGTATATCGGTGAGTTATAGTTATGATTCTCCAAATTTTTCTGTATTTTAACAAGAGTGTCAGTGGTTCTTTTGGCTTTCAATGAAACCGCCTCTGTAGTTGCTTTGACATCTTTAAATATAAATTGTTTGAAGCCTTTACTACTGTCAGACATACTCCTTCAAGAACATCGAATAGCATTTATTATTGATATAGGAAAGTTCCCATACAAAATAGCTGTCTTGTTGAATCAGAAGTATATCGTAATATGTATTTGGGGGTGACGAAACGTTGGCAGATTTGTCAATTTAGTTACCGTTATTCAAGATGAATCTAATCATTCGGAACCGCAAGGCCCTGTTTTATATGTGAATGATGCGTTCAGGCGTACGAAAATAAAAATGCTTGATTATGTTTACCTTTTCAGATAATTGGGCCTTTGATAGATGACAATGACCATATTGAAGGCAGCTACACAGCAAAGCCAGACAATAAATTTATCACCACTGTTCATGAAGGTCTTCGAACATTAGGGAAAACTGTTAAAAACGCTACCGGATGTCTTGATGATACGGCGTGTACTAAATATGATTCACACTCAATTAAAACGGCTGTACAAGGTGTTGATATTATCTTTATTTGCCTCGGATTAGGTGAGTGAATTGCTCGGATCACATCATAAATAAAAAACAGTTTACTTTGTCAAGCTTTCAATGCATTCAACATGACCAGTTACGCGTGTAAATTGAATTTTTTGATGAAGTCATTTGCACAAAATTTAACGTTGGGTATATCCATAAGTACAACTCATGTGTTTCAGGGCCCCCAATAGAAGGAGAAAGTCGTGACCGATCTGATATACAATTCCCTGGACAACAGTCACAATTATTAATGGATGCTGTAAACAATAGTAGGTATTAATAGTGTTTCTCCCTAATAGATAAAAATATGCCGCATCGTCTTAATTATTGGTAGGGATCATTTTAGCCCTAAAATTAAAGTTCACAATACCTTATTCTAAGTTGATCCGTGTCTGGACTTTCGATAAATATGATGTCTAAAATGATGTCTAACATAAAGGTACTTACATTTATTTTCTGGATAAGACTTATAATGTCTATTGAATGTCAAAAATGTGCAAGCGTGTAACATATTAAAATGGCTTATTTCTTGATCTAAGCTCAGGGATAAAAGAGAAACCTAATTTGTTCTTATATTTCTGTTACAGGTGGATCTGCTAAAATTGTTCTAATAATGTTTAACGCCGGGCCAGTAAATATAAGCTGGGCTGACCATAATCCTCGAGTATCCGCGATTTTAGCTGCGTTTTATCCAGGACAAGGTGCGGGAGTTGCTCTCAGAAATGTTCTAACCAGTTCAAATAAAGCACAGTTTGGTAGATTGCCATATACGTGGTTTTATTCGGCTGACCAGGTTAGTCAATTTTGGAGAATGTAACAGTTTATTGGGGGCATTCTTTATAAGTCACTGCGCCGAATAGTAAATTCACAGCAAAACGTCAGATTGTCTTTTCATCAACTGAATTTAGCTGTATCACCGACACATTATTACGTTTCATGTTTAATACATTTGGTGACTTTCAAACAAAGGTAGTCTGAATAATCTGACATTAATGGCTGATACATTGAGCAATCTCTAACATAGATTTCCAATAACATAGACAGTACGTTTAGTAAATATTTATTTTAATACCCTTTTTCCAGGTTCCACCAATAGTTAACTATACCATGGAGGGTAGAACGTATCGCTACTTAAATGCGGAGCCACTGTATCCATTTGGTTACGGTTTGACCTACACCAGCTTTGAATACATAGAACTCATGTATAATTATGTTGTAAATGCTGGTGATATGATGTTTGGTTCTGTGAAACTTGTTAATACGGGTAGTTGCACAGGAGACGAGGTATGAACCCCTACAAGCAAAACAGCCTTACATGCAAATAGTTCATAGCAAGAAACGTGGCATGCTACTGTACTTTCGGCTTAAACTGGTGTCCGTTAAGAACGATCATTGAGCTACATAATAAAATATCTAAAATATTCAGATTTGTAATAGACAGTCATATCAGAAAATAATATCGTACGTAAAAAGAAAGCATTTCGAAAACACTTTTATATTTCAGATAAACATTATTTTCATATTTCAGATAATTCAAGTTTATGTGTCTTGGGTAAGTGCTAGTGTCCCTGTGCCTCTAATACAACTAGTAAACTTTACAAGAGTTACCATACCACCAGGTGGCATAGTTGAGTTCCAGTTCAGTATATCTCCTGAAAACATGGCGGTTTTTACAGAAAATAAGGGATGGGTTCTGGAAGAAGGGGATATTCGACTGTTTGTAGGCGGTGAACAGCCGGGACAAGTTAAGAGAGCAGCAACTGAATATATGGATGGAACTTTCAGCGTAAATGGTACAAAAATACTTGGATTTTACTGATATGAATAAATAAACATTATCTCTTTAAAGTATGTATAATATATGAAGATTTGGTCATTCAAACTAGCCAATATGCCCTTGAAGAAATTAGATTCCACTTTTAATTCCATAATAAAGAGGCTGGGTGTACCCATATTCACAATCTCTTAAATACTTGGATTGCTTAGACATTTGAACAATTATGAAGGTATTATTATGCGGATATTTAGATTTTAATGGAGTAACCATCAGAATCATATATATATATATAAAACTGAAACGAATCAAGGTGTTTAGTGGCAATATACGTTATTACAAATCAGTATTTGAACATGTCCACATCATAAACTCACAATAATATTTAAATGGGGTTTACTTTTCTGCATCAACCGGCTTAATGAAGTCCGGCATTCCCAGACAGTGTACTGTGTGATAAATTTTTCCCGGATTTGTTATGGGTTATTTTCTGGCACGCCACAGACTATCCGAACGACTAGGCCCCTTCCCTTGTCAGATTCTCCGTCCTTCACCTCTGGCAAGGGTAATCCCGAAGATCAGTCTCGGCAAGCACTTGGGCCGAACCGATACGAGACCATCTCGTTAGCGAGCTAGCACACTACTAACTTGAGCTACCGCGGCTCCCAGATGTTGAGATACTAGTACTGTAAAGTCAATGCAAGGTGTGTGTCTTAAAATACATTCTAACGTAATCAAATATCTAATACGTTTTCCAAGACGGTGGGTTCTCTATTCGCTACTACTAATGTTCGCACCAAAAGTATCACTTTAGAAATGTTTCCTTCATCTTCGTGTGAATCATTTAGCTAGATGAGATTGCTTTGCAGATGTCTAAATGTGGAATGGCATGAATAGTGGGTCTCCAGCTATTCAGGGATTGGGAATACCAGTGGAATAGGGTATGTGTCCATTCTACATCATTTCCCCGAGTCTATCGCGGCTACATGAACCTAAATTCATTTACTAGTTCTGTTCTGCTTCTCTGTAGCGTTACAATACTTGTGGGCAGTATAGTACGCTCTAGTACATAGTACGCTCTAATCGATTACTGTTATGATGGCATCTTTCGAATTAACTGAATCTACTAGTAAAGAAGAATGGACTGTTCATAATGAAAAGCATTTCCTAAGTAGTATGTTGGCTAAAGGAGGTGGAGGTGTTAATGGCCTAGTACCTGCAATACCACGGTTAGGTATTAACCCATATCAGTGGGACACTGAATGTTTAAATGGATCCGTGGTTCATAATGTTTCTTCCTTTCCCCAGTCTACTGGTTTTGCAGCAACGTGGAGGTAAGAACACATGCCCGGGTATCGATGATATTTACTAGATTATAGATGTCAAATCATTATCGCCATGATCATTAAAGAATTACACTTGTTAGCTATGCGTTAACATTCATGTTAATTCTTTAGACACCTCGGCCTTAAAACTATTTGATTCAGATAGTTCGGAATTTGTATTCCGGAAACCGGTGTTTTAGTACGAACGGTTAGTCACAATGTTGATCCGATTTTGATGAAACCTGAAATACATGTTTATAACCCAAAGATCTTGGTTTCTATCGATATCCGCGCATATCGGATCGTAACTTCCTGAATTATGACACTTGATTTTAAACAAAAAATCACGTTTTTAGCTTGTGGTCCTTTTAGAGGTCACAATTTTTATCCGATTTAAAGAAAACGTGTGAATATATCACCATTACATATTAAGATCTTGGTTCCTTTTGATAATCGCGCATATCCGAACGTAACTTCCTGGATTATGGCCCCTGATTGTTTGAAAAATCGCTTTTGCGGATTCTCTAGAGGTCACAATTTTTTTCCGATTTTAAAAACCGTTTAAATATGTCACCATTCCACCATAATGAAGGTTAAATTCGAATTTCGGGAAAATTGAAATGAAACTGCCCAACAAAATGGCCGCTCTTTGTACGCAAATTGTATAAAAGTATGTAATACGAAGGTTGTGGACCCGCGTCTAGAGATCACAATTTTTATCCGATTTTGATGAAATTTAAAACCTATCTTTATATCCCAAAGATCACGGTCCCTTTTGATATTTGCGCATTTCAGACCATAACTTTCTGGATTATTGCCCCTGATTGAACAAAAAATCGCGTTTGTTTTTAGCTTGTCCTCTATCCATCTCTTGCAAAATGTGGGCGTATCCTGCCTGGCAGCCGCTGGTGTTACATGTATATGGTACCGAAGCCGCGCTTATGCTGATTGTGAATAATTATTGAATTATTTTAAATAACAGATTTAATTTTCTGAACTATAGATTGTCTGCGAGGTGTCGATGACTAGAGTAATAAGTTCTGGGAAAATATATGCGTGACGCTAAACATTGATATTATTCCTTCTTTGTCTATATAGGCAATCAGTCGTAGCATTTTCTGGCAATAATCTTTAAAACTGTGTAGACTCAATGACAGGAACAATAGCCATTTAAAACTTGGTGTAGGTGTTCATTAGATGAATAAGATGGATATCAGGCTCGGATACGGATGGGAAAAGTGGTGGGGGTGGGGGCAAAAGTTATTCTTGATGAAAATTCCAGTGATGAGGTACGTGTAATTGAAATATTTATAAATGTCAAGTTCATATAGTTGGCTTTATTGGCTTCATTTATGGATTTGAAATATCACTTAAAGGTGCTCACGAGTCACAAATATCTAGTTACAGCAAACATGTTAGATTCTAAAAGACTTTTAACACAATGGCCATGTCAGATTTGTGTCCAATATATAACTATAATTGACAATGCTGACTCCCTTGTGGAAAAGCATTTGTTATTAAAATACATTTCTGACAAAAAAGACATTAAACATGCTTATAAATGAATAAAAATAGAAATTCATTAAATCTTACAGAGTTTCAATTATACCATTATCCAAAGGGCAAAACATTGTCGAAGACCTGATCCTCTAGTAATGCTCGCTGTCTGTGTGTCATTGATGATGATTTGTTTTAGCCCCCTGAGCTGATAAATTTTGCATGTTGCGTATTTGACTTGGCTACATGTTTTCAGAAAGCATACCATAAGTTAAGATTAAACCGCGAAGATAAGGCAGACATCAATGCATGTTTATAGAAATCATACCATAAATGAAGATTAAACTGCGAAGATAAGGTTGACATCAATGCATCGACTAGCTTTCTTTCTGATATTTGGGGAAATAATTGTGTGATGAAATTGCACAAAGATATCAATAATTTCGGTGTTTTTGTATAATATTTAAAAACCATTGTGTTTTTTTCTCTCTCAAAGCGTAATAATGGCAAACGATTCCAAAAGTGGTATCATTAAGGCAAGGTCAATGTGCCGAATTTCATTGTGACAGTATATGGATATTCTAAACTAGCAGTGCATTAACCTTCCTTCACATATTATCAAACATCCCCGATTCCACAATACACGATTTCCGGTTTTATAACAGCAAAACAAGATACGCATCATTAAAGGCGGCAAATGGCTATGATATACGATCAGATAATAACCATCTGTGAATTCGCCTTTTAATATTTTTACATACTTTGACGAAAATAAAACCATGTAAATGGTTGACTCTGAATATGCTTGTAAGTGCCAGTCAGGTGCCCTTGATTTCACACAGGACCATACACCACGTTTATCCTCATATAAAAAGGTAGACAATGCCACGTTTTTACAGGATTTAGTAATTAGTGAAGACATTGCTCTACCCAAGAGAAAGAGAGAGAAATGGGGTTTAACGTCCACTCGACACAGACTAGGTCATTTCTGGACTAACATATGGTTTAATTTTATTTCAATAATTTTCTTGCACGTAGTGGTCTTTAGCAGTGGGAGGAAACCGGAGGATCCGGAGAAAACCCACGAGGTTGGACAGGCAACCCTACTCCTTGTCGCGTACAACCGGGCATTCGAAACCACGCCAGTTGACTCAATGACAGGCCTCGTGATACAGCGCGCGCGTGCTAACCATTCGGCCACCCAACACCCCTTGCTCTACCCAATCTGTTTCACGGAAATATTGCGAATGTTTCTTGTAACTCTGTAAAAGATAAATGACATTTATAAGTTCAAATTTGAAACAGTAACCTCTAAACATTCCCCACGGCCGGGCTGTGTGTAGAGGGGGGGGGACCAACGCCTTCTAGAACTTAAAGTGTGCCAATCCACCCAAAATATAGTTCCCGAGCCATTGCCATTGAAATCGAAGGGTTGTATTACATGAACGCCAAGGTTTTACACGGGACCTCGGTTTTTCTTTTCCGAGCGACTAGATCTTGGGATTTACTTTAGTTTGAATCACTTTAGATGATAAACATATCTTATATTACCTTTGAAGTGAGGGTTGAGAGATCGAGCGATCTAACGTGTGTGCTTCAGATGATAATGTTTATCTTTGAGACAGGTGGCGTTGTTTCGATCCCAAGCTTTTAGGTGACAAGGCGTTGGGTCACCTGTCTGACCTCACGGGTGTTCTCCTGACCCATACACGCCAGCGAATTATATGGAATAAAATATTACCATATGTTAGTCCCGAAATTACCTAGTTCAGTTTGTATCGTGTGGGCGCTAAACCCCATCTCTGTCTCTCAGGGTTCGATCGCGTGCGATTATCTAAGCGATATAGTGTAGGAACGTCATGTAGCAGTTGTAAATCCGGCGTCTTGAAAAGGTTTCGAAGATTGGACATTCCTTTCCTAAAGAAAAAAAAGAAAGAGTGTGTGATCTAACTATAGCATCAAAAATCGCACTTATTGGGCAATCTCATAACACTAATTCTGTGATCATTCTTTGGATTCGAATAAAATAAAATAATCTTTTAAATTAGAGCCACACTGCATGGCTATAGTTGACCTAGTAGGGATCCAAGATAAGATAAGAGATCTGGTATAAATAATTTAAAACCAGAAACGGTCTTAATATTTTGTTGAAATGGTTCCGATAGCGCTGATAGGCCTTTTACAGGGTCTCTTATTGACATATGGTCTACAAACCTTCCCCTTCCAGAATACATCTTTATCGTGGGATGATCGAGTGGATGATTTGGTCGGTAGACTGACACTGGAGGAGATCATGCCCCAGATGGCTAGGGGTGGTAGTGGTAACAATGGTCCAACCCCTCCTGTCAGCAGACTCGGTATCGGGCCATACTCTTGGAATACTGAATGTCTCCATGGTGATGGAGATGCAGGTCCTGCGACATCCTTTCCTCAAGCTATTGGTTTAGCTGCTGCCTGGAGGTATGTATAATTGTTTTGACACACCCCTTCAGTTCACACGTAACTGTTTGCTTTAGGCGCAATCTTTTAAAAACGGGAGTCGTGGAGACGAAAAACGTTGGCGTTCACGTAATACAACCCTTCGAATTCAATGTCAGTGGCTCGGTTGGTGTTCTCCCCCACCCCCACCGCCTCCGTCCTCAATCCTGGGAGATTTTTAGAAGTTGTTTATATCATTTTCTTGTATATTTGTAATCTTGAGTCTTAAGGAAGCAAGTTTGCAACCCTGTAATTGTAGGCTTGTGAATCTAAAGGTTTTGATTAACCAGTGATGAAAAAGATGAGTACATATTTCTGAAAGACCGCTCGAAAAATGTGGATCTGTCCAGTATACTCCATAGCACACTACATGGCGTATGCCTTTCTTCGTTTTTCCAGTTGGAGCGGAAAAGAACGACGTTAAACCTTTCATTCATTCATTCTTTGAAAACTTCTAAATTTGTGCCTCGTCTTATAAATTTACATTTTGAACGTCAATGGATGAAACACTATAAATATATTTTACAGTAAATCGCTCCTTTTCGATGTATCTGAAGCAATTGCAAAAGAGGTTCGCGCAAAATATACTGACTTTGTTAAACATAACCAATATGGATATCATAAAGGTTTGAGTTGTTTTACACCAGTCATCAACATAATGAGAGATCCTTTATGGGGCCGAAATCAGGTTAGTATCCACAATTCTCTATTAATCTAGGTTAATTTCGAAATCAGTTTACATTAAAACTATATGAAAACACAATCATGTTCAGGTGAATTTGATTTATATAGAGTACGGCTTTCATCTATTTGTATTGCAACCCACTTTCGGATTCTTGTGAATGCTGTAAACTTTAACTTTGACAATGCGATCACCAGAGGTTGTCAGCGTTTTAGTATTGGTTAATGGGCATGCCATTAATTCTCGATTTAACATATATTTAACTAGTAGAAACTGCACAATTTAAAAGATATTACAATGTAATTTATGTTACATAATCTATTAAGATAATCAAAATCACCCCAACGGTGAAGTTTTTATCCAGATATACAGAATTATTGGAACTGGGATACGTTACAGTGATTACACAATTTCACTATCAATTTAACAGCTGTTTATCTTTATTGATCAACTAATGTAAACTTAGAATATTCCAATTCTAAACAACCAGTATGCCTCCTAGTTGAATACAATGGTGTAAAAAACGCTTCCATTTTCTAAATCTACGGATATTAAGTCCTATTCCAGTTAACATAATTTTGAAAATTAAACATACATTATTCAAGAGCTAAATCTGCCTATTTCAGGCATTTCTTTAATGTTATCTAAATTATTAATTAAAGATACATTATGTAAGATTTAGTTAAAGAGCTAGCCATTCTTTCTAAAATAGTTCGAAAACAGATAATGTAAAATGAATGTATTGAAAATTTCAGTCAAATTACTTTATTGCGAGCGAAGATATTAGCCTTTGAAGGTTTAACGAGATATGTGCAATAATTTCCGCCACCTCGCTCCTCCATTTTTAAATTAAATCAAAATATGGCTGAATCGTTCTAATCTATTTAATATTGGAGAAATCTGATGCCATCGAAAGTTGATTATGGCCTGGATCAGTTAATTAATGTTTAATTAATATTTTAGAAAACATTTCAGGCTTAACGAAATACCTGCAATAGGTAGATTTAGCTCTTGCATAATGTATGTTTAATGCTGAAATTTTCAGCATCTTCTATTTACCTTATCGATTTTTTAACTATTATAGCGAGAACTGTGAACGCTTTATATAATCTCACATGATGCCTCTTTAATAAAATCAGAAGGATTAAACGTGTCAGTTGGGAGCAACGGTGGCCAAGGGAGTAAGACGCTGACTCGCTAGCCTTGAGGTCGCGGGTTCGCTCCCGGTGTTAGCCAAAAAATTTCATTTGGATTTTCCGCCGTGGTTTCCCTTCGTCCGTGGTGCAGGACGAAGGGTCTGACAAGGACAGCTGTCTAGTCGTTCGGATGGGATAAAAAAAAACGAGGTCCAGTGTACACATTGGCGTGCACGTAAAAGACCCTTTGACAGTTGAAATTCGATATAAGAGTAAGCCATGGCATAACACACTGTATGGCGTATACCCGTCTTCATTAGCCCAGTCGGAACAGAATAGGACGTTAATCCCCCGCTTCATTTCATTTATACGTGCCAGTGTAATATATATGCATCTCGAAAACCCTAATATTCCAGGAAACATATGGCGAAGATCCATACCTTAGTGGACAGCTATCCGCTAACTTTGTTAAAGGATTGCAAGGCAATCATCCCAGATATGTAAGAGCTAATGCCGGCTGTAAGCACTTTGATGCCCATGGTGGACCCGAAAACTACCCAGTATCCAGATTTAACTTTGATGCAAAGGTAACACAATTTTTTCTTCTTACAAAGTAGAATATCTAATTAGTTATGGTACCGAGGTTCTATTAAAACATATCCTCAAGTTATAATAACGGTATTAAGGAAGTAGTTTCATCACATTTTGTTCTTCGTTTAGCAAGCATGTCCGTGCCACTCGTGTTCCCTATATAAGAAGGTTGGCGATACATGAGCATCTGGACATGAGTTTTAATCTATTGTTACTAGAGTGACCAACAGCTCTAACACTACTGCAGCCACTAGCGCTATCACTATTACCCTTGTGGTTATTTATGTTACAGGTATCAGAAAGAGATTTAAGAAGCACTTTTTATCCTGCATTCCGGACGTGCGTAAAAGCCGGTTCTATGAATATAATGTGTAGTTATAATAGGTAAGATATCATATATCTGACAATATCACTAAGAGAGAAATCGGTCATGTGGTACAATTTTATTCCAAATGAGTTGCTTGTGTGTATATGCCTTTAGCAATAGGAGAAAACCGGGTGACTGGAGAAAACCCAGAACAGACGACCCTGCCCCGTGTCACGTACAAGTGTGGGATCGTTACCACCAACATAACCCAATGGCAGATCTAATTATCTAAAGCCTCCCCCCTCCCAGCCCCCAATCGGTTACTGCATCGGAATATTGCAAAGTGTATAAGTATAAATCACTTCCCAAACCTAGATTTCACATGGCTAACAAATGTTTGTTTGGCTTCTAAAATGTCGGGGTTAAAACAATGCTCAATAAAACGGGAGGGAGTTTTTCTAACTAAATTTCTGGTAAATATATGCACTAATACTTCTATATTCTATGTTTTTGCATTGTAGGTTAAATGGTGTACCAGCCTGTGCTAATAAGCACCTTTTAACAGATGTATTAAGGACTGAATGGGGGTTTAAGGGTTATGTTGTCAGTGATCAGATGGCTGTTATAAACGTAATGCAACAACATCACTACACTAACTCTCTAGAAGATACAGTTGCTGCATGTGTTAATGCTGGTTGTAATCTGGAACTGTCTAATGGTGGATCCAGGCCAGTATTCAATTCCATGCGTAAGGTTTTCTTACTTGAGTGTAAAAATCAAATAGTTTAGAATTTTAAACTATAACATGTAACTGGAAGAACAATGTATAGTTTGATCTACCCGGTTATTAAATGCCTCTAAAGCATTTTTCATAATCTTATGTTAGTTTTCATTTTGGCATGATGTGATACTGCAAATTCGAATCTCCCAAAAGCGAAGAGTAATTATCTCAAAAACACATAGCAATGGCATGACATTGTGGCTTTTCGGTCAATTCTTAAAATCACAACCAAAAAAACAAGGAAAAGTGAATAACTGCCGTAGTAAATACTTTTTCCTGGTATTAGTTGTCGTTTTAAGGGTTAATCATTGATTTAAATTAAATAGTAAAATAAAATTTTATAGATCCCGAAATAGTAATTCATAGCTCCCAGCAATTCACTCATCCGTCCTTGTCAGTGAGTATAGGCAAATATTTTATTATAATCAAACTAATGCTTTTTGATTTCCGTCCACAAGCACTGGTCTAAATACTGTTCATAGCACGGTTACAACATAAAATATTAGCCATGGGTATACATGTATTAATTTATTATAGTTGATGCTGTAAAACAGGGAAAACTGAAAGAATCTGTTATCAGAGCAAGAGTAAAGGAACTATTTTACACCAGGATGCGATTGGGAGAATTTGATCCACCATCTATGAATCCCTACACCCAGATTCCACTGTCTATTGTTGAGAGCCAAGCGCATCAAGATCTAGCTATTAAAGCTGCACTCAAATCCTTTGTTTTATTAAAGAATAGTAAAAATCTTCTACCTCTACAAAATCAACAATATAATCAAATTGCTGTAAGTTTATATATCCATGACCTATGAACAGTGGCGTTCAAAGGTTTGGTGGTGCATGGGGAGTGGGAGAAATGGGGTTTAACGTCCACTCAACACAAACTAGGTCATTTCGGGACTAACATATGGTTCAATTTTATTTCAATAATTCGCTTGCGCTTAGGGGTCTTTAGCAGTGGGAGGAAACCGGAGGACCCGGAGAAAACCCACGAGGTTGGACAGGCGACCCTACTCCTTGTCACGTACAACCGGGGATTCGAAACCATGCCAGTAGACTCAATGACAGACTTTATGATACAGCACGCACGTGCTAACCATTCAGCCATCCAACCCCCCGTGGTGCATGGGGCCAACTCCTTGATAATATGACTCCAAGATTCAAATGTTGGGCCTAGTACTAAACAATGTTAGAAATGGAGATAATTAAATATGTAAACACAGATGAAATAAACTTTTTATTCAAACAAGTAGGGCAGCTTGCACAACGAAGTTCGTAGCGATAATTTCATATTTCAATTTTTTTAAATTTAACTATTTGATTAGATTCCCCCACCGTCATCTTTGAAGTATCCCCCGAAAAATTGGGCCTTCTAATATAATGGGAATACATGAACTAATAAATTCGAATCTTTTTTTGTATTCAAGGTTGTCGGACCGTTTATCAACAATGTAAAACAGATAATGGGTGATTACGCTGCGGCTACAGAGAGTAAATACATCAAAACACCTCTTCAAGGACTGCAAGCTCTGTCTAAAAACACAAAATCTGCCGAAGGATGTAGTCAACCGGCTTGTAATGCTTACGATACTAATTCAATCAAACAGGCTGTTACTGGAGCTCAAGTTGTGTTTGTTTGCTTGGGAACAGGTAAATGTTGTCTTTTTTAATGCCAATGAGTTGGTACCATATGGAACAACGTGCCTAGTTTTGTAATGTAAATGAAATGAAATGGGGTTTAAGGTCCTACTGTTTTATGGGGGGGGGGCGAATGGTTAGCACGTGCGCGCTGTATCATAAGGACAAGGAGTAGGGCCGCCTGTCCAACCTCGTGGGTTTTCTCCGGTTTCCTCCCACTGCTAGACCCCTACGCACAAGCGAATTATTGAAATAAAATTGAACAATAAGTTAGTCCCGAAATGACCTAGTTTGTGTTAAACCCCATTTCTCTCTCTCTCTATATATATATATATATATATATATAATTCAGCACTCCGTCCAACCATCAACCAGACGAAGATCGAGCCGTTTATATTATCAACATAATGGACCCGACCAGGCGCGCAATCACCAAATGAACACGCAGCAAGCTGAAGTAATAAGTTATATTGAATAATTCCATACATTCAAAATGTTATTGGTGATCGCATAGTTTGATAAAACTACAACATATGTTAGAAATAATGAGTTGGGTTTTATTTTTTTAGGTGTTGCATTAGAACGAGAATTCGTTGATCGTCATAATTTAGAACTAGCCGGACACCAGCTTCAACTTTTACAAGATGCTGTGACAAACGGTACGTATTTGAATATTCACCCGAATATACATTTGGACTTTCAGCCAAATAGATATACGACCCGAATTCCGATCCATAATTAAAATTGGATAACATACTTGGCACGATGTTCTAAATCTGCTTATTGCAGGATTTTTATTTGGGGGCGGGGACGGGGTGCTGGTGGTGGGAGGCTTCATATGTTATAGAACATCCGCGCCATTCAGTAACATAATGCATTTTTAAATGACATCACATGTTAATTCATGTTTTTTCTCTCTCGCACAGCTCCGCCAAGTGCCAAAATAATCCTCTTATTGTTCTCTGCTGCACCCCTGAACGTCCAATGGGCAGAGCAGAATCCTCGTGTTGGTGCCATCATCGAATCATTCTTCCCAGCCCAAGCTACAGGGGAAGCTTTAAGGCGTGCCATAACCAATGATGGACCAGATGCTAACTTTGGTGGCAGATTACCATTTACGTGGTATGCTAATTCAAGTGATGTAAGTGCAAACATTATATATGTTACACAAACTTGACCAACAGGCAGTTTTATGAAAAATACATACAGTTCCTTCTTTTTCATATATTCCAGGTTTAAATTACAAGTAAATTTTTTCCATGGCATTTAGTAAATGAACTGGAAATACACAGGTCACAATTCTATGGAATACAATTACTGCTTATTACTAAGCGACATTCCAACTAGTCTTCTCTAGTTTTTACCAAGCAATGATAAAATATAAAATGCGAGGAGACAATTTATACACGTGAAAGACTACTTAGTTAATGATAATTACCTTGAAGGTAATCTAACATAATCAACAAAATATTAATTGTCTTTAACTGTCAACAAATATTTATAACTCTTCATTTGGTTTAAGGTTCCGTCAATTGTTAATTATTCTATGGCAGGAAGAACTTATAGATATTTTAAGGGGCAACCGGCTTATCCATTTGGTTATGGGTTGTCATATACTACCTTCAGCTATAATAATTTAAATGTACCAGCATCAGTAACAGCTGGTGGAGATATTCAAGGATCTATAGAAATTTCCAATACCGGAAGCATGGCTGGTGATGAGGTAAAGATAAAATTAAAATTAAAAAAATGTTATTTTTTTTGAAGTTCGTAAAGCTACAAAGTTATTCTTTATATGTATATATTTTTCATTTTATACCATACAAAATAACAAAAGACTGGCTAAATCCCTTCCATCCAGTTACTTATGTGTTGTTACTTAACAATTCCGTGATTAGCCAGTATTTATCCCGACAAGTTGGAGATTTAGGACACTACTGAATGTGACAACTGCGAATCCTGTTTGGATTTGTGTCTTAATTAGCTTTCGACTTTTTGAAGATTTATATGCAGCAACCCCGGTCACTATCTTGCGGATTCTCAACTTATAAGTATGCAGAGCTTGCTCGTTATAATGACTTCTTGGCTCTGGCAAACTGTTTACATCGAAATTGCTGAAACAGGACTATTTACCAATTAGCGCCTGTGCGGATACAAGGGGTATTTAGGGACCCCACTACTATATCCTTAACATATGTCCGGGGAACTGGTTCATGTCTCGCGAGAATTTTATACATTGTGAGCTACTTAACGCCGGGTATAATGCTGCAAATAGAACGTTAGTGAGGCAGTGGCAATATTCACCATTTGACAAGAAACTAAAAGTAATACATTATCGGTAACAAGGGTTCTTGTGGGCCTCACTCCCCTCTCCTTTAAACATTTTGCTGGTTACAAGTGCTTAATCTGTTCAGTGCTCGGTATAAGCTATGTATTTGGAACCTTTCTTACTGGTGATATTATGTTGATCATTCTAGTAATTTAGATCTGAAAACAAATATAGCTACTCTAGCAACCCCGTCAAAAGACGATTCTACATGAAAATGACAATTTACTTTGATTATTCTTCAGTCTTTATATGAATAACATTATGCATACAAAATCCTGTCGGGGGCCTTAGTTTAACACCCGTTGCCGACAAGCCTGTATTTCAAACATGTCATGATCGACATCGTGATATTGTAGCTCACTATATATATATACTAAGCAGCAAAAGAAACGTCAGGTTGGTATGTTACGCTGAATAGACGCATTGCATAAAACTTGCCAAATGTTTTTATTGTATGTTTGTGATCACATCTCCAACTTTACCTGAGCAATAAGGATCCTTTCCAAACACAGAATTGAACCGACCAGGAGATGTTCTCAAAAACGCAACCTCACTTCTGAAATGGTAATGTGGTCTCCATGATTTTCATGTAACCTATGCTGCACGGGCTGTTCACTGGGACCAGTCCTATGAAATGCACCCCATACCTGGTTGAATCATTCACACTACATCGTCAGCATCATGCCACGACTCACGACAGCTTAGAGTAACCAGTCGCTTGGAAGACTCGACGCTGGCCACACTGCCCAAGCCGTTGCTAATCACTTCCAGGTCATGTTCGGATCATCTACAGGCTCCAGCAACGCTTTCGGGGCACCAACACCACGGATGATCGCCCCTGAACTGGTAGACCAAGGATTACCACAAGGCGACAAGAACGCCATTTAGCTTTTTCCTTTTTGTTGTATAAATATACTTCAGGTATGTGACCTTTTTTTGATATTCACATAATCACATTCCCAATTAAGGTTGTTCAAGTCTACATATCATGGCGCCAAACATCTACACCAGCACCACAAATACAGTTGGTTTGGTTTGATCGTGTCACCATTCCCGCCAATGGTAAAAAGACCGTAAGCTTTCCAATTACCGGAGAACAGATGGCACTGTGGTTGGATAACGTTGGATGGAAAGTAGAAACAGGTAGGAATCTATACATTAGTTCGACGAACAGATGATTCCAATAATCCACATCTCAAAATCCAGAATTGTTCGATTATAAATAAAAAAGCTCTCTCACTGTCTATCTTTAGACTCATAAATTCTTGTGAACGCAAGTATATAACAGAGTGTTCGATTATAACACTATCGAAATTCTGATTTTTTTTATTTATGACCGAAAATCGAGAACACCTTTTGTTTACGTTTTGATATTTAAAGCTTATGAATGAGATACATGTTAGGGGAGTGACTGAAATGAATTAGAAGGGGTCGTCTATTTCATTTTTTTGAAAGTCATAAACCTAAAGTGGCACTGGGCAATATAACTATACAGTCAGTAATGAAGCAAAAGCGGCACTATATGTCTTGCTCTTACATATCCAGTCCGTAATGAAGGAAGGGTTAGTGCCTTTGATCACTTTGTAGAATCTTTTGAACTCTCTGACATGTGCATTTTTTTAATTTTTTTTTTTTTTAGGAACCATCAATGTTTATGTTGGAGGCCAACAGCCCAACCAGCAAAAGTCGGTTGGTTCAAATACTGTTCAAGGATCATTCAATATCTTGGGATCCAAATTACTTGGTATTTACTGATTTTATGGAATCAAGTTTACCAAAATTAATCATGAATTAATAAATGAAGCTTTTTGTTTTGTGTTCGTATTTTGAATAAAGTGACATAATATCTCCGATGTCTTTATTTATTTCGATTTAATCTTAACATCCGACTTCCAATATTAATGCTGCCTTTAAAGATGCATTATATATGCAAAAACTAAATCTACCTATTTTTTTATTTTTTTTTAAGGGGGGGGGGGGCAAACGTTATATCAACTATTATTTAGACATTATTATTCACATGCTCATAATCAACTGATAGCTGAGATATTGAATGGGTTAGACCATTCTCGCCTGGGATTTTAGCCACCAGTTCAGAATTATTGACAGCTGTCAGCCTACACCGTGGAAATATCAAGGGGAATAATTTAACCATTGGAGGCAGACCACATTGACAACTACATAAATGTTAAAACCCGTTTTCCTGCTATTCCAGGCCATGAGTTTGAAGTAGAACATATAGCCTTATTTTTATCGCTACCTTTGACAACCATATTTTCACCCATAACGCCATTAATCCCGGGGGGGTGGATGGCCGAATGGTTAGCACGCGGCGGGGTTTCGATTCCCCGGGTGTACGTGACAAGGAGTAGGGTCGCCTATCCAACCTCGTGGGTTTTCTCCGAGGCCTCCCGTTTCCTCCCACTACTAAAGACCCCTATGCGCAAGCGATTTAATGAAATAAAATCGAACCATGTGTTAGTCCCGAAATGACCTAGTTTGTGTCGAGTGGACGTTAAACCCCATTTCTCTCTCTCTCCCTTTATTTTGCCAACTAGATGAAATATTAATTTTTGTTTTCACTTTACCCGTCCGCCCGAAAAATAAGATTGCCCGAAAGTTAGGGGGCACCCCGACCCGCCCCGCCCGTTCACCTAGCTCGTAGGCCTATGGTTGCTAGGGTCACGATTAGTTAACTGAACAGTCAATCCCTATTTCAACCCCATCTCAGTTCCGTTGTATCTATGACAGATTAGATAATTAAAAAAAAATTCTCACACTCTTTCGTTGTGTCCCTTATCTATCAAATAATTCACGCTATCAGTTATGACCAGTTAAAACAAGCGGTTGCCAATGCAAAATATGCTCACATTTTCCAAGAAATGTATGGGGAAGAGGTAAAATCAATAGGGTTCATCCTCTAATTCAAGATCTTTTGCTCCTTAACATATTTGTTAAGTTTCATCAGAATGGGACAACAATTGTAGCTTAAAAATTCATACATATTTCACATCTTGCGGAAAAACTCAGTGGCTATAGCTCTGAAATGTGGGGTCTGCTGCGTACCAAATGCCCCCTGAAAAAATCTTTTGCCCCCTAAAAAAAAAGTTGCTGACCATAGCTCTAAAATACCTACTGTGCCCCCCTAAAAACTTCACTGCCCCTCTGCAGCCACCAAGCTGGCTTCGTGCCTGGGGCCAATGCGCACCAAAATTAAACTCATCCAAGAGTTAGTGATACTTGTTTTAAGTATGGTTCACAACCTTGGCATTACATGCTTTTATACTGTTTGCATAAAGGAGAGTTGGCATTTGACTGAAAGTTTCGGTCCGATTTTCAGGAAATTCGGACTCAACCATAATTATAGCGTGACAGTGATACATTTGAACGGTTTTGAAAATAAGATAAAAATGGTGACCTCTAGAGGGTTCACAGGCCAAAAACGTGATATTTGATAAATTAGGGGTCATGATCCAGAAAGCTACGTTCCAATACGTGCCAATATCGAAAGGAACCCAGGCCTTTAGGATATATCAAAATCTGATGAAAATTCGAACCTCTGGCCCACAACCTGGGTATTAAATGCTTTTAAGGGTAGCAGCCATTTTGTCGGGCAGTTATGGTCCAATTTTCACGAAATTTAAACTCAGCCGTAATTTTGGTGCAGCGGTGATATATCTGAACGCGTTTGACAATCAAATAGAAACAGGGAGGTTTAGAGAGTCCACAAGCGAAAAATGTCAAGATCTTTCGGTTATAAACATACATTGTCTGTTTCATCAAAATTGTATAAAAGATTAGTATCGCAGGAAACCACAATCGAATGTGCTTGCATTGTAAGGGATTTGGAAAAGAAATAAATTTTCTCTTCATTGCTGAGTAATTTCATTAGCCAGAAAGAGTCTCAAGATCCCCAGGAGCTTTCGGGGAATAGACGGCCCCTGGACACTCGTCTAAAGTCCTAGATGGTAGCCCTCAATCCAGAATTGCTCCGCTGGCCCTGTTATGTAAAAAGTATCCTGATTCGTGCACGACATCTATCATTCGTTCACTTCAACTGTCCATGGCAATGGTTTCTATCCTAATTTCAGAAGCGATTGGCTAGAAGCCACCAATACCTGCATGTGAACTTCTCGAAGCGTAAAGAACAAAATGGTCACTTGCGTTTTACTATTTACGGTGAATCATTTGAACATTCTAAGCATGACGACCGGCGATTCCTTTTAATTGACCACCGCAGAGCGCCGATTCCTTTTAATTGACCTCCGACGACCGCCAATATCTTGTATTTTGAGAACAATCGGCGGTCGTCGGCGGGCGTCGGTGGTCATCGGCGGTAAAAAGACACACCCCTGGACATTTTCCTTTTTGTAGGGGTAGAAAAAAATCGAGACGGTCAACATCTTTTAATATTTTTATCAGATGGCTGTGGCATGCAGTGCTAGTCGGAATGTTAAAAAAATAAATGCTATAGTCTATAGTCCCAGGAATGACATGGATTTAACATTGAAGTCAAGGATCACTAGTCTGAATCCTTTTTCCAATATTGTTGTTACCTCCCTTTATTAGATTTTCAAGTGCAGAAATCAGTAACCGTTGGCGGCTTCAAGATGGCAACCTTGAGAACAAGTTGTAGGACAGTCGCTAAATTAAAGCGATATTTAGTCCAAAGAACCATAGGAACATCCTCAGTAGTGTCAAGTAATTATTTTAGAGTTATCCAATTTCAACTTTCTGCAAAGAGCACTACATTATTTCGATTAAGTTGAATGAAAATTTCATATGCACGATAACAATAACGTAGACTTCATAAACTTGTTTTTGAGGATTAAAAGACTCTACTAAGTCTAGGCTTACAGTTACCCTAAAATAACTCCTAGCTACAAGGCCTAGGTTTAATACTTTTCCTGTAAATGGTTTACTACAAAGACTTGCTAAAAATGTTGGTCTTAGTGGGCCATTTAATATTCATATCATGTTAGAAAATATGAAATATAAGCAATCATTCTGGGAAGTATAAGATTATGGTAACAAAATAACAGTTTGGGCTAATAGCTTTTTCATATAACGTTTTAATTGTCGTAAATTATCGTACAAAATAAGAAGCTTCCATTTTGACATTACCCCGGCCTATGTCAAAGTTGGTGAACAAATCATGCAATGAATGGTACAGTGTTTCAAGGGATATGAATTGTTTTACCAGAGGTGATTTCTACAATGTATACAGTGTATATGTAGTTGTGACCAGATATTACCAGAGGTGATTTCTACAACGTATACAGTTTATACATGTAATGTATTTGTGCCCAGATATTACCTCCTGTCGATAACTATTCTGAAATATGTCCCCCTGGCCTCAGTCTCAGATAACATTTTGACAATTTTGCGGCACACACATGTATGCAATAAATTATGCATTCTGTAAATGTAATACCTGTAGATCATCAATCTTACCAATTTGGCTCGCTTTGTTAACTTTCATTGAGTGGGATCAATTTAATTCTGCATCAGCGATTCCAATTCTCTTGTGGGTATTTGAACTTGGAAGGGTGGAGATGCATTTACGGAAAGACAAATGATTGGGCTTTTGAACAGTGTTACTGTACATGTCATGTACAACATAATAAAGGTATGCCAGGGTTTACTTTAAATATCCCTAGGAGCTGCAGTGTTTCAATGAGTAATAACGCTGGCTCACTAACGTGGAGGTCTTGGGTTCTCTGGGGTGGTTCCCCCTCGTCGGTTGTGCAGGATGAATGGTCTGGCAGGGACAGTATCTAGCCGTTTGGGTGGGACAAAACAACAATGTCCTGTGTAAACATTGGCATGAACCTAAAAAAAACCTTGACAGTTGAAATTCAAAATAAGAGTAAGCTGTAATGCCACTGTCCAAGAAAAGTTTCCATCATAACACAAATAGGATGTTAAAAACCCTATTTCATTTCAATACTTATCCAATATATATACTGGTACTTATTTTTACATGCAGATTGGAATAAAGATTGGCAACCTGGTCCATTTCCTAAAACACAAGAAGAAAGAATTGCAGCTGCTAAGAAATATGGTTTACGTGTAGAAGACTATGAAGTATATCCTGATGATGGTGTTGGTTATGGAGATTATCCTAAACTACCAATTGTCTCTGCAGAACACAGAGATCCTTATGAAGATTGGGATGATCCAGGTACTAAAACAAACTACAATGAAGTGGTAGGTGTCACAATTTTATCTTTTTAGAATTGAATTCCAAGATTAAATGGGGGTTTGTTATATTTAACCCACATGGAAATATGTAGAATCCAAAATATAAATCTGTCATTTAAAATCATCATATATGTCGACTATTCTGACTATTCTGCTTGTTCATTCATCTTGTCATTGTAATACATATGTTAAAATTTGTAGACTGTCAATAGGAAGCTTCTCCATGAAGTATCTCGAAAGATGTTTTTGGCAACAAATCATTATACTTTGGATGTGTTTTCCAGTTGTCCAATTGCTGGTTATGTATTTAGAATTGATACTGTTGTGGAAATCTTGAAAATTTGAGTATTAGGAGCACCTTGAAAATATATGCACAAGGGTAACTACATGAATCATTCAAATTGACTAATTCCAATTTGACTTCTGTGTAACCAAATTCAGGACACCAGTATTGCATGTGAATACATATCAATCTAAATCTAATGAGCATGACAAATTAGACAAAATAAATCATTTTATTAAACTATGAAATAGTTAAAAATGTTACACCTACCCTTGTATTTGTTCTATTTTTCAGCGCCATGTAGATTATGATCTTTATTTGGAATACAAACTAGATCCCAATAGAAAACGTCAAGTTAGCTTGTAAGTCTGATCAATAATATTATAATTATCTTGCTGCTGTTCATATTCAATGAAGTGATAGTTGTCCCCCACCATTCAGAGGAAGCAGACATAAATGAAATGGGCTTTAACATCCTACTGACCTGCTCAGACAGGCCTAAGGAAGATGGGCATACACCATACATAAAGGTTGTTATGAGGGAAACCGGACAGCAGCTCTACGACCTACTCTTATATTGAATTCCAAATGCAAAGGGTTGTTTAATGTGCATGCCAATGTGTACATAGAACCTCAGTTACTATTCCCATCCAAAAGTTTATACGTTGTCCCTTGTCAATCTCTCCATTTTGCACCACAGACAAGGGGGAACCAGTCGGAAAATCCCAATTAACTTTTTCGGTCAACACAGGGATCGACCACGGTACCTCCAGGTTAGCGAGCCAACATCTTACTCACTGAACCACCACAGCTCAAAAAAATGGAGTCTGCATGGGTAATTAATAGTGTTCATATTTATATATCTTTCCCGCTGTTGTACATATTGTGTGACCTGTAAATAAAATGGAAAAGAAAAAAACTATTGCCATAATACACCTTGTATATTAGAAAAAAATGTATTGTTGTATAAACATTTCTATTTGAATAACTTATTAGATCATTATTGTCTGTGCTTTCAGGAATATGCAGCTTTTACAATTTTTGGGTGCAGTATCAGCAATAATGCTTATTTATGTGTTATGTGACCCCTACCCATTCTTTCAACCTGTGGTGAGTTAATAAAGTTTTTAATTTTTTATGGACAGGGCTAATTTACAGATCAAAAACTAAATATCTTTTTGGATAATTTGAGCAGTCAAAAACCATTTAAAGGACACTTGATTATGTTTGACAAATGGGTAATGTCATCACCTTTGTTTAGTCTGTGGACTTTTTTTTTTTTAACACTGTTAACACTGTAACGTTGATGTTGATATCGTTGACTAAGCAACAAATAACTGTTATAAATGAAAATATACAACACTAATAGATCAAAGTCGTCAGTTTATATATATTATATGTATTAGTTAGTTAAAATTGTTAGTAATCAGGCAGTAGTCATTAAGGGGGGTTGGGATGGCCTAGGTGACCTCTAGCTGGCCGGTCACCTCTTGCTTGCGGCTGTGGTTTCGATCCCTGGTGTGAGCATATGTGGCTTGGAGATAGGGACGCCTTCTCAACCTCATGGGTTTACTCTGGGTACCGTACTCCGGTTTCCTCCCACAGGAAAGACCCCTGCACGTGCGCTAAGATAATAAAAGTAAAAAATAAAAATATAAGACTTGTCTGCGATATCACCTGCAGTGGAAGAACAACAGCTAGTTACACACTTGCTAATTAATGACAACTGTATAATTTCTAACCACTTTCTATACATATTAAACATTAGTTTAGAATACTGACCACTTATATGATTTAATGACAAAAATTTTCATTACTAAACGGCCTAGCTTCATTAGTCAGCAGTATCAGCTTACACGTGTAATGTGGCAACTTTAACACTCACATCTACTTTTAATACATTTAAAATTTTAATAAACTGTGATAATAATATGAAACATTTAGAGCAGCTTTCATTTCCTGGCATCTCATCAGATAATTAACAATTCAAAAAACAAATTTTGGGCAATGAATGCAAGGGTTCATTTGAGTGAGTATAATTCCCCCTTTCATTTAGAAAATGGAAAAATGTATGTTTATGAGAAAGATCTTTAAAAATTATAAAAACATTCTATACTATATTATTAATATTTAAAACTTATCTAGATATATTTACAGTTTTATTTTCTTTTGCAGTTACCTAAACAATTTCCATTTAATGATTTATATCTAGAGAAAGGGGGTGATCCAAGCAAGGAACCAACAGTTATACATTATACATTTGAACCACCAGAATGAACTATTTACCGGTTATATATATTTATCAGACAGTGAACTGTACAGTGTATTGAAATGGACAAATAGTGCTTATGCTTAAAGTGGATATTTCTTACATGGATTGGATAAACTGTAGAAAAGATATTCATTAAATAAACTTTTAAAAACAAAGTTGTGTGTATTGTTAGTACCGGTATTTGATATTTTTGATTTTTTTTTTTATCAAATAGTCTGAAACTTCTAATGAGTCAAACAAATTTAACAATTTTTACAATATGATTTAGGAAATTCGGGGCACTGTCCAATGGAGACAGAATATAATTGTTTTAAAAGAACAGGTGAGTGTCTCTATCTGTAATCTACCCGCCCAACAAAAAGCACAATACATCACAATCAATCTAAAATGTTAAAAGAATTTCTCCCTTGTTACATGTATATTGTGTTTTGGCATCAAGCTTTATTTACAATTAGGGGAGTTGGATGGGCGAATGGTTAGAATGTGAACTAAAGTTATCGTGTCCCAAAGCATCAACCAATCAAATTGCTTATCTCTGCTTATCCTAAGCAGAAAATGCTCAACTTCGAACTCCATCAAGTCATTGACCTAATAAACACAAGTTTGAACATTCTAGCTCAATTAGGAGAGTTATTGTGTCCCAAAAAGTGTGATGGACGGACAGACGAACCAATTTTAATAGTCCCCAGCTTTCTTCAAAAGGTGGGGGACAAAAAGTGAAAAGAAATTTTGAGACTGGATACAAGGCCCAACTATGTGATCAATGATAATATTAATTGTTGATGGCCCTTCTCGGATTCACAATGATATACATCATATTTTCAAAGCACAGATTTTTCATCCCGAGGAACGTTAAAAAGGGCCCTGTCTGCATCTATACTGTATATGCCTAGCTTACAACTGTTGCTCTAATGAACAAAATCATCAAGACATACATACAAAACAATACAAACCTCACATAGCAAATAATTTTATTACATGCTGAAAGACACAGTTTCAATTCTTTGAATTTATGGAAAATTCAATATGTAAGTCCTTAGTTACATTATATCTTAAATATCTAATGTGAAATACATACATGTAGCACAAGCATCTAAATAATCAGGCATGATTTTTAAAAGGCAAAATAAATCATTGATATGATGGTTGTTTGAAACCAGAATTGTTCCGTTTGACTGATGAAAGAATATGAGAGCACTGTGACTGGACTATTTATAGATATTATTAAAAGTAAATAATTCATAAAAAGAATGTATAATTATATGTGAAAACTTCTTAGCAAAAAAAACAACAAATGAGCTCTTTTTATTATTTCTTCCATGTGCCTGAATATTTGAACAAAGGTGTGCAAGAAAGACAATTTATTAGACATTATACAGTAAATATCTAATAACATTTGAAGTCACAATAAAGATTGACAGTACATGTAATGTTAAAAAAACTGACACCATATCCTTAAATGACATTTAAATTCAACACCATTTGAAATAGACACATACATGTAAGTCTTGCTAGCTGTTCTTCATTCTTGTAACAGAACATGATATTCGGTCTTTTAACTATTTAAAATTCAGAGAAAAAAATGTTTCATAAATGAATGTAATAAATAATTTTGTACAAGAATTTAAGTTTATAACGAAATGTTCACTTGAACATATATATTACACAGCATACTTGATTACATGTACCATCAGTTGACGAATCCAGGTGTTTGTTTATTAATTTTAAAGTTTTTCACATTCCTTTTTAAGCTTCTGCTTTAATGATAACTGGACTAGAATCAGTATTATTTGTTACTTCATCTGGCATAACACATTTCCATAGTCCGTATGTCTGTCCAACGTTTGTTTGCCACAGTCGTAATGTACCATCTTCGCTACCACTTGCATAGATTTCTCCATCTGGTGAAAACCGAACACAATGAACTGGTCCAAAATGGCCCTTGAAAGATTCTAAAAGAAAAATTTGGGTATAAATAATCAATTCTCTTTACTTTGAAAACAGGATGGCATAGTTAATCAAACTTAAAGGACATAATAAACAAGCCAACAGTGAGGCTGATGTCCCCCGCCGAAATAGGAAAATAATTAGAGGACACATATAAATTTATCCCTGAGCAGAAAATGCTCATTATCAAACTTAGTCAAGGTATTACTGTAATGAAACTATACACCAAGTTTCATCAATCTCACTTAATTAGAACTAAAGTTATCGTGTCCCAAAGCATCAACCAATCAAATTGCTTATCTCTGCTTACCCTAAGCGGAAAATGCTCATCTTCGAACTCCATCAAGGCATTGACCTAATCAACACATACACCAAGTTTGAACATTCTAGCTCAATTAGGAAGAGAGTTATCGTGCCCCAAAGTATCAACCAATCAAATTGCTTATCTCTGCTTACCCTAAGCGGAAAATGCTCATCTTCGAACTCCATCAAGGCATTGACCTAATAAACACATACACCAAGTTTGAACATTCTAGCTCAATTAAAAGTTATCGTGTCCCAAAGCATCAACCAATCAAATTGCTTATCTCTGCTTACCCTAAGCGGAAAATGCTCATCTTCGAACTCCATCAAGGCATTGACCTAATCAACACATACACCAAGTTTGAACATTCTAGCCCAATTAGGAAGAGAGTTATCGTGTCCCAAAGCATCAACCAATCAAATTGCTTATCTCTGCTTACCCTAAGCGGAAAATGCTCATCTTCGAACTCCATCAAGGCATTGACCTAATAAACACATACACCAAGTTTGAACATTCTAGCTCAATTAGGAAGAGAGTTATTGTGTCCCAAAAAGTGTGACGGACAGACAGACGGACGGACAGACAGACAGACGGACAGACAGACGGACGAACCCATTTTAATAGTCCCCTGCTTTCTTCGAAAGGCGGGGGACAATAAATTTATTAACTGAGGTCAGTCACAAAGATGGCTGGTTCTATATTTTAAAAGTCAACCTTGAAACAGGTAGGTTGCCAGGCTATAAAATCTACCGGTACATCCACCACAGCAAAGTCTCAGCAGTTGTGAACTTAACAACTTGTACAAATTTCAGAAAGATCAGATCATAACTGAAGCATCTAATGAAGGTGCTAATAAAGACTTTGTAACAAAGGGGGATAACACTAGAAAGTATTATCGAAAATCGCTGAAACAACACTATCAATTGACTTCTTCCTGTCAGTAGAATAGCAATATAAACATATATAAATTTCAAAAAGATGGGTTAAAAGCAATATTATAATATGCTAATAAAATTTGGAAACAAAGGGGTATAACTTTTTTTTTCCTTTTAATGGGTTAATGTCATAAAATTTACAGAAAGGCTGACTTTAATTGAAACTTCTATTGTGCCGAAAATAAATGTGGATGAAGGACAGAGGTGAAAGCAACACACAACCACATAATTTGAGAGCATAAAAAAACTAAATTTTACAGTGCTGGTGATCTAGCAGTCCGGATTTTCATTATATTCCAGAAAAGCCATAATGGATGAGTAATAAAAAAAAACCTTGAATCATCAAATTAAATTATAACCATTACCTATTTCTTCTCCATTTTCATAATCAAATTTATACATCTTAAAATCTTCTCCTCCAGAAACGAAAATATCAGATGTTGGGTGAAGTGATGAGGAATTGATTTGTGATGGAGCCGTGAAAACTTTAATTTGTTCAAATCTGAAACAACAATAATTATTAAAATTTTTGTTCATCTCGGATGTGTATAGCAATAATTAAAATTTTTGTTCATCTTGGACGTGTACTGTAATAGCAATTTACTTCTAACTTTCAGGCACCACACCAGTACTGTCACAGAAAATTTCACAACCAACTAGTGTATATGTTCCTTTTTCTAACAGCTTGATTAGAACTCTGTAGAAGTCAATAATAATATTTTTGTTTCATTATTTAATTTAAAAACAATTTTAACAATTTTTGGTGTTGTTTTCCTAAACAAAATGTGGGGCAGGGGCAGAATGTCATTGAGTGGCAATAATATATGTACCTTTTCATACAAAGACTGGATTGCCCAACTTTATCGTTCACTGGGGTAATAAATATTTTGAAAACTGAATTAGCCTCAAATGAATTTTTGTGCAAAATTGGGCTTTGCATGCGATAGAATAATTCCATTCATTTAACTTCTGGAGGAAATATTTTAAACTTACGTTTCAGCATCATAGAAACTGGTAGTTGAACCATAAGTTACAAGGAAAACTTTTCCTTTTCTAGCTAGTTCAAGACTACTTGGTATTGCAGGTAGATCTATCCTTTTGATTTCTGTACCATTAATAGCATCCCATATCCTGTTGAAATAAAATATATTTTTAAATGTTGAGAAGTACTACCATTTGGCGAAATAACTGTACTACTATTCCAAAAATAAACAACGATCCATTGGTCTCTTAGAAACATAAATTGATTCCCCATCCCCTGTCCTCAGATTTAATCCTACACATTAGTTCTAAGCAGGGCTTCCACTTCAAAATTTTCACCATCGGTCATTTTTGATAACACACGAAAAATTTGCAAATTAAATTCATATTTCATGATTTTTATTTATGGTAGGGTATCGTGAATTCTCATGTCATTACCACTTTGTCAGCAGGGTGTACACAAAAAAATTATATATTGGCTTACATTAATAATTTATTGATGAAATGTGCTCATTTGGCTATTTAAATAGCTTTTATGATCAAAATTTCTTACTTGATTAAAGAAAAGTAAAGAGCTAAGTTCATCAGATGTTGCAATAATTGAATGATTGTATGATGTACAAAAATAAAAGTGTAAAACAAGAGCTATGCACAGTAGATCTATGTTATTTATTTTCTTTTAAAAGATATATTTTATGCAATCTGGTGGGCAGTAAACGTATATGTACATCGAAGACAAAACAAAATTGACTGTTCATGCTCAATTTCTGGGATATTAGTCAGTGTTATGTGTTCAAGATTGGAATAAACATTTCAGAAAGTCAAAACAATATTTACTTTACAATTAAAGCATGCTTAATCATAGAACTTCTATGTCTTAATATACCATCCCATATAATTAGGCACATGTATTATCAAAATAAAATTTTTGAGTGTTATCAAATGATAAATTCTTCATATCTGTGCATCTATGAGCTGCACTCTGGAAATACATTCATCAGTTATACAAGTTATCAAGATTACTATAAATGTATATACCTGACTGTTTTATCATCTGAGATGCTGATAAATTTTTTATCATCAGGTGTAAATAATGCAGCTCTAACATTACCAGTATGACCACTTATAACAGCAGGTTCTGAAATTACAACACATAGACGAACAAAAAATAAGCTTACAGGTACATATGTACATGCTATATGGGGAAAATATGCCATGATCCTCAATAAATTAGTGTCAAATATTCATATTAGCCAATCTGTATCTTTCACAGGCACTTGAAGGGATTAAAATAAAACTTCTTACTACTGCTTGACTATATATTATAGTATAATATATAGTCAAGCAGTAGTAAGAAGTTTTATTTTAATCCCTTCAATACTTTAGTGCCTGTGAGTCAAGCAGTAGTTAAGAAGTTTAATTTAAATCCCTTCAAGTGCCTGTGGTATCTTTCAATCACACCACAATTACCAAATAGAGATTAAATTTCAGGCTGTGAACTAAGGCTTTAAGTTGATCAAATAAACGGAATATCAATCACGGCTGTAGGTGTTAAGCAAATTATCTATTAAATTTGTTGTTACAATTTTATTTTAATCCAGCTTAATATGAATCAGGAGCATCATTTAATAGTGGATATTTATATCTATTCTTTAAACATATAAAATTCTAAATTGTATATGTACCTGCATCGTAATTTTCCAAATCATAAATTCTACATAGTTTGGCTTGAGTGCCTGTTAACAGCTTTTTACTATCTGATGAAAAGTTAACTGATTTAACGATGTGTTTGTGAGCAAATGTATGTAATTCCTCTCCACTTTCTGCATCCCATAGTTTCCTGCAAAAATATGTTTAATATATAACCATTAATTTCTCAATATTGAATAAACTACTAAAAGTAACCATCTATTTTTAAACTTTTCTTTATCGAAGCTAAAATATATTGTTATTATTTTAATTTTTGGACATTTGAATCCATTTAACTTACGATGAAAAGTCTGCTGCTCCAGTAGCAGCCCTGGAAGCATCTCTGTTCAAGGTAGCGCCCCACACGGCTCCTTTATGACCATCAAACGTTCCAATCCAATCCCCTGTATCTCCTTGCCGCAACATGGGTTTTCCATCTAAAAAGAATCACTACAATGTTACATACATTCTCATGTATAAGGACATGTCCATTGACCAAAATAAATAATTTACATAACCAGAAGTCTGGCACTACCTGTGATTTATCAACAACACAAAGATAATATTATGTTTATATAGATGTATATTAAAGTAGATAAAGTACAAGTACTTCTATGTGTATGGTATTGGTAGATAAATACATAATAAAAAATAGGCCAAGTTATTTTGATATACCATTACATCAAATCATATTCTAGCTGTATTTATATGCTTTGCTGATTTTATGTGTCAAGAGCTGCATTTCTGAAGTACACTTTTCATTCTCTTACAAAATGCAATATTGATATTAAATATGACATTACAGTATTGTCAAATATGATTGATTACCGGTATCATTATTGTATGTCTACCAAGAGAACTGCACAACCAACAAACAGAAACCCATCATAAGAAGATAAACCCATAGGTAAGACAGACAATGCAGGGACACATTTGAACTATAACTGCAGTAAATTTCATATTGTTTTCTTATCCTAGCCGTTAAAAACTAAAAATATAATATTAGAAAGGATATTAAACTTAGAATTATGTAGACAAGTTAACAGCTGGCAAGTCCATTTACAATGCATAACCATAAATTATAAAGCCATCCTATATTTTAGCTGTCCATTTATAATGCATAACAATAATGTCCTAATCTCTTTTAGCTGGATAGCTTGTCCATTTACAATGCATAACAATCAAGACATTTGATGTTTTTACCAAGGGGCGAGTGATTATTTTGAGCATGTCTTCCAAAATGACGGTTTCCATGCAAGTGAAAGCTTGTGCAGAATTTCAACTTTAAAATCTTTATTGGAGGCAATTCTACTTTATGAAAATAATGTTTTATTGTTGTAATGTTTTTTGTTAGAACTAAGATTTCTGTTAGTGAGAACGGGACCCCAGAAACGTGTTTATATCAACAAAATCAAGAATCTGGTGTGGTTCGTTTGTACAGTATATGTGTATACATTGAAATCCATCCATTTTACTGTTAAAGTAGCTAAGTCTCTAACTCAATATCATCCAAAATCTTTGACATTGAAAACACAAATTATTTGTCAATTTAAATCAACATTGGTGTTGTCATCTTACCGGTAAAAGATGGGCTTCTGATATCCAATATTTAAGACAAAATAAACATTTTGCCATTGGTACACGGATCATTTTCAGCACCATTTGTAACAAGGTTCTCGAAGAGAGAGAGAGAGAGAGAGAGAAGTGGGGTTTAATGTCCACTCGACACAAACTAGGTCATTTCGGGACTAACACATGGTTTAATTTTATTTCAATAATTCGCTTGCGCGTAGAGGTCTTTAGCAGTGGGAGGAAACCGGAGGACCCGGAGAAAACCCACGAGGTTGGACAGGCGACCCTACTCCTTGCCACGTACAACCGGGGATTCGAAACCACGCCAGTTGACTCAATGACAGACTTTATGGTACAGCGCGCACATGCTAACCATTCAGCCACCCAACCCCCCGGTTCTCGAAGAACGAGGCTAGACATATTCCGGAAGTCATGTCAAACAGTGATGCCAAATTCTTATCTGGAGAGGCTGAGCATGCATAATAAATACTATCTGCGTAGACTGGAATAACCAGATGCTAGAGGTTTCCATTCATTTGAGACTTCTGGCTTTTTTAAACGAGCATAACAGATTTGAAATTAGAGTAAAGATGGAAGCGATTGAATGTAAATCTGTTTATTTACATTAATATTACATTATTATATGCGTTGCAACCCATTTGTCATTTGTGTCAATTTCTAGGTCCCAAATATTAGCGATTTAGCTCCCTGAATAACCTATTTTACTATTGCTACATTCATTTCTGTTTATTAATAGAATAAAACTATCTAGAAACAGGAATGACACATGGATCCACCTTTCTTCTGTTACTGTTAGTAGTGTGTTAGCAAAACCTAACTATAATACAATATAGTTTAGGTATTCGAGACTATCAATAAATAAAGCCAAAGGCAAAGAAGGTGGCTGGACAGTCTTCGTCCATATTGACCAAAACAACACCATTTATAAACCGAACTCTATACATCAGGGTAGAAATTTACGGACCTTTACACGCGCTTATTGAGAAGTAGCCAAAAGGTGTTATTTCACTAAATGCCAAATAAACAACAGGTCTGGTATGGCCACTACAAGTTAGCGGTGTCTGTCTGAAACCCGACATGTTGCTCTTCACTCTACATCCGACGGAAATGAAACTTGCGCATGTGCTGAAGTTGTAAATAGACCAAGAATGGCGGGTATTTGTATTAAGTCTCCAGTAGATCTATGAAATATTTATAACGTAAAGAAAGGTAATATCTCTGTTGTAAAGAACCTTAACTACCCTAAATATTTCTCTTTTTCAATAGCTATTATATGGATCTAATGAGCAATTTTATGTGGAATTGAAACTGGAAGAGAGTATCTGACAGTGACATTGCTGAGTGTTTGACTTTGAGTTCAGCTACGTTAAAGGACCTAAGTCCGTAACTCAAAATCCTCCAAAATCTTCGACATCGAAAACACGAATTATTGGTCAATTTAAATCAACATTGATGAGCTTCTGATATCCGATATTTAAGATAAAATAATTTTTTTAACATTGGTACACGAATCGTGTACCATAATGCGCTTCAGCCCCAGTTGTATTGAGAGACTCGAGGGACGAGGCTAGACAAATTGCACCAAATCAATAACTAGAATAACTAGACGCTAGAAATTTGCACTCAATTGAGATTGCTGACTTATTTCGCCGAACATAACTGATTTGAAATTGGAGAAAAAACGGAAACCATTAAATGTAAATCAGTTTATATACATTCATATTACAGTATTATATGCGTTGCGACCCACTTTTGTGAATTTCTAGGTCCCAAATGTTAGCGATTTAGCTCCTTTAACTACGTAGGTCTCATTACACACACTCACCCTGTAGGCTGTACGTTCAGGGACTCTTCTATTGAATCCTTGTTGTCAAAATCTGACTTCCAAGTCAATTTTACTGGGCAACTTTTTACTGCTAGACAGTCGCGTGTCAGATCTGTGAGCGCCTGAACAATGTAACTGAACATCTTCTTAGTGAGGAAATAAGACCTTGGTTTAGGGCTGGCGGAAATAATCGATAATTGTTGATAATCGTCGGTAAGTGTATGGAAAATCGATTATCGATACAGTTTTAAAATATTGATTATCGCACAATTAGGTGCTTCACTTTTAAGAAGAAGTCCATAAAAATAATCCTTATCACTGTATTCTTTGCAACACGTGGGCCTAGCTAGAACTGTAATTAAACAGAATAGTCATAATAAAACACACACGTTTGTTGGGTTTTTTTCACGCGAGACGCAACCAGTGAGAAATGTTGGCCACTTATGTCATGATGAGAGCCAATGGTTTCACGTAACATCCAATTGTGTCTCTTATTTTAACTCTTCAGTTCTTTCGTCTTCTCTGTCAAAGTCAAACACGTACTTTCCCTTTATAATTTTTTTTAATTTATTAAGAAATTTGCAAAGAAATGTCTGAAGAGGAGATGTTTAATTTCAACAGTGCGAAGAAATCACTGCAAGAAATAAACTGTTACCGCGAACTAAAGAATTCGTTTGATGTGATCAAAGGGAAATAACTACATTTTACTCAGTATTATTCAGGTCATAAGCGACAAAGATATGGCGAGCGGTGGCGGGTTCTGCCTTCCAAACGAAGTTGATCGAGTTTCTTTCTACACCTTGGTTTTGCTATGGAATGCTATTATTTTATTGTCAAATTAACGGAAAAAAAAACTTCTACATGTAGCCTATACAAAATGATATCCCAGCATAAAGTCGCATATAATTTGTGTACAAATTATGATTGTTTTCAAACCAATTCAACAATTGCAAGTCAAAATAATTTGCCGATATTATCGATTATCGATCAGCGGATGGTCTGCGATAATCGATACTTGAAACAGGATCGATTGCCAGCCCTACATGTACCTTGGTTACATGTACCTCGCTAGAACCAGTATACAGTATGGCCAACACAACTGCACGGCGCACGCTGTTAAAAAATACGTCCCACTCTTCTTACGGCCATGACCAGGGCTGTCGGTAATTTTTCACAGATGATTAGCAGCACTGCTAATCAAAAAGTCCAATTTTGCCAAAGTTGATTAGCAAATTTAAAAATTGATTAGCAGTTTTTCAGTTTCAAATCAACATTAAACACCTAAATAACAAGATTATTTTAATTTTAATTGATAGCAAATGATTAGATTTCATTCTTAAGATTTTTTTAGAATTTTAGCACTTTTACAGCTAGCTGTGAACATTTCTGAATGAATGTAGACTTTTGTTAGGCCTTATGTCTGAAGCCAATTCTTGGCAGTGGCTTCTTATTTCTTCGTTAGAAAACAATTTCGTCTGCTTTTTATCGTGTGTTATTATTTTTGTTCAATCGGAAGCACGCGGTATTTTACGAATAATCTCGATTAACTAGACGCACGCGATATAAACAATAATAGTTTACGGGAATTCTTACTTTGATTTCTCACTTTACAATACGTTTACACGTATTTATTTTTTATATTTTATTTACAATACGTGGGGGATACACTGAATTTATTTTTTTTCAAATTGAATACTGATATAATTACTCGAAATTGACATGTCTCGCAACGTGAGTGGTACTACTTGATTCCCTATTTCCGGTTTGATAGTCTCGATTCATAGAGTTATGTCCCTGTATTATATAGTATCATGAATTGAGTCTGGGTAGTTTGAGAAGAAAATGTCACACGGAGAATTCCGTTTTGTTTATAAAATTTATTTGATATTTTATACACGTTGAAAGTGTTGAGAAATGTGGATAAATCTTTGTGTCAATATCCAAAATGACAGGCATATTAATGATTCGCAGTTACTGCGAATCAAAAACGTTAGATTTTAATTTTTGATTAGCAACGGACAAAATATGTATCGCAAATTGCGCTGGGATACTGGTTGTCGGCAGCCCTGGCCATGACTGACTTCATTGAAAGGGTAACGCAAAAATTTACGAACTCGGCCATACAAGATGAAACGAAATTTAGGTAAGCCTAGGAGAAAAAAAATGAAATGTTTGTAAAGTTGAGAATCTTCAGTCATTTATTGCTTTGCCTAGCCTAATTACAATAATTTAAATTCAACTTTACAAAGATTTCAGGGTGAGTGTAACGAGACCTACGTTCAGAGCTGAACTAAGTGGTTGAGTGACTTAACTGACTTGTCGACTTGAGTCATCATTCATTCATAATCATTAGACATCAATTGAACAAAATCAAAATTCTGTTAATAGTAATAGCCTAGTAGTAGTAGCCTAGTGTCAGGCCTAGACCTTAATTTACTCACTTACTTTCTTTTATGTTAGATTAAGATTTATTAACAATTCAAGACAAAGAAATGTATTTTACCATTTGAAACTTAGTAAAAAAGACAAAATTAGCTCATGAGTTTTTTCACCACCTGTAGCATAGCCACTGTAGATAGGTCGACTACGTCATTACATGTACATGTACATGTACTTATGTAACTTAGAAATGTGTTACTGTTTACTCCTACTCTATGTCTTCGATCTTTGACTTCAGTAACCAGGCCTTCACGTAAAAGGAGCATGATCGCTCTCCTGGACGCGTCTGGATGTCAGTCGAGGTTAACTTTTTATAGCCTAGCTAGCTCTCCTCAATGTCTAAATTGACTCTCCTCAAAGAAAATAATCAGAAAAAATATACCCATAACGAAAAATACTGTCAATATCAACAATCAACTTGCTTGTCGGCTACAATAACAGTCATACCTTGGTGAGAATCAGCCATCCGGTTCATAATCCGAGTAAATTAGCACATTTAACAGTAATTTTGATAATTAGCACAATACAAGCTTGCTGGGTATTCATAACAGGTCCAGTAAGTTTCCTTTGTAATAATAAACCATGTGGCGAAAGAAGACATATTGCTCGGCATGGATTGTATGAATCTCGGGATTCGCACCCTGTCTTCGACTCTTGATTCGTACGAATTCTAGGTAGATATTAAAATATTGGATTCACTGACCCGTTGTTCGTTCTATTTAAATAGTCATTGAATAATCCCTGATAGAACACCGGATATGCTGAGAAACAGACATTAATAATATATTTTTCCGTCAGGATCTCCAGTGCTTTCAGACTCTAGATAACATGCATCAGTTGGAATTAGGTCAATAAACCAGCATTGTAGATTTAGTTTTAAATAGTGTTTTAGTTCTTTTCATTTTTATACGTACTAGGCTTCCATTGTAATGTGCACTGCAGTGTACTATCGTATCGCAATGACTGAGGTTATTTACTCGAATCCTCGCGGTACGTGCCGCCTTCTTGGCATTAAGCTTCTACATATTGTTGTCGTACCACAACGATTGTGGTAGTTGACTAAAGCGCGAAAATGGCGGCCATAATTCAAAGAGAGGAATCGGATGAACGTTTGAAAGAAATTGATACGAATATTAAGAATAAGTTTCGATGGAGCTGGCTGGAAAAGTCCGTGGATATTACTTATAGAGGCTAAAGTTATCATCCGATTGACTTCAGATTGATACACAGAGTTTAAGATCTTGAGACGAACAAGTATATTGATTTTCAATGAATTTTTATGACTTGAAAAGCTAAATCCATGACATTAAAAGTTTTGTATACTAAACGTTAGCATGGGGCAGAACTTTATAAAAACCAAACAAATTCTAATGGTTTTCTGATAATTACTTCATGACTTGTTACTCTTAATCAGATTTTAGTGTATTAAAGATGTTTCATTACCGAAAAAAGTAAAAATATGCGACAATACTTGTTGACTGCCCGGACGATTTACATGTAGCTGCTGTGGGCGTATGTTTCGTTGCCTGGCAACCTATCTTATTTTATACACATGCTGACAGAGAGTTATTCTGTTGTACGGAATTTTTATACGCCCACATTTTCATGTGGACGTAGTATGCCGTCGCCCCTGTCCGTCCGTCCGTCCACAATTGTTTGTGGACACTCTACAGGTCACAATTCTTATCCGATTTTGACGAAACTTGAAATATAGGTTTATCTCCAAAATATCGCGGCTGCTTTCGATATTGGCATGTATCGGATCGAAACTTCATGGATTATGGCCCCTGTTTGTACGAAAAATCACGTTTTTAGCTTGTGGACACTATAGAGGTCACAATTTTTATCCGATTATGTTGAAACTTGAAATGTAAGTTGATAACCCAAAGATCTCGGTTCCTTTCGATATTCACGCATATCGGACCGTAACTTCCTGAATTATGGCCCCTGATTGTACAAAAAATCACGTTTTTAGCTTGTGGACCCTATAGAGGTCATAATTTTTATCCGATTTAAAAAACGTTTTATTATATCACCGTTACACCCTAAGGATGAATGAGTTCGAATTTCATGAAAATCGGCCCAAAATTAACAGACAAAATGGCCGCCGTTCGTTCTCAAATAGCGTAAAAATATGGTATATCAAGGTTGTGGACCCTATAGAGGTCACAATTTTTATCTGATTTCGTTGAAACTTGAAATGTACATGTAAGTTTATAACCCAAAGATCTCGGTTCCTTTCAATATTCGCCCATATCGGACCGTAACTTCCTGAATTATGGCTCCTGATTGTACGAAAAATCGCTTTCTTTTTAGCTTGTTCTCTATCCATCTTTCGAAAATGTGGGCGTATCCTGCCTGGCAGCCGCTGGTATTTTATATAAAGCAATTTCAATTATGGTTGTCACATGATCATTGTGCCGCTTGTCTTTCATCCACAAATGAATAAAAACTTTGTAAGTTACGTGACAGACAAAAACAATAATTTGTGTTTTAAATATGAAGAAATGCCATGGTGTCATATCAGCTTATTTTTGCTACTGCATTTTCTGATACTGGCCATAATAGAAAAATCCTAATTTCGATTGACTGATGATATCCGTTTATCTATCAAATAAACATAGACAGTAATCTATTCAGGAATATTACTGACTTGAACTTCAAGTCATATTCAGAATACAACATTCTCCATAACAAATTACCAAAAATTATTTTTGTTGAAGTTTGGTTATATTAAAGCGGAAATTGCAAATTTTTAAGTTATATTTTTAAAATTTATTAAAATAAAGCCTGAAAATAGATGGTATCCATAAACAGTCCTTTCTTGTTAAAGAATAATCCTATTAATCCTATAATTCACTATTGCCAGCTGAGAAATTGGCAAAAATATAATTTTCCTCTTCATTTTCAAACGTTTGAAAAAAGCTACTCCATGGTGGAGAATAGAAAACAAGGGAGGTAATTGTGTTATTATTTCCTGTGTAAATGAGTTTTAAGTGTGAGAATAACACCTATGATCATATAATTGTGAGTTAGGGTTGGGCGATATACCGGTATTTCGGTATACCGTGATAAAATCATCGGCGATTTTATCATATCGGACTTACTTAAAAATATCGAAAAACCGGTTTATCGTGACTTAAAAAAATTATCGCGATTATGATAATTATCATGTCCCAATATTGATGATAATACATCGTCGCTTGGACTAGTAAGCGAGGAAAATGTGTTTGGCAAGGTCAAGGTTGGAGAGTATTTACCCCAGTCGCAACTGTCACTGTTCTGATTTTCAGACAAGTAGATTTTAGAACCCTGCTAGTTCTGGTTACATATTATCGTTATATTAAAACTTAATATTCTGCTTCGACTAACTAGTATGTCATTCTATTGATAGAATTAAATTCGTCTACAAGTATAAAATATAGCATATTAAGTACCGGCGGGTCAAGGGTAAATATCCATCATGGCGTCTAGCAACAGTAAAAAAGTGACAACAAGCGACGATTTGCTGCCTAAAAAAAATTCCTCCAGTCCCGTTTGGACTTTCTTTGGGTTTAAGCCAAACGACGTAGACCAGGCCACAATATTCTGCAAAGTTTGCACAAATCCAGTAATGGCTAAAGGTGGCAACACAACCAACCTATATCATCATTTGCGAACACGACACCCAAGTCAGTACAAAAGCTTTTATTTATACGGGATTGCCAGGGTTGATATTAATAAAATAATAAACAGGGTACGAAATAACACGCGAACGGTCGTTCAGGTTACGCATCGGTTACCATGACCTGGAAACACGCGAACGGACTTCCGTTCTCGACCACCGAGCTATAATTTATAAACTAAAGGTTTCAGTTAAAATATTCCCTCCACTACTACATTAAAACATTTTACAATTATAAATAAATGTCTGAAAGATCGTTAAGTTCGCACCTGTCATTTTGGCGGTAGCAAATCAACTCGCGGACCCATCATACCTGGCAACGACATACTCATTTGCCTCTTTAGCGAACGAAAGCGCCAGATCAATCAACTGATTTCTATTGTTTTTATTTCTTAAATTAATGGTGATTGAGTAATAAAAATAAAACACCCAATGAAAAGGAGTGTTATATTCGCAAATTATCAAATAAAAAACATACTTTTCAACAATGGATCTTCCGGTATTTACGTAATAGATCAGAGGTGAAAATTCACACCGTGTCAATGACTTTGGCATTATTCCAATATTTTCACGTTGTCACTCACGGCTAATAATTTTATGACATGGAAAGTGAAATGGAATAAGATTTTTTATGATTTACTGCCAGGCATATCGTAGAACATGATAATGTCGAAGAAATCAACTATTTGTTATTTTTGGGGGACGTTATGAATGATGCGAAGCAGCCGAGATCAAGCGTGTCGGCCGCCATATCTTGGATACGTTACACCACAAAACTTACGGATAATAATTCTAGAGTTTGGAAAGCTAAATTGAATCAAAACTTTTAGGATTTAATACAAGCTACATAGAGGAATATTACATTGCAACTATATATTTTTATTTTCGATGCTATGAAGCAAAGAAGACGACAATTCCCACCATATATCCAACAAAGGCAGAAATGTCACATAGCGATGAAGTGACGGTCATTTGGGGCGATATTTCTTTCTAAAAGTTATATATTTATATTTACTTTGAACACTGTTCTTTTTTTTAAAATAAAATCTTACGAGATACATGTTCACGTTTATTATGACAGAGAAAAGTCATAATTTTAGTGGAACTGACTTTTCAATATTATTTATAGTAATATACCGGTAATTGTTAGTTTGTACAATTGAATTTTATATCATTGGAAAGAACACGACAATCTGTACATTTTTGTATAAAAAAATTTTTTATTTAGTTATTTGCAATTTTGTAGAGAGTTTTAGGATTAACAATAATCCACTAATTCGCTTAGGGATATGGGCCCTGCTGATTTAATAAGCTTAGGGGTGGCTGGCTAATCTTTTAATTGGCCCCAAATCCCCCTAGGCTAATTCGAGGGCGGCTCTAAACAAATATGGCATCGTAACCTATAGGTTACCAGTTCAAATTTGATGCAGATTAGCGTAACCTATTTTGAGGTTACCATATAAGAGGCTTATTTCATACCCTGATAAATACAAAATACCTTTTTCTTTATTAGTATTTGATACAGTATGCACACAAGACAGGGGTCAAGACCGTCACAAGAATTCAAAATTAGACTTCTATAGACACACGTAAAAATTATCACGATAATATCGTTTATCGTGATATTAGATAAATTATTATCACGATATTTATTTTTCATTATCGCCCAAGCCTATTGTGAGTTGACAACCTACTGAGCAAAAGACATAGAAATAATTACGTTTTGACTTTCTTAGAAAATTTGCAATTTCCGCTTTAAACTTTAAATTTAATGGGAGCTTTAAGTTCATGCAGTAAGCCTTCTATATGTAATTATTCTAAGACACCCCCTATTTTCCCATACTTGAAGCAATAAAGTACATTTTATACAAGACTTTGGATTGGCTAGCTAGAACACAATAAACTGTTTACATTCAGCCAATCAAATATTGGCTTTCGTAGAGATACATGTAGTCTGCTCTTTACTTCCTGTCGAAGTGAAAGATTGAAATGACTGCATTCAACCATAGATATCCTGTCAACCTTCAGTCTTCATTAGACTAAATAGAGTATCATTAAAATAAGGCCGCTTAAAATAGCGTTGTTCAAAATCGATTTTACTTGTTTCTATTGAGTATTTTGAGAGGCTCTAAGTCACGCAGATGGTGAGGGCAAAAAACGCAAAATTTTGGAATGTCTGTGTATTTTTAGGCAACTCGAAATTGATCCGCTGCGACCTTTGTTCCCAATCCATAGATTACTATTTCTTCATGCATGTATCAATACTGGTAATTAACACACAAATGTCTTGTTTGAATTCGAGCGAAGGTGACTCTGTGAGTACAATATTGGAAGGGCGCTAGGTTACTAACACAGATCCCAGGTTTTGTAGGCCAAGAATGTTCTTCAGGATTTTCCATGGAGTATCATGAATTTATGAAAGAACTCACAGTATCCAGCACAACTGCTGACTGTTACAATTCAATTTTGGCACTAGTTAAAAAATTTCATAACTTGTTATAACTACATGCATTACTGTATAAGATACAATAAATGTATGCAGTTGGAGTATTTACGCTACTAAAATGAGGCATATACATGTATATAGACGAGGACATCTCATGGTGTCCCATCAGCAGGGGTTCAAGATCAGGGTGGTTTCCTCCTTGTCAGTGGTGCAAGACAGACGGCCTAGCAAGCATCTAAGTCCTTCAGATGAGTTTTAAAAAAAATAAATCGATATCCTATGTACACATTTTTGTAAAAAAAAAAAATCCATGACAGTTCAAAGTTAGCAGAATTACTTCTACTGTCCAGGCAAAGTTACTTCAAAGTATACTGTATGGCACATACATTGTATCCATCTTCATAAGCCTGGTTGGTGCAGAAAAGTAGGTCGTTAATCCAAATTTGATTTATATGTAAGTGCTTATGATGCATTGGGGTGTAAGTAAAATGATAGATGATAGTGAGGTACATGTAATACATGTACTAATTATCTAATTTATATAAAACATATTCATCCATGTGTGTGATGTCATTGTTTCAATGACCCTTGATATTGCACATGATCATTAAAACTCCTGTGATAAATGTATCGTGAAGTACTGTAATAGAATACTTGACAGTGTCAAGAATCAAAATGCAACAAACTTTAGTTTATGTACTGCTTTTGGCAATTTATATACATGGACATGTAGACCTGCTTATACGCTATTAAAAATAGTTGTATGCCCAGGATATGCAAGTACCGTAATTTGTTTGTTGTTTTTTACAGCTGAATGTTTTAGTCAAGATGATGAACGAAGATAGTTTAGATATTTATTGTGATCTATTAACTGATGAACAGACAGATAAAGCTGAGTCAAATGCAGAGGTACAGTGACAAACTGTTTTGGTTAGAACTTAAAGCCTCACCACTCCAGGCGAAAAAGCAAATATAGACTTTCAGACAATAAGCTAACACAAAAATAGGTGTTAAGAAAAAGCATGTTGGTCCAGAATTGATTACCGTAAATCAATAATATTGAATAAGTGATCAATGCAAAAAATCTCTTGTTGAAAAAAAAAATATAACTAATTTATCCGATTAAAGCAATAAACATGGTTAGATGCCATATTGGTATAAATGTTCACTGAGAGCTAGCTACATGTAGCATGAGTTATCATTCAGTCTTCAACTGACTAGTATGGAAGCAAAAAATCTGGCCACCAAATCAGTAGAAAGTAATGTCACTGTTACACCATTGAGGTTATGGTAAAATTTAGTCAGATTGACATTTTGACAGATTATATATTTTATCAAAGTTAGTCTGATTCAGAAGTGTTAATAAATAATGTATGATTCATTATCAAACTTTAATAAACTATTATATCCTGTTTTATTGAAACTATTATTTAGACAGAGCTTGTAGCATTCTATACATATAAATACAATGGCTGTATTCGATCCAGTAATGAATAAACAACTAAACAGATGGTTACTTTCTGTTCTATAAACAGGCCTATGCAGTTAAAAATACATGTACAACTAGCCATATTTACTTTTATTTTAAAAGATAAAACCATTCCGTTATATTTTTAGCTGACGAAACTCCTGTGTGATGCAAAGTCATCTGTCAAAGGACTTCAAAATGAATTAGATGCTAAAAAGAAATCTGAAGAAGCACTTAGTCAACAAAATGAAGATTTAAAAAGAAAAATTTCTGCACTACTTCTAACAGCTAGATCAGAATTAGGAAGAAAAAATGCCATTATAGAAGATCTCAGGTACATGTATAGACATTATAAGAAATTAAGTTCTACTAGTCACACTTGGAGGTGCATTGGTCAATGGTATATCTGACACTTGACTCAGATTGTAACTAACTAAAAAGGTACTTAAGTGACTTTATGTTTCATTGCCTGGCAACACATGTTGAGTGAATGAGATAAAACTGACTGTTAGCTACTGCACATGACATTAGCAAAACATTATTGGAGTGAATGTGAATAATCCATGAATGTTTGCACATAAACAAGGTGTCTGCCCATTTGATGCCAAGTATGTTGGATGAAGAACAAAAACGTCAGGGACAGCTTATTGAAGACTGTCAGAGAGATCCACTTGTTTTCTTGGGTCACATTCACGTTAAAGTATAAATTTGGAGCATGTGACATCACAAAATGTTTAAAAGAAAGTCTTCCAGTGGTAAGGTCATGACCTCCGGTTTCTGGGGAATCCGAGTGCGTAATCATGATAGATTATCTAAAGAAAGTTTTCACCTTAAATGGTCCATATTATGCAGATGAATTGCAAAGGTTGCATGGTCAAATGAAAGAAAAGTACTGAGGTAAACTTTGCCTAGTTGTCTGACTGCTCCAGGACAATTCTCCAATGCACACCATGCAAGTACCAGTGGGCACTGCACAGGACTGTGGCTTCAGAATCATCCATCACCCAGTCTATTCTTCAGATCTCAGCTCCCTCTTCTTCCCCTTCCCATAACTCAAATGAGGTCATCGCTGCTGCGCAGAAGTAGTTAGAGTCACTTGACAAATGGTGTCTTGACAGGTTAAATATGGTGGGGCTTGATTGCCATTGATGTCAAGGAGGATTGTATTGAATAAAAAGTATAACAATTTCCAATATATTAGATATTACCGCACTAAAAAAGACTGGGAACTTTTGGTACACCCCTCGAATATCAATATGTGTCACATAATGCCATTCCGTGTCAGATCACCTCAGAAATTTTCAGTTGCCCATAGCAACCAACCGTTCATCCCGATTTCATTAAAAGTTGGAAAATCAGCTTTGCCACCACAAATAAACATGTACATAAAATTTCATGAAAATCCAAGGAGGTGGGGTTAAACCCATGCTATTACATGTAGGTGATTTGACATGGAATGATTCTATATTGTGTTAATGGTCCACACTCGTTATTCTATGATTTTTTATTGGGGGGGGGGGGGGTAGGTTATACTAAGTTATAGATAGTGTACAATTATAAGCTGATGAACAATGGAAATAATCCTAAAAATAGTCTTAACATAAAACTGTTCAATCTTTCTGTTTCTTTTTTATTTCCAGAGAACAAGTGGACGATTACACCAAACAGTCTTTTTATAATGGTAGATTCAAAAATAGGGGAAACAATCAATTTAGACATCAAAGTCCACACATTGCTCAGCTGCCTGACTACAGTAGTCCTAAACAGGACACTCGGTCTTGCTTTAATAGTTCCCAGGGAGACAGGTGTCAAACCAGATATGACAGTCCTTTGAGTGACAGACAACAAATAATAAGCAATAGCCCACACCAAGACATCCAGCAAAAGTATAACCAAGATAGTCCAGAAAAATGTACAGATAGAAAACGCAAGATTTCAGATGAATTAGAAAAGGCTGATACCAAACGAAGCAGATTGGGGGACAGTACTATTGGACTGAAACCAACAGACATGCAGCAAAAACTTCATCTTTCCAAGACTAAAAATATTTCTCAGGATGATATAGAGAAATCTAAACAATCTAGGGATCCTCGCAAGAAAAACATTTTAGATAGGTTAGGTAATCGAAAACCTGTGTGTGAAAATAGTGAAAGTGACAGCAATACTAATGAACACATTGTAAAAGAGTGTAAGGACCCTCGCAAGATAAATATTTTAAATAGATTAAGTGACGAGAAAGTAATTAAATGTAAACAAAGCCCACCCAACCAAACATCTGATTCAGAGACAAATAATAATACTAAACAGTTGAATAGTTCTGGTAAAGTGATTGATCTCAGGGAAAAGTTAAGAAGTCGTAAGAAATCTAACTTGAACACAAATCAAAATCCGTTGAACACAGTAAAAGATCCAAGATTAAAAATTCCTGGAGATAAAGAGACAAAAAGTACTTCTGTTGAATTATTTCCTCTCAATTTCAAAGACACTGCCAAGCTGGCGAGTGTTAAAACAACTTTTTCTGATATTAAAGATGCAGGCAATACAAACTCAAGTCTTGAACTGTCTGTTTCATCTGCTGACATTTCTACTGAACTAAATTTTAAAAATATTAGCAAGATTTCGCCCCCTAACCTGCTTTCTTTAAAGAAAAACAATTTGCTAATAGATCCAATGAAAAAACCATTGGGTGTCAGCTTTGGTATTTCCACAGGATCTAAAATAAGCAAGGGAGATAACCTGGTATGTAGTGAAAATAAATTGCTAGGTGAAGAAGATCGAACAAACAGAGAATATATTGAGACCAGTGAAGATTCTGATGCTAGTGGAAGGAAACTTGTTATTGATGTTTCAAAGACTACAAAACATTCATCTCGAATTGATAACTCAAGTTTATCTGATGATATTACTTCTCAGGATGATGAGTCCATGGTGAAGGATTCGATTTCTCAATCAAAAGTTGTTTCTGATATAGCCACAAGGAATAACAGTAATGATTTACAAAAAATTGGGTCTAGAATATCAAAGTCTTCAAAAAATGAGTCTAGTGCCTTACTTTCAGATGGTAAACCGAAAACAAATGTTGGTTGTACAGATTCAGTTAAAGTTGTTAAAAGTTGGAGCAATAACTCTATTAATGAAAACAGTTGTGTGATTGAAACTGTCAATTCTACTGTTGTAATTGAGAATCAATCAAAAGATTTCTCTTTGAATACTAGTACTAAATCCAGTGAAAGCGTGCTTGTTAGGAAAATAAGAAAGGACACTTCGCAGCTCAAACCAAAGACTTCCAAATCCTCCCGTGCATCACCGTGTCTTTCAACACCCATGACTAGCTCATTTAGTGAACCTCTACAAGATTTGGGATCCAATATTTCCAACAATGAAAAATATAAAATTCCTAAAATTGAAAATGTGACTTCATCATCCAATGTGTCCATGTCTTCATTATCTCAACATGGTACAGAGAAAGAAAATGGCAAATTGAATGCAGCAAAAAATGTTACTGAATCTTCAAAGAAAACTGTTCCAAACCATAATATTACTAGTGTTAGTAAATCTTCTTGTACTTCTTTAAAAGAGGGCAAATCTGTTATTGATAAGAAAGACAATAAAAAATCATTATCTTCTAAAAACTTTAAAACCAGTGTATCAAAAACTTCTGTTACCTGCAATGACAGTGACAATACAAAAACTACCAAAAAATCTAAAATGGCAGTGCTCTGTCCTAGTTCGGACTCTAACAGTAGTAAGAAATTACTTGATAAAAATTTGAGAGCCAAAACTGTTGGAGACAAAGTAAAATCCCCAACCCCAAAACCAATCCTAAGTATTGAAAAAGTTGATGCTAAAAAGTCCAGCAGTTGTGCTACAGATGTGTCAAAATCGGGTAAACAAGAAGATGATGGTAAACTGGACGAAAAGAAAGAAAGCAAAATGCACAGCACCACAACAAAATCGAAATCTGTGTATCACGCAAGTATAAGTAACAAAAATTCTCGAAATACTAAGTTAGGCAATCACAGAAGTCTTTCTAGAAATATAGAAAAAGTTCAAACAAGAAAATCCTTGGTTAAAGCTGCGAGTAAGTCCAGCGATGAGACATCTTCAGAAACTGATCTTGAATTGGGAAAGTGTACAAATACAAAGACAGTAGATTCATCACAAACTAAGATCAACTGTGCTACTGAAAAGAATGATGATGACAAAGGAGAACAGAATAGTCATGGCTTGGACCCTGAGAATGGGGATATCTCAGCTGAGAGGAAGAGGAAAGTCGAAGAAGCTCCAGTAAACATTGCTGTTCCTATTGAAATAGAATTACCTGGCACACAGAAAGAGCAACCTAATCTTTATAAAACAAAAGTACCAAATGATATTTCTTCAGTTGATGGCAGTCATCTGCAGACTAATGTTGCCAACATCACTTCAAATGACCACAGCAGTGCCGATATCCAAATGGATGTTGACTATGGATCAGATATCTGCACTGAAAGTAAAAACACTGAGGATGTCATTAAAATCACCCCAGACCATACATCTGCTGGAAATTCTGCAACCAAGCCTGTCCCAGAAACACCTTTATCTGGAGGATGGCTTGCAAATTTGTTTTCGTCAGGTACCGAAAATGAGTTCATGAAACGATTGCAAAAGATGGAAGAAGATATTCAGTTGTTAAAAATGGCAGCATCGTGTGGAAACTCTTTGTCTGTCACGCCCGACCTTAACTTAAGCAAAAATACGTCAATCTCAACTAGTTGTAAAAATTGTGCCGAATTTGATGTATGCATCACTGCTACGAATAAGTGTGATTCGGAAAGACAGCAGAAGAATATCAAAATTACACCCACAAACTCCATGAATAAAGATAATACCAACCAACAAATGCATGAAAAAATGAACAGATCTACAGACTACAAGGAAATTCTAGATGATTACAGACCGGAAAGAGAGAGTCTTGAGACGCCAGACAAAATTTCTTCCCCATCTGTTTATCATATTAAAGAAAACCTTGACAAAACTCCGGAAAAGCAAAGTGGGTGTAAAAAGATTGTTCTTGTAAGGAGACGACTTCACGATAAGCTGAGATCACCTGAACAAAATAAACCAGTTGAAAATTCCATTTCCAATAGCCCTGTGAGAGATATTGTATTGAGTTCAGAGAGAGCCAGTGTCACCAGATCAAATCTAAGTACTTCACCGACCAACTTTTCGTCAGATTATGATACCAACGATACACTAAAGATTTGTGATTCAACAGAAAAAACTCAGGAAATGTTACCAATATTGCAAACAAATTGCATGGACATAGATATGGTTTCTAATACAGACCAAATAAAGTCATCATTACCAAATATGAAAGAAACGTCACCCATAATGAATAATCCCAAGTTGAATAGTATTAAAATTAGTGATACAGCTGTGTCAGAAATCCCTGTAGTTTCTGGTATAGTCTCTGTTATATCTCAAAATGAATCTGAAATTTCAGTGAACGTCTCTAAAGAAATTGGACAAATTAAGTCAGAATCTTCTTTAGCGACTTCTAATAAGACTGTTAGATCAGACCAAACTATATCTGTTCATTCGACTGAGAGCTCTAACTCATCTGTTAATGATATTTCAGACGTGTCCATTTATTCTGCTAATAGCTCAGTGTCCTCTGAAAATAAAGAGGTTCAGAAATCATTCACTGTTAATGAAACCATTATTGACTGTGAACCAAATCATTCAGATTCTAATAATGACACTGATACATCTGATGAATCTTACGGCAACAAGAATGAAAAGGATGAAAATCAGTCCCCAGTTTCAAATGTGGTTAAGATGTTACAGTCTGATCTGGACATGTCTTCAGATTCGAATGGTAGCAATACTTCCGGCATTGTTCCTGTAGAAACATGTTTATCAAATATCAGTACACCCAAAACTCCAATAAAAGATCACCCAACTTCCCCTTTGAGTAGAATTAGTCCTGTGCCAAAATTGGTACCGCCTGACAATGTTAACTGTGATAGTAAACTTCTTGCTCTGATTAATTTGTCAACTCATAATTTACTTCTATCTGGACATTCAATTAGTTTTGAAAGTACTAATGCCAATTCAATCACGCAGGAATCTATCGAAAAAGTTGAGAATAACTCACCATCTACAGTTACCTCCGAGAAATCTTTGGGGCCGGCATTTGTAAGGTCATCAACTCCTCGTGGTAAGCCCAAAACCTCTTTCTTAGAACACCAACCGGAGGAATTCAGCGAAGGAGAGATATTAGACAGTGATGAAAACCATGAAGGATGTGGAGCATCAGTAATGGATGCGCTGGAAACATCTATGTCCAACGCAAAAAATTGTGTTGAATCTGAACAAGTAGTTAATGATTTGAGATCTTCAATAACACATGATGTATCTAAACAAGTGTCCGCCACCCCTTTGACAAGACACACATCGCCGCAGGCTCAAGTCAAGATTATCAAAACTGTTGGTTCCGATATTTTCAAGAAGCCAAGTATAGAGGATTTTCAAATCTTCCAAGGTAACCAGGACAACAAAAGTAAAGAAGATACCTCTAACGGATTAAATTCAACAGAAGACGCTTCTTGTAGTAGTAAAGAGGACGGAGAAATAACACAGGATAGCATTATAACTTGTGATGATAATTCAGAGCATTTATTAGACAGTAATTCTGTCAATTTTGTATTTGATGCAAAGATAGATGAAGATGATGACTTGCTGGGGTATTTGGATGATGATTCTTCAAAAACTTCCGTTTCTAAACCGAAACCAGTGACACCAAAGAAGTCTTTTGTAATTCCTAAGAGAACGAGGTCTTCTCCTCGAATACGAGATAAATCTATTCGTGACAGATTAGGGGATAATGAGAACAAACGACCGGCTTTTGGACCAAGAGCTGAAAGCAGCAGAAGGAATGAGAAAAGAAGATCTTTATCTCCTAGATCATCAAGGGCAGGTGATAGCCGCCGACGCCTATATAATTCGCGCTACGATGAACCAAGGTCATCAGCACATGGCTCTTCATCTAGTAGAAGGGAAACTAGCCACGGTCGATCTAGTGGACGGTCGCGAGAAACTGACCGGGAACGGTCTCGGCATAGGCGAGATCGATCATAACTATTTTGTGTTTTATTTTATGAAATGTTGTAAAACTAACAACAATTAACACGACCAATTATTATTTTTGTTCAAAGAATGACGTTATGGCGGTTACTTAAATACCTGAATGTTATTTATTCGTATTTATTACGTGGGATTCCTTTAATTTTATAAAGTAAATTTTGTTGTCTTTATAAATCAATATTTATTGGAAGCAGATGAAAATCCCCCAAATAATGAAGTCATCTGATTGGAATTGCATGCCCCAACATTTTATAATGTGGACGTATATTGCCGTCATCTGCATCCGACAGGCCATCAAATTTTTCTTGTGAACGTTCTAAACATTACATTTTCAAATTTATAAACGTTTTTGATCGTAAATCTCAGTGTCCTCGCCTCAGTTACGTTCAAAGTTATAAAAGTTTCTGAACGTGACATTCTAGAGAGAATGTTTTAAAACCGATGATATTGTTCCAATTGGACCTAACCACGAATTCTATCGAAAATTTTACATCTTAAATCGTAGAATTATGATATGTTGTAAAAGTGATGCATAACGGTGTTCAAACAGTTTTGAAACTCGTTGAGGTTGCTCATAGGGACATAAGAAAGGAGAATATCGAATTGCAAAAATGTCAGATCTTTATGTTTGAATTCGTTTTGCAGACTATTTTTGCGTTTACATTTACACGTTCTCATTTTCCTTTATTAAAACTTGGGGGAGTTGTTCATAGGGACATACGGGAGAAACCTTTAAAAATGCAATGCACCACATTTAAAAATTGGATGATATTGCTCATTGTGGCGTTTTGTGGAGATGACTGTTATGGCTTATGAGCTGGACATAGAAGGAAGTTGAGAGAAAAAAACACATCAAAATTTGGAATGTGTTTTGCGGCTAAATTATTTGTCCGTTCACATTTTATACTGTTAAATATTTTAAACATATAATTATTTAAAAGTTGATGAGGGTGTTCATTTCGTGGAGCTACTTTTTCCTTGGACATTTGTACTTTAACGCTTAGGATAGAGTTCATAATAGTCTTTTTCAAACGTGCTCTGTTAGATTTGTTGACAATGATTTAAGAATTAACATGGATGACTTTGCTGCTGGTGGGCGTATATTTTTACAAATAAAAAGGACATGAATTACGAACAGAAGTACAGCAATCTGTGAATGGTGTCCTTCTCACACTGTTGTTGTATTTTGGGTTTTAAAGACCAAACTATTATATAACTAGGAAATACGTTCTATGGGTTTAATTTCATTTTCGTTCGTGTTTCAGAGTTTGGAATATGTTTTTATATTATGAATGTTTGAATGGAGCAATATTCATTAATTGTTTTGTATGAGATTACAGTATTTTTGTATTCTAAAATAATCATGATACTGAGAAGATAGAGTTTATTCACATGTTTCATTTTGTCTTTTTTATACCCACACCTACAATTAGTTAAGTCTCGCGAAGGGATCAATCTTCTATTTCAAAAGAAAGTGACTCGCCCGCAACTTGTCATTCGTGGGAATAGTAAAGTGTTCCAAGACGTCTTATCGTGAATGGGGTTTTAAAAAATGTGAATAGAAGATTCATTCACTTTGGTGACATTGGAGTGTCGATTTTAAATATAATTTGGCATCCGACGCACCTGGTCATTAAAGCTGAACTCCGATTACAAAACTACAGAAATAATTCAATAAAAAAAAAATTAACACCCTAAATAATTGCCATACTTGTTTTCAATTTGTATAACAATCATGGCGATTGTACGGCGTACAAAAACAGAGGTAGGCCACGCCCACATCCAGTGCAGGCGTTATCAACCACACTGTCCACATCCGGCTAGCAATATTTCAACTACAAATTACCTCCTGACTGATTGACGTTTTTTCACCAACTGTTTACTGAAAGTATTATTGCTAAACAATTATTATATCTGATCAGGTACATGTTATTTTACTAATTAGACGAAATAAGTAAACCACTGCGCACTTTTGCTCTAAAAATAAGAAAAAACTGCTTTACCCCAAATAATAACAAATCTACGAACACCAACCAATTCTATGTTGTTGACATAACATCAAGGGGCATAACTACTTCACAAAATGGTGAATATTTTGAATTGAAAACATTCTTCTTTGACGGAGAGAACAAGGGTTATTGCTGCTTTGGATATATTTTGGAACGATAATACTAGACATTATTTGGTGTTTCTACGCTGTTGTGCATAACACATCAAGAAATAAAAAAATTATTGGTGTCGGTAAATTTGTTATTGTTGGGGTACCTCAGTTTTTCTCATATTTTTAGAACAAAATTACACCGTAATTTACTTATTTCGTCTAATTAGTAAAATAATATGTACACGTACCTGATCAGACATAATAATTGTGTAGCAATAATATTTTCAGTAAACTGATAGTGAAAAAACGTCAATCAGTAAGCTGAAATATTGTTAGCCAGATGTGGACAGTGTGGTTGATCAGGCATGCACTGGATGTGGCCTTGGCCTGCCTCTGTTTTGTACGCCGTACAATCGCCATGATTGTTCTACAAATTGAAAACAAGTATAGCGATTATTTAGGGCGTTATTTTTTTATTATTTAATTATTTCTGTAGTTTTGTAATCGGAGTTCAGCTTTAATTAATAACATTTAATGAAAGCAGACTATACCTTTAAACTTACAGAGTCATCAGTTATTTGGTTGACGGCCCCAACTCCCAACGCCCCAGTTTGTAAGCCCTTTTTTCACCTGGCATAATGTGAAATGACATAATAGACGTTTTCTAAAATTAGCTTTTGTAGAAGGCTACCCTGTCTCACTCACCCCATTGTAAGCCATCGAAAGTAGACATTTTGGAATAGGATAATCATCGCTGTGGTTCTTACTAAAATACAAAGCAATGTCGTATTTTGGGAGAAATCAACACCCTTAACCCGCATCTTAAGAGAAAGAGAGAGAGAGATGGGGTTTAACGTCCACTCAACACAAACTAGGTCATTTTTTAGACTAACATATGGTTTAATTTTATTTCAGTAATTCGCTTGCGCCTAGGGGTCTGTAGCAGTCGGAGGACCCGGAGAAAACCCACGAGGTTGGACAGGCGACCCTACTCCTTGTCACGTACAATCGAGGAATTGAAACCACGCCAGTTGACTCAGTGACAGACCTTATGATACAGCACGCACGTGCTAAACATTCGGCCATCCAACCCCCTGTACCAAAGTTTATTTTTTATCTCATGAATCGGACAAAAAATTTCGCCTCTGGGAGGTCCACCAACTTCATTCATATTTCACATTTTGTGTAAAAGGCATTTGGCATCGCTCTAAAACCAAACTTGAACTCACCCAACACTCGTTTTAAGTTGTATCGAAATCGGGTAAAAATTGTTACAACATTGGTATTACATATACTTTTACACTATTTGCGTATAGAGAGGAGCGACCATTTGACACCATAATTATGGTGTAAAGGTGATATGTATAGATATTTACAACTTTGATTTTTATTCGAATATATATATACGCCCACGACAAAAACCTTGTGAAATGATTCAGTTACCAGTTAACCCGGATGCAGTCAGTGTTGTAAGAAAATGTTTTAAAAGCATTTCTTCATCCTCATCGCCAAAAATATAGTTTTGGACAAGAGTAAATAGCAGGCGAAACAACTGACATGGGCGCCGCCATATCGAATAGCCAATAGTCCGGGCCATTTGCGTTCGGGTGTTGGTTCAGACTGTAGTACTAGAGTGTTCGCAACCTTGGTAATATTATGTATATATTTGAACGGTTTTTACAGTCAATAAAAATTGTGACCACTAGAGGGTCCACAGGCTAAAAATGTGAGTTTTCGTACAATCAGGAGCCATAATCCCAGAGGTTACGGTTATAAACATACATTGCAAGTTTCATCAAAATCGGATAACAATTTTGACATCTAGAGTGCCCACAACCTTATTTATATTATGTATATATTTGCCCAGTTCGGCATCGCAGGAATCACCATCGACTGCAGTGCTTCCGTGGTAAGGGATTAAAAAAAACCATAAAAACTTCATTGCTGAGTAATTTTACTAGCTAGAAATCGCTTAGAAAGCGTCTCCGACGATCTAGACATCCTAGGACGGCAGCTCCCCAATCAAGACTTGCTTCCGCCGGCCCTGACTGGATTAGCTTCTGATAGTTGAGCTTTTGAGGGAGTGTGTCTATTCTTTCCGTTCAATCAAATCTATCCCAAGTACAGCAACATGTTCGTCTCCAAACAGTATTGTTTACAATGTATCAGTCTTGATAGCCTCGTTTGTCACACAATTAGTTTTTCTGCAATATTCTTATATGCACTGGTTAATTGGGCATAATAAAATCGCGAGTCATGACGTAGCGTTATGTAAACATATTTGGTCCAATTTGGAGCTCTGTTTAAAGCGTAATGATATTGTTACGCAGTTAGCTATTGGTTTTAATCGGACTATTGACCAGTCATAATTTGGAACAGAAATTTGCTTCCATTACAGCAGTGTTAAGTGGGATTAGCTCTAATCCAACGAAACACTGCGAGGAGTATGGGCTGCTGTGGCTCAATCAGTAAGACATTAGCTCGCTAACCTGGAGGTCCTGTGTTCAATCTCGCAATTGGCCGAGAAAGTTCATCGGGATTTTCAAGCATGGTTCCCCATTGTCAGTAGTGTAGAATGGGGGGTCTGCCAAAGGACAACGTATAGTCATTTGGAAGGGATGAAAAACTGATGTCCTGTGTACACACTGTCGTGCACATAAAAGAACCCATGACAGTTGGAATGACATAAGAGTATTGTGAATATTATCACAAATAAGGATGAACCATATAAACAATCAACTCATTTTACTAAATCACAGGTTACGGTCCTAATATTTATATTTGTAGGCCTAGATGTACATGTACATTGTAAAGGCCTTTCTAGCATTTTGCATTATGTGAATTCTTTTCTTGTACATGTATATATGAATAATGTGAAGAAGAACATCAATGTAAATGGATCAACCTTAAAATTTATAAAAATCAGTTTACTTATATATACTTTCTTTTAAATATGCATTCAGACCTAATTCTGTCTTTTGGCTTCAAATGTTGTATAAATTATTATTTAGACATTTATTCACATGACAAGCCTATAAACAACTCTCTAGAGCATTGGATGGCCGTGATTTAAATGGATTTTAACACCCACACTGTTACTGAAGACACGATATTCCATGGTTATGTAATACCTAAAGACGCCATCGTTCTACCAAACCCGGAGTTAGTTCTGTCAGATGGTGAAATTTGGGGTGATCCTGGCGTGTTTCGTCCAGAACGATTTATAGATACATCAAGAAAGGTAACGAAACCAAAAGAGTTTATCCATTTCTCTCTCTTTTCATTCTTTACTGCATAGTCGGATTGGTGCATATTCGCAATTTTGAGGATGACATCGAAGATACGAAATGGATGTTAGTTGTCACCAGATTAATTTATGCCACCATAATTAAAATTATGGTGTCATAAAATATTTTTTTCGGGATAAAGAATTTGTCTTGGAGAATCTCTGGCTAAAATGGAATTAATTTTAATCATGACAACAATGATACAAAGATTTGAATTTAAATCAGTAGATCCTAATTATTTACCAACATTGGAATCACGCATGCTCCAGCCAAATTCGAAGTTCGAGCTGTACCTAGATGTTAAGGACTAAATCTTAAATACATCGAGACACAATTCCATTCATCTTATATTCATAATTTCCTGTTCCATGTTAAAGAGATGTACCCCCAATCAAAGAATGGGTTTTGATATTAACCGAATATTGCGAGCGGGATAGAGATAGGTTTAGAAATAAAATAATACTGAATAATTCTGGTATACGTTTGAGATATTATGCCAAGTGTTACAATTAACGTGTATATTCTATTGTTTTTAATTGAATTGTCGCTTGTGGGTAAGAGATATGTTAAAGATTAAAAGAATATGTATTTTTGTTAAATTGCTTTCTTTTGAAGTATTTGTAGTATTTACAGGAACTTGTCTATAACGAAATAAAATAGAATACCGTCGATCCTAGAGGGCAATCAAAGCCAGAAAATACGATAAAGAAACATCAGCGAAATAGATAATGGTAACATATAATTAGCTTACTCCTGGACCAGAACCATGGGTTTGTCGGTGTTTAAAATATGCATGGTCTGATAACATTCCTATTATTATACATTGGTGTGGAAAGTAATGTGGACGTCATATCCATTACGGTACACAGTCTCACCAGGACAGTCATTTCAACTAAACATTTTCAAGAAATCAGAAGACACGGGATTTACTTAATGAAATAAATACAGTTACAAATTGGTTACTGGATATTAAACTATATGTTACATATTTTCATACGCTTGCAGGTTTCGGAAATTGACTTTCTACTCATTTCAATTGGCAATAACATACAGTAACGTTCTTGCTTTCCTTCACAAATCTACTGTTGGACGTATTTGTATTGTTTAAAAATGAAATTTGACAGAGATTTTGAAAAGCTATAGTTTTTCGTTGGGTTTCACGTCCACTCGACACAAACTATGTCATTTCGGGATTATAACATAATATGGTTCAATTTAATTTCAATTATTCGCTTGCGCGTACAGGTGACCCTACTCCTTGACTCAATGACAGACCCGATCCAACGCGCACACATTAACACCCCCCACCCACCAACCCTCCCAGCTATATACAAAAGTAGGTCAACTTTCAAATACCTCAAACTTTAAACTAAAAACAATTTATTCTGGGAAATTGAATTTTCAAAAGTAAACAAAGGGTAATAATTCAGTAATAAAACAATAACGGAATTCCACGGAACTCGAACATGATCTGTTTTAACTCTCCTATATACAACAGTGTACCAAGTTTCATTAAAATATCTCAGAGTTAACATTTAACAAAATTCTGGAACAAAAATGACAGTCGGAGGGCAGACGGACGAGTGGAGAGAAACCTATCGTCCCCCTCGCTTTCACTTCATTATCTTCTTTTGTTACTGTAGATTTGACACAGTGAAGCATGCATATTTGCTTGAAATCCCCCACACGAGCATTAGCAATTTTAATGTCAATATCAAAATAATTCAGCGAGTGTTGATATTTTTTGATATCAAAATAGACGTGTAGGAGATTTTATTTATCACCCAACCCTTTCTTACGCGCACAGATGAATAAATATATAATTCTTTGGTATAGATTTAATTTTACTGAACCTGATTACATAACGGCGTAACGATTTAAGGTTATTGGGAGAAATGTAATTGAGACCTTTTCCCCAACAATATTACTGAATCCAAAAAGTAGTTTCTCTTTAGTTGACCAATTCAGTAGATTATGAAAGTTATCACACATGCGATATCTACTGTAGAATGTGTTATTGTGTGATAAAATTATTTCTTTCCTCATGTTGCGTATAAACAGTTTAATTTTCTTTCCGTGTTATTCTAACGCATTGCAGTAATGCGTTGATAATAACTTTAATCTTACATTGTCGTCCATGACAAGAAATCGGGTTAAAATCAAAACATAAAATTCTATTTGTAGTAATGAGCGCTATATTAAAGGAGCTCAATATTATCCAAGATGTTCGAAATTAAAAACACGAATTAGAATTCAATACTGGTCCATTTCAATCATTATTGATGTTATTATTCAGCCGTGAATATTTAAGTCACAATGAACATTTTATATCAATACACGATTTCGGGCGCCATTTGTAATAAACATATCCCACAAGACAATGCGGGAGTAATTAGTAATAGCTTAGTCACAAACGGCAAAAGAATAATAAGAAAGAAAAAAGTGCGTAAACGACTGTGAATGCGGGTGTTGTGAATTAAATATAAATCACTTTGATACATTCATATCACCTATTTTCGAATAAACTTAAACTTGTATCTGATTTTAAGGTCAAACAATTGACAGTTTTAGATTAAAATAAAAAAAAAACACACCAATCAACAAATGGACTTCCGCTTAATCTTTCTCTAGTCACGAATTGAATTAACCCTAAATCAACAAAATGCACTATGGTATTTTGATGCAAACCAAATCAAGGGAGTGTAGCTCTTCCACCGCCTATCAGCCATTTTCGTTTTGAAGTCTCATTGTGTCAGTTTAGCGCATTAGAAATCCATTGTACACTTTATTATTGTGAAAGATATGAATCCCAAATATGATAGGAATAGCTGTACACAAATGGTTCAAATCAATTCAGTAATTACAAAGATAATCTGAATTGAAATTTTCGTCGATCTATGCTACTCGCTATGTAATAAGCCCGCCGCCATTTTGTTGTGGGCGAACAGAATTGATAGGCCTAGCGATATTTTAAATTAGATTGAATTCAAGTGGCTTATCCAGCATTTAGATTTTGATTTTGTATTCTTGATTAAATGTCAATCAATCTTGGTACATATTAGTGTGTATTAAGCCGTGAGGAATTTAATTTTTTATCGAAAACTTCAAATGACGGATCGTTACTTTAAGGTGATTTTGTTAACAGTGTTTTCTTATCGATAACATTATAATAGTTATCAGTGAACTTTGACAGCTTTACCGAAAATCAGGCCATTGTGTACATGTGTTATGGCTGCCCGGATATATATAAAACGAGAAATGTAATGTAGATATAATAGTCTATTGAATATTCATGAGTTTTACTCATGTACCCATAAAACAGTTGTAAAACATATCTGCGCTTGATTTATTTTTGACGATAAACTGAACAAAGGACTTGTTAATTTATATCTCTGTAGTGAACTGGCATAATGTACGAAGCTCTAAATCATTTAAAGAGTTTCTTTGTGAACAATTGTTGGGAAGATGTGTGCCGATATTGTCAGCAGAATGTACGGATTGGATTAGTATGTGGTGTTTGTATTGGGGTATGGTGGCTGACGAGAAAACCTCGCGGGATCCCCCCAGGTCCAAGATTTACATTACCTATAGTAGGGGATCTGTTGTTTCTGGAAAATGAAAGTCAACCAGTTATGCTAAGAAAAATGAGAGAGAAATATGGAGATATATTTAGTATCTATATGGGATCTAGTCTGTTTATTGTATTAAATGGATATGATGTTATTAAAGAAGCTTTGGTAAAATATGAACACATATTTTCTGATAAGCCACATATGTTCATGTATGATCTCATTTCGGATAAGAAAGGTAAGAAACGTTTATTCATGCTACAGTTAACCCCACTGTGCCTTGAAAAGAATCGATTAAACGCAGACTGCACTATAAAATAGCTTTCAAAGATTACTGTCCGGGCAAAATTCTTCTCATAGCACACTATATGGTGTATGCCCGTCTTCATTTAAAATTAGTCTAGTTGGCGCAGAACAATATGACGTTAAACCCCATTTCCTTTCATTTCTGATTCCACTTAGAGACGTAGTCCTTGAAGTATCTCAACGTCTCTGGAAATGGACACGATCATATAATATCATAGTTAAGTTCATGAATTATACAATGGTGATGTATGGTTACCAGAATTAGCTAGTGCAGCAATAATATTACTGCGGAGTCTTTAACCTATATTAATTTCAATGGTAACATTGGTGATCACCGGTAGGGTCATATCTACGACCGCGCCCGGCAAGTTCACAGCTTTAAATGGCATCTAACAGTAATGATAAATAACAAAAAGCGATAAGAGAGATATCAACGATGAGTTGTCAATATTATCATTCAATTTATTTTGTAGGTATTGTTTTTACTTCGGGTCAATTGTGGAAAGAACAAAGAAAATTTGCCCTGGAAACATTAAGAGAATTTGGTTTTGGTAAAACGATACTAGAGGACAAAATTCATGAAGAAATAGGATATTATATTGAAGTTATTGACAAACATAATGGTAGACCATTTGATATGTGTCGGCTAACACAAGCCTCGGCATCGAACATTATATCTTTGTTGGTCTACGGACATAGATTTGATTATGGTAATCTGGTATTCAAAGAATATCTTAACGGCGTCGATGAAAATTTTAAAGATTTGGGATCGACAGCTGTTTTGAATTTCTTACCTGTTCTTCGATTCATGCCTGGTGATTTATTCAGATATAAACGGATACTGAAAAATCTACACGGTGTGGAAAATACAATAATAAAGCCGTCAATACAAGAACATCTGAATAATTATGATGAAAACTATACCAACGATTATATTAGTAGTTATATTAAAGAAATGAAACGAGTTCAGAAGGCAGGTCAAACATCTTACATTAATGGTAAGTATTTAAGCTTATTAAGTTAGTTTTTATTTTACATCCTGAAAAATCTGACGATTTCCTGTCAAGCACCACTGACGATCCGAAGGAGATACCACATTAACTAATACTCAACTGTTTCCTATTTCGACAAAGAAGGTCATACATTGAACGCATACGAAGTATTGTTTTCGCACACTGAGGTCAAATATGGGTCGGTGAACGATTTAATACATAAATGTTGGGCCAATTGTCTAAGGTGTATTATTTGCTTTGGTTGGGAAGGATTTAATACATAAATGGTCAATTCTTTAAGTTGTCTTGATGTACTCATTTGCAAAAAAAATGAAAAAACCACAACAGAATTTTGATTGGTGCAACAGATTAGTCTGCGTCACGGGTATCAAGATTTTAAGTCCCATTCAGTCCTTATACTTATTTGAATATGTGGACGAAGCCCGTGAAAGTCTATTTTCCTCAAATTTGTATTCAGATGAGAATGTGGTAAAATCGATTAGTGACCTTTTATATCTGGCACAGAAACAACACCAACAACTAGATGTTACAAGGACATTTGGTTTTAAAAGTTGGTCCCAATTTAAATACCGTTACAGAAGGTTAGATTACACCCACAGGTGTCCACATGTCCACTAAAATGGAACATATCATTGAACCTTTTATTTTCAGAGGATAATTTAGTCAAATCAATTGGAGATCTTTTTGTAGCTGGCACAGAAACAACGTCAACAGCTATTTTATGGACGATTCTCTACATGATTCATCATCCAAATATACAAGCTAGATGTTACAAAGAAATTCAAGATGTTGTTGGTTCGGGTCGTCTACCCTCTATGAGAGATAAGCCTTCTATGCCATATAATGAAGCCGTATCATGGGAGGTTCTCCGAAAAGCCAACATCGTAACTATTGGTACCCCACACGGTCTTAATCAGGATACAAAGTTTAGAGGATACAACATTCCTAAACATGCAGTCATATTGCCAAACCTTGATTCAGTTCTTGCAGATAACAAGATTTGGGGAGATGCGGATGTTTTTCGACCTGAGAGATTCTTAGATAATGACGGAATGGTTACTAAGCCGGATGAATTTATACCCTTTTCTTTAGGTATGCTACATGTACATAAAATCTAAATAATTGGGAAATTATGAGACATATATGGTTCTTGTAGACCCGCAGTGTATTCACACTGACAGTGGGGTTACATTAGCATTTTATGAATGTTTCAATTTCCCTCTTTTTTATCCCGCGCCAAACGAAGTTAGGAGGGGTATCATAATGAGCTCCCTCAGTCCGTATTCCGACCCCATTTCGTTTCCGCAGCATATCTCATAAACCGTTCATGATATATTTACGAAACTGTGTAAATGCACATACATCAACATATTATAATTTTTGTGTTTCCAAGCAAACAAGTGTGACTTTTATATCGTGGCATATTTCATAATTGTTCAAGATTTCTTTATTAAACGGTGTATCACATGAACGCATTTCCTTGACTTTGTTTTTGCTATACAATTTTTATTCCGAAGTACATGTCATAAACCATTTAATATATCTTTATGAAACTTTATGAATGCCCTGATTTTATTTGCTACACATCTTATAACATGTACACACTAATAGTATTTTGTTGTTGATTACCAACTAATCACAAGTCTATTCCTGTACCTTCCAAAACAAGGGTGCAGTATGTTGAAGACTGAATCATCTTGTTCATTATTGAATCGTAAGTACGTAATGTCCCCAGTGATGAACTATATTTCTTTCAGTTTTCAGCAACCATCAAGTGATATTGTAATTGTATACTAATGTTTATCATATTTTATCTAGGTACAGTCAGTATTTAGTCGTGTTATATATTTCAGGACGAAGAATATGTCTTGGGGAATCTTTGGCTAAAATGGAATTATTTTTGTTCATGTCAACCCTGATACAAAGATTTGAATTTAAACCAGTTGATCCTGATAATTTACCGAAATTGGAAGGTGTTTTAGGAATCACAAATTCACCGTCTAAATATGAAGTTCGAGCTGTTCCTAGATAAATCTTTCAGATACAACACAGCTAGCCTATATATTCCAAAATATTTCTATACATTGAAGTTAAACGTAACTATGTATTTCTAAATTAAAATCATATTTCACCTAGAGGGTATTTTTTGCCCCCCCCCCCCAATTCCTCAAATAAACGACCACACAATATGTACACATCATGGATTATTCCAAAATTCGAGTATTTATATGCGTCAGTAGTATATAAGTCTGAAAAATTGCATTTAAAGGGGAAGTCCAGTCGTTTCCATATGTTTATATTTCGACTTTAACCGGCTAATTAAGACGCTGACTATGACGTCATCTGGTAACTGTCAGTCACTGTTTATAAACCAAACCATGTATTCGTGCTATAATAGTTACTATCCGAACGCTTTATACACTATGTTGTGTTAATCACAATGTGAATTGAATTGAATAGCACGCCTAGATTTTTGTTTATAAACAGTGAATAAGTTTCAAAGGGTCTTGTTATCATTGTATCTCAAAGACTTATACTATCTGATTAGGGTTATTAGTTTTTTCCCTTGCTAAATAAATTAAACCCTTTCAACATGTTGGCATTCAGGAACCAAATGTACCAAACAAAACAGCTGTCATTTGGCAACCAAAATAAATATATGTATATTTAGTTTGTCGTACACTACACTGTATATACAAGATGAGGGGGGGGGGGGGAGGGTCTGAGTATTGTCATCGATTCTGGCGTTCTGGTTTGTATATGCCGTCACCCCTGTCTGTCTGTATGTGTGTGTGTATGTTTATGTGCCTGTAGGTCGCCTACAGGGCCCAATTCTTATGCAAGAGCTAAATCTATTCCTTGTACACTAAGGATCACCCTTATTGTTTATGGTGCATATCCAACCCCCAGGAGCAGAGCCACGCCCATTTTTTCTTGTGTATCTATGTCTCGCCTGCAGGCCGCAATTCTTAATGGATCGTCTTGAAAACTTTTCATACTTATTCCTTACACCCTAAGGATGATCTCTATTATTTTTGGTGCATGCCCGACCTGCTTTGGCAGAGACACGCCCCATTTTTGCGTGTGTCTTTGTTTCGCCGACAGGCTGCAATTCTTAACAATACTTTTGAAACTTTGCATACCGATTCCGTATACCCTAAGGAAGATCCCTATTGTCTTTGGTGAATGCCTGACACCCAAGGGCTGAGTCCTATGTGTCTGTGTGTTGCCTACAGGCCACAATGTTTAATGGGTCATCTTTGAACTAGGTATATGTATGCCTTATAGCCTAAGGACGACAACTTATTGATATTGGTACATGTCATCTCCTAGGGGCAGAGGCACGCCCAATTTTTGGGTTTAGCGTCTGGAGGCCACAATTCTGAATGGATTATATTGGAACTTTGTATACTTATTCCTAATACCCCAAGGACGGCGACTATTGATCCGACCCCCAGGGGTGTGGTACGACACCCACTTTTTTGTTAATTTCAGCAAATCAACCATTTCAATTACAGGGATGCACATATTCATTTTGTTATATATCCAATCCCAGCAGCAGAGCCACACCCAAGTTTTGTGTTTGTCGCCTACAGGCTGCAATTCGGAATGGATTATCTTGGAACTTTGCATATTTATGCCTTATACAACAAAGGCGGCAACTATTTATTTTGGTGCATGCCCCGACCTTTTGTTAATATTTAGTCTGTAAATTTGGCAAAACAAACCCAACGCCTAACCTTCTTTGCCTTCTGTCATATTATAGCCATTGCAGCCATTTCATATTTCATGCCCTTCATTTTAAAAAGAACCATATCAATCAAAGCAGGAATGTGGACGTATATTGCAGCGGTAGTGGTGCTCTTGTTATAGAAGTAATAGACAACAATGTGTAGTTTTAGAAGGTTTCAAATCAAACTATTTGCATACCGAGTCTGGCGTCCCCCAAGGAAGTGTGCTGGGTCCTTTCCTATTTTTAATTTATTTAAATGATATCTCCGATAATATTACTAACAACGTACGACTATTCGCCGATGATACTTCACTTTTTACAATTATTCATAATGATCCTCTAAGTGGCGAGAACTCTATAACTGAAGATCTGAATACTATATCATCGTGGGCTACATCGTGGGCTAAACAATGGTGTGTAACTTTAAACCCCAATAAAACTAAAACTATTAGTTTTACTAGGAAAACTACAATCCATCCAGACCTTATTTTTGAAAAAAAAAAAAAAAGTTGAAAACGTAACTACTCATCTTCATTTGGGATAAAAATTTCAGTCTAATGCATTATGGTCAAAACACATTTCAAATATATACCAGAAAGCTTGTGGTCGACTAAATATTTTGCGTATACTGAAATATAAAATTAATAGAATTTCACTTAATAAAATATATCTTGCTTTTATTCGCCCTATTTTAAAATATGCCGATATTGTATGGGATAACTGTTCAAAGAAGGATTCTGATCTATTAGAAAGTGTTCAAACTGAAGCAGGTAGAATAATCACTGGCCTTAGAAGAAATTCATCTAAAAACAATTTATACAAAGAGCTTGGTTGGGAATCATTGTCAAATCGCAGAATAAAACACAAATTAATTTATTTATATAGAATAAAGAATAACCTAAGTCCCACTTATCTGTCTGAAGCCTTTAAAAAATTTGAACCGTCAAAATCAAATTATAACCTTCGTAATGAAAATCTGAACCTCAATCTACCATTTTGTAAAACCAGTTCATATTTTAATAGTTTCTTTCCCTGCACAATTAAACTTTGGAACAACTTACCTGAAAATATTAAAACCTCACAAACGTTAAGTACATTTAAATTGGGCCTTTCACGTGTGTATCCTGTAATTAGACCACTACTACTAGTATATTATAATACAGGAAATAGGAAAGAAAATATTATCCATTGCCAATTAAGAAATAAAGCTAGTAACTTAAATAATCACTTATTCTACCATTTTATTAGTGAAACAAAAGTGTGCCCTAGGTGTAATTCTGTAGACGAAGATAATAACCATTATTTTTTTATATGTCCAGCATACTCTGCCCCAAGAACAATTCTCAAAAATAATCTACACCACCTTAAACAAAATGTTACAATTGACCTGATCCTATATGGGAACCCTGCTCTTCCAGACAATACCAATTCTAACATATTTGAAATAGTGCAAAAATACATTAAAAAAGTATGAAATTTTAATACTTTAATATTTGAAACTTAAAATTACACTCAAAGTAATGTATATATGTTTGTAAACCACTGTCTGTGCATATGTCCACCATTGTATTGTAAACATAAGATTTCACTATTTTATATGACTGGAGAGAACTTATATAGGCTTTTGCCTGTTGTTCAGTCCGATTCAGCTTATTGAATAAAATATTGCTTAAACTATCCCGCGCCGAATGAAGTTAGGGAGGAATATTGAAATGGCGTCCCTCCGCCCGTCCCGATTTAGTTTCCGGAGTATATCTCATAAACGGTTCAAGATATCTTTTTGAAACCTTGTACACATATCAACCTTTTACAGTAGTTGTGCCTTTTACTATTAAGGAAATTCTGGGATTTATATTATTTGTGTTTCCATGGAAACACATTTGACTTAGCTTTTGGTGTAAAATTTTGTTTCCGGCGCATATATCATAAACCTTTCAAGATATCTTTTTGAATCTTTGTACTAACATCAACCAATTGATTTTTGGTGTATAATTTTGTTTTCGGAGCATATCTCATAAACCGTTCAAGATATCTTTTTGAAACTTTGTACTAACACCAACCTATTACAGTAGTTGTGCCTTTTGCTATTTAGGAAACAAATTTGACTTAGGTTTTGGTGTAAATTTTTGTTTCCGGAGAATATCTCATAAACCGTTCAAGATATCTTTTTGAAACTTTGTACACTCACCAACCTGTTAAAGTAGTTGTGTCTTTTGCTATTTAGGAATTTCTGGGATTTATATTTCTGAGTTTCCATGGAAACACATTTGACTTAGTTGTTTGGTGTATAATTTTGTTTCCGGAGCATATCTCATAAACCTTTCAGGATGTCTCTTTGACACACATCAACCTATTACAATAGTTGTGCCTTTTGCTATTTTGGAATTTCTTGGATTTATATTTTTGTGTTTCCATGGAAACAAATTTGACTTGCCGGTACCTGTTGCTGTACAATTTTGTTTACGGAGCATATCTCATAAACCATTTAAGATATATTCATGAAACTTTGTACAAACATCAACCTGTGATAGTAGAGGTGTCTTTCGCTAATTAGAAACTTCTCGGATTTGATAATTTTTGTGTTTCCATGGAAACAAATTTCTGTGTTGAATGATTTTTGAATTTTTACTACACATTTGACTTAGTTTTTGGTATATAATTATTATTTTTGAGCATATCTCAGAAGCTGTTCAATTTACCTTTATAACACTTTCACATTCTTCTACCCAATATTTTAATTTCTGATGACCGTCCTTCCGTCCGGATTTCGTTTCCGGAGTATATTTCATTATCCGTTCAAGAAATCTTTTTGAAACTTTGTGCAAACATCAACCTATTATAGTATATTATTTTCGGATGCATAAGCTTGTTGTTTAACATACAGCAGCTGATTGATGTAGGCAAAAGTTGTTGTGCAAACCTTACAGGGAGTAGCGACCCTGCCTTGTCTAGCTACAGTGATCAGTGTATGAATCTTCTGACTAGCCCCCTTGATATTCCAAGAAGTTGTTTTTCCTTATGCCTTCCAAACAAGTGCAAGGTCGCGGGATGGTGATGACTAGTCATCTTGTTCTAAATTGTATCTTGCTTAATTTATTGAATCTCTTTATTTGGGAAAATCAATGATTTGTTGATGAAATATTTGGATTCAATAATCATAAACCTAATTTAATAACCATTGGTTAGACAATATGTGGCCGGAAACAATAAATCTGTGGCCGAAACAATTTATATATGTGGCCGAAAACAATAAACTTTAATAATAGTCTTATTGTTACTATTCTAAAAGTACAATCGTTGCCATCAATGGACAAGTTTGAATGGGAGGGCTACACTTCTGTATGCCTATCTAATGGTCATTCTTTGTTTATATTATTTATTGCCGGCCATTCGATTAATTTTACGTTAGATTTTATGAATTATAAATCGGTTTTAAAGATAATTTTTGTGGTGGATTTTTTAAAATCTAGTGCGAAGCATTGTGGTCGTAAGAGGATGAAACACCCTATCGATATTTCCGTTCCGGAGGTATCCACCACGCCCACCTCTTTTGCGGAAAGTCTTGTGAACGCGATAGAGGCTATAATTTTAAACGGATGTTTATTAAATTTGGTGGGAAGTAATGGGGTCATGAGAGGATGAAACCGGTCAACGTTCTGCGAAACTCCATTTTTTTTAAATTTGGTGGTGAGCATTGGGGTCATGAGAGGATGAAACCTATCT